GAGTCATTGGTGTACGTGATGGCGAGGATGGCACCACGGAATACCTTGTCAAATGGAAACGTCTCCTATACGATTCCTGTACTTGGGAACCCGAGGATCTGATTAGTGAGATTGCACAGCGTGAGATTGATCGATTCTTGGACCGCACTGCTCGACAACCCATCTCCGACAAGAACGAGATGAACGTCGCCACGCGTAAATCCTTTGAGCCCATCCACGGAACCCCTAGCTTCTTGCACAACGGAGAACTCAAGGATTTCCAAGTCAAAGGTTTGAACTTCTTGGCTTTTAACTGGGTCAGGGGTCGCAATGTGATTCTAGCAGATGAGATGGGACTCGGAAAGACGGTACAAACAGTCGCTTTCATCAACTGGATGCGCCATGTCCGGCGGCAGCAAGGGCCATTCATTGTCATCGTTCCCCTGTCTACTATGCCAGCATGGGCTGATACCTTTGATCACTGGACACCAGACCTTAACTACGTTGTTTACAACGGCAGCGAAAAGGCGCGCTCCGTGTTGCGGGATTATGAATTGATGGTCGATGGGAATCCTAAACGTCCAAAGTTCCATGTTCTATTGACGACATATGAGTATGCAATGAATGATTCACCGTTCCTCGGCCAATTCAAGTGGCAATTCATGGGAGTGGACGAGGCACACCGTCTCAAAAATCGCGACTCACAACTTTATATGAAGTTGTTTGAATGGAAATGCCAGGCGCGCCTCTTGATTACAGGCACTCCAATTCAAAACAACCTTGCTGAGCTTTCAGCACTGATGGATTTCCTCAATCCGGGCCTCGTTGAAGTCGATGTCGATATGGATTTGAATTCTGAGGCAGCTTCTCAAAAACTTGCGGAATTAACTAACGCCATCCAACCTTACATGTTGCGGCGTACCAAGTCCAAGGTCGAATCAGACCTTCCCCCGAAGACTGAGAAGATCATTCGAGTGGAGCTCTCCGATGTTCAATTGGAATACTACAAGAACATCTTGACGAAAAACTACGCTGCGCTGAACGACGGGAACAAGGGAATGAAGCAGTCTCTTTTGAACATCATGATGGAATTGAAAAAGGCTAGCAATCACCCATTCATGTTCCCCAATGCAGAAGCGAAGATTCTGGAAGGCAGTAGTCGTCGAGAAGATATTCTTCGAGCCATGATCACCAGCAGTGGAAAGATGATGCTTCTCGACCAACTGCTCCGCAAGTTGAGCTCTGATGGTCATCGAGTTTTGATTTTCTGTCAAATGGTTGGCATGCTTAACATCCTAAGTGAGTACATGGAGTACCGTGGTTATAAATATCAACGGCTTGATGGAACTATTCCATCTGCCGCTCGTCGCTTGGCCATTGAGCACTACAATGCTCCCGGTAGTACCGACTTTGCATTCCTTCTTTCAACTCGCGCAGGTGGTCTCGGTATCAACCTTATGACTGCAGACACGGTCGTGCTGTTTGATTCTGATTGGAACCCCCAGGCTGATTTGCAGGCTATGGCGCGTGCCCATCGAATCGGTCAAACCAGACCTGTCAGCGTTTACCGTCTTGTCTCCAAGGATACGATCGAAGAAGAGGTCATTGAAAGAGCCCGCAACAAGCTCTTGCTCGAATTCATCACCATTCAGCGTGGTGTCACAGACAAAGAAGCATCAGAGATGCAAAATAAGATGGCCCGTGTGGTTGCTGAGCCCAATTCCACAGACGACATCTCACGGATCCTCAAGCGCCGTGGTCAGAAAATGTTCGAACAAACCGACAACCAGAAGAAACTGGAGCAGCTTGATATTGATTCTGTCCTTGCAAATGCAGAATTACATCAAACTGAGGAGGCTGAGCAAATTCAAGCCGATGGTGGTGAAGAATTTTTGAAAGCGTTCGACTTTGTCGATATCAAAGTTGATGATCTGACTTGGGATGATATTATTCCCAAGGAACAGCTCGAAGTCCTCAAGGCCGAGGAAAAGCGGAAAGATGATGCTCATTATCTTGCTGAAGTCATTGAGCAAAATCGACCTCGCAAGCGCCACGCCCCCGCGGACACAACAGATTCACGAGAGGAGCGCAAGGCGAAACGACTCGCAAGAGCTCAAGTCAATATCGACGATGGCGAGGAAGAAAGTCACTCACTGGATCCTAAGCGCCCCCTCGGAGAAAAAGAATACCGTGCCCTCTCCCGAGCCTTTCTTCGCTACGGCGATATAGATGATTCCGAAGATCTCATACTCGAGGATGCCAGGTTGCAAAGTCGCGACCGGGGCACTGTTCGTGCCGCTCTTCACGAAATCACCGACAAGGCAAACTCGCTTGTGCAAGCAAGTCTAGATCAACTGGAGGCTATGAAACAATCGGGTAGAAATCCCACGAAGAAAGAGCAGAAGGCCGTCTTGTTCGACCATCATGGTGTCAAGCGACTCAACGCATGGACTATTGTCGAGCGTCCACCGGACATGCGCCTTATCCGAAGCATCGTTAAATCATTGTCTGATTTTAGGACATTCCGGCTCCCCGAGGCTACCAAATTAGCAGACTACAGCTGCCAGTGGGGCGCCCGCGAAGACGGAATGCTTCTTGTGGGTATTGCACGCCATGGTTTCGGTGCGTGGACCCAGATTCGCGATGACACTGAGCTTGGGCTCGGCGACAAATTCTTCCTTGAAGAACACCGAGTCGAGCGCAAGACACAGCGCCTACAAACCGATGAGAAAGCAACAAAATCACCGGGTGCTGTTCACCTTGTTCGACGAGCAGAATACCTCATGTCTGTTTTGAGAAACAAGTACAATAACAATGCTACAGCAAGAAGGGCAGTCGATAATCACCACCGCAACAATAAGCGAGGCTCACGGGTTTCTGGTAGTGGCAGTGTCTCTGCCTCTCCGGCGCCCTCGAGCTCTCGCAGGCCCGAGAATCCCCGCAAGGGCCACCGTGATTCTGATCGATCACGGCCCCGCCCCAGCACGCATGGCAGTCGGGAGAGCACTGACCGTCATCATACTCCCAGCCATGACTCTCGTCCACGATCTGGTCTTGATTCTGATCGTCCACGCCATCGTCTATCTGATGCATCTAATGACGAGCTTCGTCGCCGCAAAGGTCATGAGAACGGCGGTTCTAATAAGGAAGATATGGCGTTCATGTTCTTCAAGCCTATCGTTGCCAATTTGAAGCAAGTGACAATGATCACTGCCAAAAATTACCCAAGCAAGAACGAGCGGGCTCAGAAACTACGTCTTACGCTTGTGAAGATTGGAGAATTCATTCGCAATAATCTGGAGGGCTCGCAATCGATGCCCTCCTTGGAGGTCCGACTCTGGTACGTTATCATTGTCATCACATTTGTTTCACGTTCTGACTTGATTTCCAGGGATTATGTTTCAGTCAACTACTGGCCAAACAAAGACGCCAGTGGTGCTAAGCTGCAGCAAATGTTCAACAAGGTCGTGGAAGCCAGTAAAGCTTCTAAGGCTTCTAATGGCAGCTCGGCTTGAAAAGTCCCGCATCTCATCAGCACAATGAGTACAGGTGTTCTTTGTTCCAGTCCAACTTCACTTTAGCACGGTTTGATGACATGCATGTCCAGCGTTTCTGATATCAGATATCTACCTATCCTTTTTTCTTTCTTGCCTTGATGATAGACACTCAGCGTACTTTTTTGCAATATCTGCTCCCTCTACCCCCTTTACAATGTTCTTACTCTCAATCTTGGACTATGAAATTCCAGTATTCTCTGCATTGGATTCAAGATTTTTGAAGTCGCTGTTCTTATCCTCTCCTCCAGACATCCCGCACATTTCCTTCACCTGTCCTCATCAAGGTGACCTCCCTCTCTTTTACTCTTTGTTGAAGGTACATATGGATGCAACTTGTTGCATGGCATTGCGAATGGCGTCGAATTCTTTGCGCCCCAGAAGCCCAGAATTTTCGAGATGAGCATGACCTACGGTCTTGGATGATCACTGCATGGCGTGTTTGGGGAGGCTTTTTTTGTTGCAATATTTCCAATGTTTTACAATGGGGGAGTTTTGGAATGGCTCTCCATGGGGGTTTTTTTTCCTGAATTGAGCCAATCATTCCATATCCCCTTTGCTTTAGTCTGCTTTTTATGCCGTGAGCATACCGAGATTCCTTTTTATGGAGGCATCCGTAATCAAGGACAATTTGTTTTTTCTCTCATGTATCTTATGGAGTGGCGTCGACTGTTTTCCTTACAGGATCATTCAGTTGGAAGTGTGTTATCTGCCGTTTCCTCACTTTCTTTCTGGTTAGAACGTATGTAGTCTGAACTAGTATTCCTGAACTACATGTATATGCGATTGAATACTTAGACATCCCCGAGAAGGCTTGAGGTGCCTTAGCGGGTCCTAACCGGCAGGGCCGTGGGCGCCCTAGGGGTACCTGTGAAAACACCGGTTATACAAAGCTTAGCCCTGGTCGAAGATGATGCACTCTTATTGGGTTGGTTACTAGCATGGTTAGGAACTGAATGTGTTGAGCAATAAGACACAACATGGATGGGAAACCAGCCACCTTTGATAGCCTATGAGTCTTGTCTTATCTCCCACTGGCGGAGGAAAAAAGACGTATATAAACCAAGCATGAAAGAAAGACACTCCTGTTCAATCTTACATTATAATGTTAAAATACCTAGATGAGAAGTAATTGTAAAAATCCCCCATCGGGGTGAATTATCACTGAGCAAGGCCGATAACCCAGGCCAGAAAGCAAAGCTGGAAAAAAAAACGGCTATTCATACATTCCGTTGTAGGACTCATTCTGCCCAGGTTTGAAGATACAAATAAAAGAACTCCATGCACGCCGGGATATGAGGAAAACAAAAGAAACGGTGACTGCAAGCTGATGCAGAACTGAGATCAGCCTCACCGAGCACACTCCGCGAGAGAGAAGGGTAAGGAAAAACAGGGGGTGCAGGGTAGAGAGGGCGGTGCGGCGGAGTGAGGTGAGAACGAAGCAAGGAGAAAGTGAAGACGAGCCAGCTAAGTACTGCCCTCGATAGTCGGCATATCTGCCGACTTCGCCAGCTGTTCCTGTTGATGTTGGAACTGCTGCTGCTGCTGCTGCAGCTTCTCGAGGCTGGTCATTAGGTGGGCGGGGGGAACAGAGCCGACCATTGCGCTGAACAGGTTGATCTCAGCGTCAATGAGATCATCAAAGATAGCCTCCTTCTCGCGCCATGCGCGCTCGCGCTGGGGGCGGATTGTCTCCCACTCGGCCTGTAGCTGGGCGGCTTCCTTGCCGGCCCAGGATATCTGTCGGCGGAGGAGACGGTAGAGGTCGCGCGGGGGAAGGCGGAGCTCAGAGTCATCAAAGTCAAGCTCTGGGCCAAACTCCGGGATCGAGGTCTCGTCGGGATCATGCGCGTCGGTTGCCGTTGTGATGGGGGCTGGTAGGATCGTGATTGCTTCGGTGTGTGGCTCAGACTCAGTTCCTGGCTCCCGGGGTTGGGTCAGCTTCAAGCGGATGCGTTGCAGCTTCGAGGCTGGAGTGCCGGTGGTGCTGCCTGGGGCGCCGTGGACTTTGGAGTTGGAGTCAATTGGGCGCATGGTGTCAGTCTCGTGAACAGAGCGCATGTGCTTGGTGAGGGCGTCGGAACGGGTGAAGTTGCGGTCACATTCTGTAGATTTCATTGTTAATACTCGAGATCTATCCACCCCCCTGTAGAGAGTTCGAGTCGGGGTCTGAGACAACGTACCTGGTAGGGTGCAGTAGAATGGCTTCTCGCGGGTGTGACTTCTCATATGTGCACGAAGGGCGTAGGCGCTGGCGTGCGTTTGACCTTTGCGGGTGCAGTCGGTCCACTCGCATGAGTACCGTTTCTGTCGGCTCCCGATGTGTTCATTGTGGAGGTGCTGCACCAACCCATCCATGTTACCAAGGTCGCCGGCGGTGCATCCGTCCCATCGGCAGATGGTGACTTGGTCAGTGCTCTGTCCGCTGTAATCTTCTTCTTGATTGGTGCCAAGGAGAGTGAGGATGCTAGGGGAGTGGGGGATTTCGCCAGAGCTATCGGAGGAGATGGAGGCAGTTGGGGATGGAGGAGGGTGGTTTTCATCTTGGGCAGAGGAAAGTGGAGTCTGTCGGTCCCAAGAGGCGACGCCAGTGCGACGCCGCTTCGAGGGGGGCATGTTGGACATCGAGGGCGAATGCGCGCGGCTTTCAATCTTCATGGATTCATGGTCTGAAGTCTCGAGGGATCCCACTGAAGAGAGCGGCGAACCAGGGGAGTCTCGTGAAGCCATTGTGATTGATGTAGCTGATATATAGGAGGGAAGAGGTGACGAACGATTTAAATTGTCTGTTATACTGCGCCGAGACCTCGCCGAGACGTCGTCGTCGCGCGAGGGAGGCCATTGGTATCATATCATGTAAGCAGCTTGCGGATGAACCGATTCACGTGACTGCAACTGGGCACAACCAGCAGGCACCGATCTCCCTTTCTTCCTTTGTTGCCTGCCATTCATAAATACATACTGATCATGATTGTTTCTATCAAGTTATCTCACTCTACCTACAATAATATTAGGTTGATTCATTTACTAATACAGTGAGCTCTGAATCAGTGCACACTAACTCCTATGGTAAGCTCGCCTTTGCCCTCTATACACACTGCCCTATACAATAAACTCTGCGCAACATCGAATCTTCTATGATGATCATCTTATGAATTTGCAATTCCGACAATCACCAATCAATGTGAGATTGGATGTTGACTCTTCTACACTTGATCTGACCTAATCAGCAACCCTCCTGCATTACAAACAACTCCCATTCGCTATGATCTAGCTAACAAAACCAAAATTTCTTGCAGGAACATCCTAGTATCGAGCCCCAGAAACTGTGTGTTCCACCAAAATAGCATCGATCTCCGCCATCTCGGCATCCGTCAGCGTCTGTGCACCACCCATATTCTGAACCACCTTGTCCTTCGTAGTACCGCCAGGGATGGGAATAATAGTGGGCATGCCGGGCCTCTCACTCAGTGTCCGGATCCAGGCCAGCGCTATCTGAGCAGGGGCAACATCCTTGCGAGTAGCAAGGTCGTTGACCTCATTGATGAGCTTCAAGTTGTGTTGGAAGTGCTCTTCTTGGAATCGGGACATATGGCGCCGGATATCATCTTGGGGAATATCGGCCAGCGAGGTCACAGCTCCGGTTAGAACGCCTCGGCCTAGTGGCGAATAAGCGACGACGGGGATTTCAAGCTCCGCGCAGGTTTTGGCAATGTCGTTATGGAGGATATCGGTGGACCATAATGACATTTCAACCTCAACAGCAGCAATAGGGTGTACTTTGTGTCTAGAGAAGCAGTTAAAGTTGGGGTTGTCCCTTGCAAGACGATATAAAATATGAAATAGAAAAACATACGCTCGGCGGATCGTCTCGGCATCAACCTCGCTCAATCCAATTCCTCCAATCTTGCCCTCCTTGACATATTGTGCAAGAACCCTGACGGTTTCCTCGACGGGGACTTTAGGGTCTTGTCGCGCGCATTCGAAAATATCGAGCTTCTTCTTGCCATCAAGCAGACGGAGCGATTCGTCCACGCTACGACGAATATTCTTTTCGGAGCAATCTGGAACAAGCTCACCCACCTTTAAGCCACCCTTGACACTGAGAACGACCTTCTCTGCGTTCTCGGGGTACTTGGTGAAGTACTTGTTGAGCAGGTGTAGAGAGTTGTACTCTGCAGTGCCGTACAGCTCGCCAGCGTTCCAGAAGTTGGCACCCAGTTCCAGGGTAGTATTCAGTGTCTCAAAGCACACCTCCTCTGATGGAAGCTGCGTGTTCCAGGTCATTCCTGATTTTATTAGCAAGATCTCAATTGTTGTGTTCGGGAGGGCACCGCACTCATTGTGCCATAGCCAATAGGGCCGACTTCCTGTCCGACTAGAGAAGGCATGATTGATATAGAAGATGAGTATGGAATCTTTAGGGAGATGAGATAGTGGGTGAAATGTCAAACTTGGTGGGCTGTGACGGGCCTTTTATCGGTTTCGAGATAGTGCCCCGCTGCCGGTTCAGATTTGTTAAGGATACATTTGGCCTTACAGCGAGACTTGTGACATCACATCAGGCTAGATGCAAGCTTTAGGTCAACGACAACAAACTCCCCGTCCGGGCCCTGGAGATAGCTCGCAGGATTGTACCGATGTCTGGAGTGATTAGAAAACAAACGCGGAGTTAACGGAGTTTAGCAAAGGTTCGCGGGTTAATAGCAAGTTAGTCGGATTGTTCATCGGGGTTAATATGAGCTCGGCCGTGAGACTGTATGGGGTGTAGAGTTGTGGCTGATGTATTAGGCTGTTATAACTATTACCAACATAAAGCTGCCTGGAAAGTTGGCCGGAATAATAGGAAACACAGGAAGGTTGAAAGCATACTACGTTGCCTGTGTATTGCAAGTCCACATGAACAGGCGGAGCTTGATTCGTGAAACGCTTGTTCCATGTATGGATAGGGACTATGGCTATATATTTCCAACGTAATATCATAGTGATGAGCAGAACACTGCCCTTTCTAGTCATAACAACAGACATGGAGACGAGGAGACTCTTAGCTATAGAGCTAAGTCGGGCTCCATAAAACATGAAAGAGTACATAATATAAAAGAACAAAACCGCCCTTTTTATTTCACACATCTTAAGATGGATAATCTTTCAGTTGCTTCTCTTTTCCCCTAGCACCGAAGACCCTCATCACACAAAGTTCTCCAATCCAATCTCATCAGAGCTGTCAATCAGATCTTTCAATCGATGTTCCAGCGCCTTATATATAGACTGAAGGAGAACGGGGAAATCCTGCAGGCTAATCTTCTTACTCCCGTTCAAAACATCCCCAATTTGTTCACTCTCGATCGGTTGGCTGTTACTATGTTCGTGTTCCACGGTTTGAATGTAGCCCGCTTGATTGCTGCCGTAAGTGTAAGTGTGGCTGACGGGGCTCGGGGAGATAATGTGCGTGTTTTGTGTTGGCTCCTCGTTCTCCAAGCCCAGCTCGGTCTTTACGGTGATTGTGGGCGTGGTGGTTGGAGTGGGGGTTGGGGTTGAGGTTGGGGTCGGCCCTTCCAGACCGAACCCTTGCAAGATGCTACGGACGTACTCATCGGTGCCTGGAATAAGTCTCTATAATTCGGTTAGAAGTCTGTTCTTTGGATGATGTGCCAATCGCTGGGCGACTAACCGGTGATCGAACTTCGAGTCCCTTTTCCTTTTCATCGGTCTGCTGGATTGGATGTGCGTTGACAGTAGACACTGCCAGCAGCGCTACTAATAGGAGTGAGAGCCATGATGTCCTCGAAATAATTCGCGACATAATGTAGAATTGAAGCGTTGTGAATCTGATGAAGTGATTGCAGCATGGATTACTTCCCGTGATGATAGGGATAGGTAATACTTGCGTCAAAACTATTATAAGATTGACTCCCTTGAAGGCTGATCTGCGGCCTAAATATGTTTTATGTGTTCTAGGTGCTTCAGACATCATTGAAATGCCAGCCTCTTCTTCTTTGGAATGAGGCTTGGTAGTACCGAATGCCGATGTTCACATCCCTACTGTATGTATCTTCATCTTCTTATTGAAAATTCGGAGTTTGCTCTCTTCAGCTTGAATAGTTTGCTTGATACTATAGCCAAACAGATCTGGCGTAAATGAACGGTTCCTACATCGACGTACACAAGTATCCCCAAAGGGGAAACCTTTTTCCATTCCGGCTCGATAACACATCACAACAGCGCCAAAGACAGGGGTTTCCTCGACTCCCTTAACCTCTCGAAAATGCAATCGCTGGATTTACAGGAATTACAATTCCATGGCCTCGCATGGGAGCAAGGTACCTTTGGTCTTGAGCCTAGATGGACCCTTGAACCTGAAATTGGGGCTATAAAGCAGACAGTACAATCGCTTCAGCCATCAAGCACAGTCGAAGTGACTTTCCTCACCCAGGGTGGGTTCAACAAGATCTATAATGTCAGCATAGATGATGAGATGTTCATTATGCGAGTCGCATTGCCAGTCGATCCACGTTATAAACTCATAAGCGAGGTAGCTACAATGGATTGGGTACGACGTATCACAAACCTTCCAATCCCGAGAGTTATCACTTACCAGTCTTCTCGGGAAAATCGGATTGGCTTCGAGTGGATGCTTATGACAAAAATGCCTGGAAAGCCTTTCGGTGATATTTGGCCATCTCTTTCTTTCGCTGTGAAATCACGCCTAGTTAGGGAGTTCGCCGTGAGCTCGGCTTGCATTTTCCGAAATCAACTACAGGGAATCGGAAATATCGATGAGGGACTCACGTCGACCAAGCAAAGTCTGCTACGTAGAGGGCTGGTCGATACCGAGATATCAGCTCCGGGAAAAGGTTCTGGCTTAGACGATTGTAGCACTCCCACGGGCGAGAAAGAGGGGGCTTCCCCAGACATAGGCCGAATTGTTTCTATGCAGTTTTTCTGGGGTCCATCTATCCACCAAGATATCCACCGGGGCCCATTTCGCTCGGGCAAGGACTGGATAGCTGCTCGACTTACACTGAACGAGAATATCTGCCATTCGACTCTGGATAAATATTCAGCAGCAGACCTTGATAGTGATGCTGAAGAAGAGATGGAAGACGCCACGACAACGCTCCAGATAATCCACGACCTTAGAACGATTCTTCCTATAGTCTTTCCAACAGATGAAGATGATAATTTGGAACCATCAATGATATTTCACCAAGATCTCTCGCGACATAATATTCTCGTTGATAAAGACGGGGAGCTGACTGGCGTTCTAGACTGGGAGTGCGTTTCAGCACTACCTTTATGGAAAGGCTGTACCTACCCTTCGTTTTTAGACCAACGACCACGATACTCGGAGCCTGATATTGGAAACTATGATCGCGAAGCTAACGGAGAACTCGACGAGCTTTACTTTGCACACCTATGGGAGTATGAGGCCACTCTCTTACGTGATATCTTTCTTCATGAGATGCAAAACCTAGACGCAGAATGGATGGAAGTCTTTGATAGAAGCCTAGTCAAGAGAGACCTTGACTTTGCGGTATACCATTGTGACAGTGGAATCTACGCTGGAAAGATCAACGCATGGATCGAAGATATCACCGCTGGCGTGAGAAATCCGCGCAGTTTGCGCGATAGGATCTATGCACCGCGTGGTCAGCAGACAGTTGTGGAACAATAACTGCAGTTGATCAAGCTGGGTATATATCAATATATGTGATCGAATTCTATTCAGGCTCTGGGCTTATTGAACAACCGGAGATATGAACTGCTACTAATTTTCAATCCAGAATATGTGCCAGTTAGTTGTGGTTACTGCTCAATAGTGGTTCAAGCTAAAATTGCCGCTACAGAGTGTGCTGAAAGACTGCTATGACCGAGGTCAAAGGAAAAGATTAGCCAGTCATAACGCTCCATATTCACAGTGAGGTTGACAGTTACGTTTGAAGTATTGTAGAGCACCTGAGTTTGATAGTAAATTAACATAGTCCCTTGTGGATCCAGGGGCCTAGGTCGATCCTCGATGGTGGCAGAACACATTCCGGAGACGAGCCTTGAAATGAGGCAGGTACGCCCTTATTAGATCATAATGATTCTGCCAAGAAGACATTATTCGCTAGGGCTAGTAAAATCTATAATGACTGGAATGAGAGAGTAGCCCCATGCTTGCATGCTCGCCCTATGCAACTGCTACCAAATCAGCACATCTTTCGCTTTTACAACCCTCGATAATATTTATCAAAAAAATAAAATTTGCATTGCGAGTGATGATTCGTTTATCAACAGATAGTTGAAGAGAAATCCTTCACCAAAAAAGAACCATTGACCCTGGTGCTTGATGTTCGCTCCATCCAGCTAACACCCTACACACCATCATTGAATGTATAAAAGTTCATCCATCTCTGTGAATAAATTGTAAGCCACTTTCCCGAATATCCCAGGCTTGCAATGCATATTCAGTGATACTTACCTTATCATAAGGCTTAGACGAGTCGCAGAATCGTAGATCTGTCGCAAGACGAATGACATTCTCCGGATCATTGTTGACAGTGGATGCGTGAATCTTGAAAAAAAAAGTCTCAGTATGATCAAGCTTGGTATGTGAAGAATCAATATCTTACCATGTGCGGCTTGTGCAAAACCACATCACCAGCCTCGTACGCCGACACCAGCCATCGCCGACCATGCTCGCGAGCGAACTCAGCCGGGCGCTCAGAAAGCAGACCCGTGGACATCATATTCGAATTGAAAGCCGACTTGGCCTCTTCATCGGTCAGTCCAGCTTGCTTCGCTTTGGCAAAGAAGGCCTCTTCCATTTCAAGTCCAATGCCGTCACCTGTTACGCAAGTCCAGTCAGTCTGCCAAGGTTTCCCGACAATCAACCAAAAAGCCAGGACCAAGACAAACCATCTTCCAAATAAATCAGTCCACCTCCATCGATCTTGATATCTCCCATAGGAACCCAAGCAGTGACACTAGTCGGATCTCCGTATCGCAAGAAGATCTGATCATAGTGCACGCCAATCGGCTTCGATCCAGGGATATTATTCCGGAGGAGAGTGCGACGCAGGCTCAATGTATTCTTTCCCCAATTCGAGAAACGTGCAATGAAATCGTATAGCGCTGGATGGTTACAGAATTTCTCTGCGTACCAGTCCTGGTAGTGTGCATCGAGAGCAAGGTCCACAAAGGCTGCTGCTCGTTCACCACCGGGCCTCCCATTCCCTCCAGCGTGGGCTGCGCCAATACCGGGGTAGTCTAGATGATCCTTGGCGGTGTCGAAGATCCCTTCGACGGGTGCTGTGCCGGGTTTCAGGACTCCTGTTGATTTCAGGGAGGAGAAGTATGCATCCCGGGCAGCGAGGACGTCCTCGCGGGGGAGGACTTGTTTGAGGAAGAGGTACCCGTCCTGTTCGTAGCGGCTGCGGAGTTCCTCGAGGGGGAGGGTTGGGTCGGAGGGGCGGAGGAGGGTGGCATTCTCTGATGTTAAGGGACCATCGTTGACGGTAAGGTTGCTTGCTTGGATACCGACCATATTGGATGCGATGAGTCAGTCAATTTAAATGAGATATAGAAGGAATTTCTGGTAGCTGAGACAGGTTGGGCCGAGCCATTTTTATATCCTTCGCATAGAGGGGTTTAGTCAAGTAGATTCATATCCCGATATTGAATCAATCGGCGGTCTTGGGCCCTGTATAGTTTGATGGTATACAAGAAAGAGTGTTATTCCCCGGGATTGGAGGGAGTTCATTACTCCTTTGGATGAAATGTGGAGAGTGTTCATGCCGATCGCGGGGAAAACTTCTCCTTTCTCTCCTTGCCATAAATATAGGTGATGACCTACGGAGTATGATTCCTAAAATATGGAAAGATGTCATTCCTTCAAGGCAAAAGGGCGAAGGACATGCTCAATACGTCAAGAGACGACACCTGTGCAAAAAGGATGATATTTCTGGATAGATGACCCGAAGTGACCCTCTGGATGGCGATCCGTCCAAAGAGAAGACCTGGTTTGACTAGAGCTGAGGCCAACGATCAAGCCGGATTTCGATACAGAAAATGAGGGTGAAGTATCTAGTATGAAATGGATTATAACAAAATTGACCTAATTTGGAGGGAAGTAATCCCTTCCACTGTCCAGCGGAGGTCCATGAGTCCATCACCCATGTCCGCCGATGATCCGATAGAAACAAGCAAAACACAACGAGAACTGTTATCAATATCATTTTAATACCTAGCAAGTTACAGGGTTGTTGCTTGTCCTACGAAATTGCCCCAAAGAGCCCGGGCTGCCTCAGAGACATCCTCATGGATTGCAACCACGAAGCCTATGTGGGAGCTCTATCTAGGATACCTCGACTCCAACAAATCGCTAGATTCAGTAAAAGATCAAGACAACTCAAGCGGTCTGGTAGAACATCTTTATTTTGTGTGTCTGATACATCTTGGCCGAAGATAGTCATTATGTCAAGGTTCGTACTTTTGTCGGCGTATCCAGTGACCTGTTGGTACCCAAAAGTGCATGGATTGTTGCCTCAATTCGACGTGGAATTATCAGATTGGTTTACCGGGTGGCAGCAGATAAGTAAAGGCTACCTATTGAACCCGACTGAGGGCAGGGAGAAGAGTTACCATTGGCGACTCATAGCAAACCCCCAGAAGTTTGTTTGCTTTTTTCAGGTCGTTGTCTACTTTCTATCCTCTTCCATTTCCAAAATGTTTACTATAAATCTCCGCTTCTTTTGTTCTTTTGATGGTTTTAACACCCATCCTGGACTCTGTCACCAAGATCTAAAGACCATCTAGATTGTTTTATTCTGTTAGGTATTGTCATTCTACGATGGCCTCAAACAGGAAAAAAGAAGCCCATAGCGAAATGGTCGATGCATCCAACTCTTCACGATGAGGTATCGAGATTGCTGGTCGAGGCAGATCTTGATTTCACATTCCATGAGGATGATTCTGACACAAGATGCACCAACACATGGGATACAAACATCATGGGCCGGTTTGTGTACCATAACGGATCATGCAAAGCCAATGGATGGTCAAGCAAGAGGATCGCTATCACAATTCGGCTATATCCAGGGCAAGAATATAATGCGAGGGTATACCACCAGCGCTGCAAATCCTGCAGGTCGCTCGGTCGACCAGTACTGGACCAGACATACGCCGAGAGAATTGTCTACTGGATCAAACGATGGAATGGAGTCCAGGTAGAGAGGCCACCGGTATCCGGCAATAGCAAGGGGCCTCATAACTCTGAGCTTTGTGAGGGGTGTAAAGCTGGACACTGTTCGCAATCAGAGGCTAGTTTTATTGCACAACTCGAAAGGTTTGATAGTCTCAAGTCAAGTCATATTCAATCACCGTATTAACATCTATGCTCAGATTGACTCTCTGATGAACCCGAGTTCCCAGTGTGATCAACAGCATCAAGATCTCTCATATGTCTGATGCACCTTTTGAGGAACACAATTTGCCTACTATGGGACGACTCGCCTTGGAGGGTTATTTTCTCCATTCTGATCTGTGAACAGGTTTCCAGGGTAGAAAGTTTACGCGATATCTCTCTTTATGTCCGGTGTATCTATATCTTCCTGATTGTAACGAGTGATGGAAATTATGCTATGAACTACAACACAGCTTAAACATAATTGCGGTTATAGACTTGTTTTGGTTGTGGCCATGGCTGGTGGACCAAAATATACAATTGGCCGTTTGCGGAAATGAGAGCTTTCACTTGTTTTCGAGTGACGTATCTGGACACTCAAGGGAACCAGAATTGTTGCCACTGAGAACCTATGAAACTTTGATGTCTTCCATCACGTCAAATTATGTCAATTCAAAGGGCTTTAGCCTGTTTTATAATGTTGTCGCGCTACTAAGTGGCTCCTATTGATACCCTGAGCTCCTCCCTATATCAAATAGGCCGTTGGCTGACTATCACAGGCAAAAAGTCTCAAACTCTTCACTATGTTTCATGAGACATAGCACTATAATCTGAAATGGAGAGGGAAGTATAGTAAAGAAAAAAACCATCACCCTGCACTATGTATGTTGAGTGAGCTGTTACAAAATCAAGAGTACAGTCCCATTGTTCCTCTGTCGCATCCACAAAGAAAGCCAGCGTGGAGAACCCCAGTAAATCAGAACCTTAGCTTCCACTCTGTACCCAATTATTGAGTCGTCATGTCCCCGGATGCCTTTGACGGTGGCAAAAAGACCCAAAAGGACAACCATCCCATGGATATACTATAGCTCTCGACTTGGATCGGTGACCATGCCAAGGTGCATCAGCCTCATTTTGACGTCGTGGACTTTGCAGCGTCGGATAGACATCATGAAAGGGAGGCAAGAGGGGGTTAAAGGTACAAAGAAGGGAAGTTCCTTCTCACAACTAGACTTAATGCGCTATCTCAATATCCAATTGAGTCTAACCTTGGAATTTTCGTCATAATATCTAATATTTTTGCTGTAAGCAGCAAAGACACACACATGGCTTCAGCGCCTGGTCTATCCCTAGCCTCCAGTGCTCCTTTCGGTTTACGGCCGACTATGGATCTGCCAGAGCACGCGAGCGGGACCAAGGAGCTGAGTTTCAGCCATCACCAACAGACTACTAGAAAGTTTAGTGGAGAAAATACCACTCTTGCCGATGTAGTCAACTCCCTTGCGCGTCGCGGCAGCGACGACCTTCCAGCCTCCCGGTCTGATACCGATTATGCGAGCCTGCTAGAATGGATTCGATGCGAGAGGATGAGGAAGCTACCACCCGAAGGAAGCAGCTATGATAAGGCTCTTGTGTGGGCCTCCTTGTTTATCGAGCGTGTGCATTCGTTTGATCAAGGAATCGAACAATTTGCGGGGGACAGCCACCTCGCTGCCCAATTATCTTATGGCTATTGTGCAAGCTTGCTTGAGGTGGGTCAATGTCGCATTCTCATTTGGAGTCATTTCGCTGACCATAAACGTGCAGCTGGGAGAGGAAAACGCTTCTGCCCTTATGGACCTGTTCGGGTTTTTCTACCGCTGCTCTGCCGGTCTCGGAAACTTGCTTGATCGTGCAGAACTCTTCGCAGCCTCTTCGGATATCAAGGACCAACTCATTCTTGCTTTGGCCGATCTGGTCACTCTGGTCGTCTCGGTGGCCACGCATTTCCATCGGTCACTACTTGCCTCGGAATCGGTATCAGTCGATATCTATAGTAGCTTCCCTGGCCCGATCGACAGTTTTCGTGCTCGTTGTGAGCACATTGCAGAACTTATGTGGAATCATCAATTGACGCGAGAGGGCCTTGATGACGATAATGGTAGAGTCCCTTCCCAGAACCCAAAGCCAGAGGACCCATTTTGATCATATCATCATAGCTGTCGGCATCAATACCCTGAAAGACTGGTTGCAACCCGAAGATCCGGTGATCGCTCAAGTTACCGAAGCCACGGCTCCCTCGGCTCAGGAACGTGAGGAGGCCACTTGCATGTGGGTGAAGCCGTACCTGATGCGTTTCTTGAAAGGCGAGCAGCAGGTGCTCTCCATCATTGGCAAGCCGGGCACCGGCAAGACGGTCTTGTCGACAGTGATCAACGACTACCTGCAGTATTCTGTGGGAGGGGCAAGGTACACGTCTATTTTGGCGCCCATCAGTCAGTCTTGTTGCCCTTTACCCACAACATAACTCTTCTAATCAGTTGTGACACAGGTGGTCGAATTCCCGCCATCACAACCCCGAGCGCAGTCGCCAAGACGATAATGTCGCAAATGTTTGACAAACGTATTGGAAACATGCAGTTGTATCAAATCTTAGCAGATACTTACACCCAAAGCAAGCGGACTGTCGACGAAGCTTCGTACGACGATCTCTTATGGAATGCTCTAGGGCGTGCTCTCCAAGCCAGCGGAGCGAGCACCAAAGAGTTGGTCCTAGTCATCGACGGCGTGGATGAGGCTAGCTGTGGCGAGAGAACCATGTCGCACCTACTTCAAGAGACGGTATCCAAAATGCATAGTGTGAAGCTGATCACACTCGGATCCCAGGCAGTGGACTCGGCTATCTCTCAGACGGCGGTGGGAATTACATTGGGCCTAGTCTTCGACGACATTGCCGCAGTCACCCGCAGAGAACTTCAACAGAGCCAGGTGTACAACAAAATGTCGAACGAAGACAAAGAGTTGACTGTGGCTCGAATCACGGAAGCATCCGACGGCTCTTTCCTCTGGGCAAAGTTGGTCGCTACACGTGTGCGTGATGAGCACTCGTCGAACGAGGCCTCGCTTTCCAAGTCTGTGGAAAGTATCATCAAAGCAGGAGACAAGGTCTCCGACCTTATCTCCACCACCTTACAGTCCAAACTAGATGAAGACACGAAGAAGATCCTGATATGGTTGGCCACCGCAAACCGCCCTCTCTCACAGCAGGAACTCGCTGCTCTTCTTCCCACACAGCCTGACAAGGCCATTATCGCTGAGAATCGTGACACTGAAATATCTCATCTATTGAAGCCAGTCGCCTCGCTTGTCTTCTCCCACAACAACTTGATTTATTTAAGACATGCACAGGTGCGCACCGGCATCCTCGATGTCTTTTCGAAAGGCAAATTCCTGCCTACAATCAAGGACAGGCACGTGGATTTTGCAAAGAGACTTCTGCTGTACATTAAGCAAAATGCAAACGACAGCCATGAGGCATCCTTGGATCCCTTGAGTGGGCGAGTCACGGAGCACCTGTTGGAGAAACATCCCCTTTTGGACTTTGCGCTTCGCTACTGGGCAGTCTATGCTAAGGCTGCGTTTGGATGCACCAGCAGTCAAGAAATTACTACCGGAAGCAAGAGTTTGCGTTCTGTATTCCCTACAAGCTCCTTTGTCCCACTCCTGGAGATGACTGTATGGGCAAGCAAGGCGACACCGTTGCTTCGATCCATTTATAAGATCCAGACAGCATTGTACCAGCAAACCTTGGGCAATAATCACACAGCAACACTGCAGGCAATTCTTTGCCAGGCAGTATTTCACCGAGAGATCTATAACAGTGTGCCCGTCGAGAGCAGTCAGATCTTTTATGAGGCGGCAAGAATTAGCCACAAGGTCTTATCTGCGCGGCATCTCATCACTATGCAGATGACCCAATTATTCCTGGCGGCCACAGCTGATCAAATCACTGGGTCTAAAACGCAAACTATGACCCAGCGCGTCGAAATGCTCCAGCTACTGGTAGAATGCCAGAAGGTCCATCACGGAGCGACAAGCATGGTGGTAAAGACCACATTGACGCAATTGTCCGAGCATTATAGTTTCATCAAAGAGAACCGCAAAGCGCAGGAGATCAATGCCTCTTTGGAGGGGTCATACGCCGACAGTACGACCCAGCGGAGAGGTTCTCGGCAGATAGACGAGTCATTGCTGGTCCACCTCCACGGCCCAAAGCACACAACAGAGACAAACAATATCCTGGATTTGGATGAGATAGAGGCGGACGAGCTGGTCACATTGTCTTTGGACATGAAGGCTCACCCGATTAAAGAGGGTCACTCGGCGGACGCCGAACGCACATATGTCGAGCTATGGCAACAAGCTAGTCAGGCATATCAGCTCAATCACTTCACTGAGCACAAGGTCTCAATGCTGCAAGCTGTGCTTAAGTATGCTCAATACCTGAAAGACGAGAAGAGGGACAATGAAGCAGCCTCTATCCTTGCTGGGGTTTGGGAAGAATACGACAAGACTGCTTCCAGCCCCGAAGCTTTGGTGCCTCATTTGCTCGAGCTTGCTCAGGTCATGAAAACTGTGGGACTCTCCGTTCTGGCCCTTGAAATCTACAAGCACTGCGCACATAGTACCAACAGCCAAAGCCCTACCCACAAGGAAGCACAAAAGCATATCAACTCCACCTCCCGTGAAGTGATGCGCTCTTCTACCAAAGCTTTGTTGACGGAGTCAACCCTGAGGGAAATGGTATATGATAGCGCATCCCGTGACGACAAGGAATCAACTGAAGCAACGACAACGCTGGTTGAAATGTACCTGTCTCAACACCGATGGCATGATGCTTCGAGCGTATTGAAACGAGTGCTGCGAGATGTCTGGCCTGCGTTATTTGCGCCTTCGCTCGAAAATGTTGTCCTGCCCTCAAACAATGTGGAGTACTGCATCGGACTTGCAGAGCGCCTCGCCAACTGTTACCGCTACCGCCGTCGCGTGGCCAAGGAAGAGGATATTCGGCACCGGCTTTATAGTGCAGTCCGGCGCGACCGGCCGGCGTCTGAAGATCAGGCTTTGCAGCGAGTCACGATGAATCTTCTTCGTCTGTACGAGCGTACCTCCCAGACTGAAAAGGTCGTTAAAATCCACCAGGATATACTGCATGATTACACGAAGCGGTTCGGTAGAGACCATCCTAGTGTGATACAAAAGCTCTGGACCCTGGCCGACTTGACGACCCCACAGCCCATTGCAGTGGATTATTATCGCCAGATTGTCGAGGTCCTGAGCAAGGGCTCGGAAACTTGTCACCCGGATGCCTTCGAGCCGCTCTTGATCGTTGCAACGGAGTATTTGAAGCAAAGTCGATACGCGGACGCGTTGACGCCCTGCCGGATGCTGTTCGCCACCCTGCATAGGCCTCAAATCAGCCCGAAATTGCGAGACGCGGAATTCGTCAAGACTATCTACGAACGTTATATTCATTGCCTACGCGCGACTCACAGTGACACCGCCACTATCCATGATGTGACAGAGCAATATCGCAAATCTTGCATCAGGCTCTTTGGTGCAAGCGCGTCTATCACCATACAGGCAACCAACACGCTGGCGAATATCTGTCAAGAGTCGAAGCAATTCGAAGCGGAAGCGGTTCAACTCTATGAAGAGCTTCTACATATCAAGTCTAGTGAAGCTGGAATCGACCAACAAGACATTCGCGCCACCTTGGACGCTATCTACGAAGAGAAGAGTGCCTCCATGACTGCCTCGAAAGTGGATAGTATGTCGGCAAAGGAGCTACAGAAGGCGTTGTCAGTTCGCACGCAACGATTGACGTCCATCCGGTCCAGTTACGGTTGGGCCCACGAGGAAGCTCTATCCCAAATGGAAGAAATTGTCTCACTCTACACCAAACAAGGAAAGCCGCAGGAAGCTGTTGCACTGCTACATGAAGCAACTATGCAAGTGCTATCGACCGAAACATTCTCCATCAAGTTGAACGCAGCGGCCAAGAGCATTGCATCTGGCTACATCGCAGCCGGTCAAATTCAAGAGGCGAAGGATCTCTCGAACGAGATTTATCGTCATATTATTACTAAGGATAACATGAGTAACAGCGTACTTGACTTTGCTCAAACTTCAAAAGGCCGGCTGGGCCTTGGTTTCCTGGCTCAGCTCGAGTACAGTATTCGGGAATTCGAAGACAAGTCGACTACATTCAATGAAATTTACGCCGCCCTGACCACGGAGTATATATACTTCGAACAGTTCCGGGAAGCTCTGGGCTCAAAGGGTGGCAAGATTGAGGATACGATGATAACAACAGCTCGACTGCATGCGTTCCTACTCGACCGCGGCCGTCAATTGGGTGCTACTAAGGTAGCGGATCGGTATACCAGTTTCTTCCTGACGACCGAGGGCTCCCGCCTGGATATCGACCCTAACCAGGCTAGGGTCTTCATCGATACAGTTCTGGAATATTTCAGCGCCCATGCCTCGCACGACTTTGTCCGCTCAGTAGCAATTGCTAGTTACAACCGCGTGACCCAGCTGCTTCACACCGAGGAATACCAGTCTGCCTGCCACCTCGCATTGGGAGCGACAAAATACATCGGTGCCCACCATGGCTACTCATCCCAGGCCATACTCAAGCTGGTGTTTAAGCTGGGTCTGCTCATCGCCAGCCGAGAAAATCACGTAGGCTCAGAAGTCTCGGCCAAGAACTACATGTCGAGCGTCGCAGCGAGAATCCTACATGATACTCTAGGATATCTCAAAGAACACAACGTCGAGTTCGCAAAACTTGATCTGGCAAACGTCAACAGCTTGATTAAGGTTCTCGATAAGCAACATGATTACCACACCATGGCCTGGGTTCTCACCTCCCTCTGGAACAGCCGAGACGTCCATGCTCCATCACAGTCTCAGCATGCCTACACGCTTGCTCTCGGTCGCATGCTAGTCATTACCCGCTATCTCATCGGCGATTACACAGGTGCCGTCCAGCTTGCAGAGAGTCTTGTCTACAACTGTGCTCGTGTCCACGGACCCCGCCATCCAAGTACCGTCGAGATGACCGTGCTGCTATCACAGATGTATACAGGTGTGGCTCAAGGCTATCAAAGCCAGAAAGGTCGACGTGAGTTGGCCTTCCGCTACTATCGCAAAGCGGCCGCGCTACACGAGAATGCTTTGCGTGTGTTCATTGACCCGTCCTCGGCATCTGTCAGTGATGTAGATGTGGATACCATCTCGGAAATGTCATCCCCTTCGCCTGCTTCCAGTCCGGGTGAAAATGCGGAAGGGAAGTATGTCCGACAGCATTTGCAAATGCTCAAACGTTCTATTGAGCGCCTTGGTGATTGGCCTAAGGAATACTCAGAGTATGAATCCCTTAATCATGATCTCTTCACCACATTTGCGAACGATCTCGAAGGAGTGGAGGGTGTCGATAAATGGAATTTGCAATCGTCTGGATCCGGCCGGGCTGAGGCTAATGATGACCTTATCTCCTTCCATCATGAGCATTTGGCAATTCCTGTTTAAGTCTGAGCTCCGATCTTGAAAAGTTGGGTCTATTGTACTTTTTTGTTCTTGGTTCTGTTTGTATGATCGTTTTGTCGCGCGCCTGTCTGGTTGACAGTTAATGTTGTGTGCCTTGTAACTAAATTGACCTATCGTAATGTTTACTTCTTATATTATATTCACTAAATATGCTAGTATGAGTCTAGAGATACAACCGAGGTAGAGATTGGTATATTTACGACTGTACTCCCAAGATTCAACTTTCACTGAACATGTTTCTATCGAATCTCGAGCTCCACCACCCTGAGGGCCTCGACCATCTGGGATTAACGTGGTTGAAAACAAGGATTGGATGGGGCTTCTTCTAAACCTGTGCCCGCGTTTTGGCAATCAGTCGTTCGGCAATGGCTTCCTCCCCCGCCGCCTCCATACGCGGATCTTTCGACCTCCACGAAAGAGAAATGGCAAGAATTCAAGCGCTCAAGCGCCCAGCGAGAATCCATGGGGAAGAAGTCATTGCCGAACGACTGATTGCCAAAACGCGGGCACAGGTTTGGAAGCAAAAACGGCAAAACAATGGTGCAGATGTACCCGTGCTAGGCCTGCCGGGTACGGATGAGTGGAATTCGGACTCTAACAACTACGAATCCGAGGACGACACTACGTCGGTTATATCCTCAGGGTACGAATCGGCAGACGCTCATCAAGAACCTACAGGTTCAGTCCGATCAGCACGCCCATTCGCAGTCGTGATCCCACCACTATCAGAAGCTACAAGACAAGCGATGAATAGAAAAGCTCAATACGATTGAGATCGGACCCAACCAGGTCGATACGGGAGCGCCAGAGAGGCAAAAGCTCCAAGAAACTATGCCCAAACGGGCCCACAGGAACGCCCACACCCAAGAACGCCGTGCAAAATCCCCGAAGAGCTCACTTTCTCTTATTCAAGACATCTGCAGAGCTCTCGCTCGACGGGGATTCATCCCCATCGCCACCGGGGGAAGCCGGAACATCCCATTCGAGCTCGCAGATCCAGGCCTCACCTGGCCCTCAAATTTGATTCACAGGTGCCTCTCCGTGTCAGTGACTCTTCGAAATTGTCGCGATGACGTCGAACAGAAGCCGTTGTTTTGACAGCAGAGTGCTGGGGTCCACGCCCTCCTATGGCACAGAATCGCCTGGCATCTCCCCTTCCAACCGCCTGGAGTGATTGTAGATTTCGATCTCGTCCCACATAGGGTCCAATCATACTCGTCGGCATCAGTCGAAACGATGATAAAAATGGGGACGAGGCATCACTCATTTTTCCTCTTCTTGGAAGATACGCCACTCATTTTGCTTTTTCTTAGGCGATATGCAACGTAGATTATGTAGGTCGGGAGATAGAAAGACAACGGACCGCTTTAAACATATGTGCAGGTTTGAGACCCTGTTGCATATAGTGCGTTTGCGTTCGGGGGAAGGAGTGAGACTCTCAGTGCCGAGGCTTAATACTGGGCTCTAACGTGGATCCTTTGATAATTAGCGCTGTGAGATGGACTTGATTGTCGTACTTACTGTGAGAGGGTCCCAGTGGACTCCATAGAGGAGGGTAAATTGAAATGAGAGTGAGGAAAGAGTGAGGAAAGAGTGAGGAAAGAGTGAGGAAAGAGTGAGGAAAGAGTGAGGGAAGAGTGAGAGAAGAGTAGGCGGATATATGTGAATAGTTTGGCTTCACATGTCTGGACTGTCTTTTGGTCCTGAAATTATATATGTCGGTATATAAACTGGTAAGAGGTAGATAGTATAGGAGAAAGAGGAGGTGATCGGTAGGTACGTTAGTAAAGATGGAGAGCACTGTCACTGCCGTGAAGCAAGCCATTTTTAGAAGAGAAGAGACACAGGTAGCAAGGACGAGGGGAGTGAAGGGGGCTGGCTTCATATTTCTGGGAGCAAACTGCGATTATTCTGAGAATATCTGCGACCGTTTAGAAGGTATTACCTGTATTTGTCCCCAATAGTTATCTTGCCACCGTGACGCCTACCTTTTATATATCTAGAAGCCAGTAGTATCCTTAGGCAGTTATTCCATCAAAGGGCAGAGTGTATAGCATATGTGCGATAACATGATCATAGAGAAATATTGCGTGGGGCTGAGTTATGTCCTTGTTATTATGCACGAAATATTATATCAATTGCACTCAATTACTGTCCATAGACGATACCGAGGTGAGCATATTAAAAGGTAACGCATAAGGCACAAATAAATTAGCGGCAACAAAGCACTATAGACAAAACGCCATACATGAATATATACAGGCCCATTTCATGTCGCTCAGGACTCCAATCCAATGCATCAATGATCTAATCTTGCTCATAAGATTCAGTGCTCTTTATGACTTATCCTGCTTCCAGTCACTCAGCTTCCAAGACTGTACTCCATCCACAATATCCAATCTCAGCGTCGTGAACCGAATCTGCTCATACATCACAGTAGCAGCGGCTCTTGCTTGAGCATGCCAAGGTCCACGACCCCCAAGTCTAGCATCGTTTCGATTGCGCCAGACACCTAGTCAAGATATCAGCAACTGGTCCCGATAGTTGAGATCAAAGAATCCGATACTCACAGGTCGCCAAATTCTGATGCTTATCATTCTTCGCCCCAAACCAATACTTCAACAACCCCCCACTGGCAATCGCCTCTTGGTGTGAATGTGCATCAAGATCATAGAGCCGGTCCGAGTCGATATTCGGCAACAGTATCGATCGGAAAATCACAACATAATAGGATTGCGATGTCCACGTGTGGTTCTCAGCCTGAGAGAAAGTTCTCAATATATCAAACACTTCGGTCCAATTGAATGATTCTGTGTATTCAGCGGTGGCATAGTCATCACGGATGGGTTTGAGATATGCCAATGCCAAAGCGAAGAGTCGATCTTGTCTTTCCAGTTCAGAAATGTCCAATAGATGGGGGACGCTGTTGTATGGCGATGCAATGAGTCGCGTGTCTATTTCCGTCTCTGGGTATTGTTTCTCCAGTGGCAATTCCAGTTGCAATGATGCTGCCGCTTCAAATCTCAAGGGATCGAATTCTGTGGTGACATGACTATGGTGCAAGAGTCGAGTTGTGCTTGGGATCCTTTGGTCTTTGCCCTTGTTTGAGAGGTTTTTGGTCACTGGGATCACTGGGACGGTGTTGCTGGGGACCGGATTGACTACGGTGAATGTCATATTTTTCACAGTCTCTATAGATCTGATTTGTGACTCAAAGGATTCCAATTTTTTGAGAAGAATAAAGAAAAATTGAAGTCAAGCGAAAAAAAAAAAAAGATATCGGGAAAAATTCGGGGTACGGAGGAGGCGAATCTGAATTTTTATATAGAAAATATTATACATGCGCAAGAATAAGACACAGCAGACAGTCGACAGTTTATATAGAGGATTCTGACCGCTACCATGGCGCAGGAATTTGTACCACATTCCTCGGCGATTGTGTGCTTTGCAAGAGCAAAAGCACGCAATGTAGGCGAATTTGATATAATGTTACTGTTTAGGCAATTGGTCTAGGGTCTATTACACCGTCTCTTGTACGGAGTATCCTTAGATTAGGGTTAATCTATCTCACGGGATTGACTCCCACTCCGTGTTCAGATCAGCCCCAGACCGTTTTACCCCGTATAAAATCCCGGGGGCAATTCCCCGAGATGGTGCAATGCTTGGCATCACTCACTCTCTCACTCTCTCTCTCTTTGTTTGTTCAATGCAATAGTCTAGGTGTTTTTTTTTAAAAAATTCAAATGTGATTTTGAGTCCTGTAGTCAGATCTTAATGTACAATCGGTTTGGTATCACGTAAATCATAGAAGTTCAGACCTGATCTTCCCCTCGAAACGCCGTCAAAATGCTGAGACCCGACAAAAGTAATTCGGCGAAAAAAATAATAACACTTAACGCTTAGGTGGGGGGCCCATCTTGCCCTCGCTTGTATCAGCCTTCCGCTTGAGTGGGATAGCAGGCACCTTGAAACCACCATTCTCGCCACTCTGGGGAGGAACAGGATTCTGGTGAGGAGCTTGAGTGAAAGTTCCAGACTTGAACCACCGATTTTCCTCGGCGTCGCGTTTGCGCTTTAGTTCCGCTTGCACCTTTGGATCGACTAGCTCCAGACCCTGAACGGGTGTAAATGCAATAGTACTCGAGGTACCAGCAGCGCCAGGTAGAGACGATCCGACACCAGATGCACGAAGACCTCGCGCCTGGAGGACGGATGCAGTACCACTTGCACCCCCCCTGGCCAAAGCCACGCACCGACGAGGCAGTACCACTGGCGGGGGTAGTTGTGCCCCAGCCCTTGTTGTTCTTGCTAAGTCGGGCACGAGTGCGCTGGTCGATCTGAGTTGCACGGATGCGACCATCGTCCTGTTGTCCCAACATACCCAATCCAACGGTTCCAGAACCCGTGCCGTAACCCACCTCCGACTCCTCCTTGCCGAATGCAAGACGATTCTGTGCCTTGCGTAGTTCCGTCATGGCGACAGCTTCCTTGGCCTTTCGGGCGCGCCAACCACCTCGCTTTCTGGAAGGTTTGTCATCGGGCGCGGGGAGAGCCTTGGTACCGGCGTTTGGTGCAGAATTCTCAGTCAATTTCTCCAGTCGCGTGAAGCATTGTTGCTTCAGTTCTTCACCCAGAGAGCCATCCTTAGCGTAGTTGGAGACATCCGCGCGGGCAGCGAGTACCATCTTGGCGGCAACAATTCGAATTCCTTGTTTTTTAAGATCTTCAGGAACATCTTCCAGAAGTGGCGAGTCGTAGAGGAAACCTTTCGCTCTGACGCCATGATTAGTCGCGAAGCCCAGTCCTTCTGATCTGCGTGATCCTTGTGCGCCCAAATTGCAGGCAGGGATCTTAGCTAGTTCAAGCAAGCCGCCTGTTTGGTTGAGGAATTGTGCAGCTGTTTCGGCTCCGATAAGTGCTGCTAGGTTAGGGGCAATCTGGTTCATGCGAGACTGAATGCTGGCGGTAAGAGCAATACGCTCTTGGTCGAGTTTCAAAATCCTCTCGCAGGTATCGAGAACGACCTTGAGCTCGGAATCAGTCATCTCTCGACCTTTGGTAATAGTTGCTTCCATCGCAACTGCCATCAGGGAGGGTCCGTTCAAGACAGATTTGAGCGGGACGCCAACCATGTTCTCCGAGGATGTGGACAATGTCTTGATGTCGTTGAAAGGGCCATTTTTAATGATAGCGACTGTCTTGGCGTATTGGATGGGAGTGGTAACGAGTCTTTCGAGCTCGGGGAATCGGACGGAGTAATGGTCGCGCAGGACTTTGTGCAGCCGTGTCAGTTCGTCAGCTGTAGAAATAGAACGGTCGAATTCATTGGAGACCCCGGCGCCTTCTCTAGAGTCTTCCTGTTGCTCGGGCTCTTCGTCGACTTCCTCGCCTTCGCCGACATCGAAGTCCTCGTCATCCTCAAAGTCGCGCAGAAGCTCTTCGGCGGTCGACATTTTGACTCAGAAAGTCGTGTGACGGGTGCGCTCCCGTAGAATTAGGTGCGTGAAATCGTGGTCCCAGAACGCCACTGGGTAAACTGAACAGAAGAGCAATGATACTCCCAAAGTTTAAGGTTGGCAAGAAAAGTGGCGCTTAGTCAGAAGGAAGCTACGTGCGCGGGTGGCGATAGGGACCAATCACGCAGTTCGGCGATTTCATCGCGGATTCTCTGAGCTACGGGTCCAAGCTACTCTCGGCGTCACTGGATTGGGCGTGAGAAACTTTCCTGCCAATCTACGGGTCAAGCGATCGTTGCGGTTTGATCAAATTCACGTCAACTCTCAATTCCCTCCTCTTGCTCAACCTCCATTGCATGCCCGACATTTTCGACATCGCCGAACCTCACCTTACATCATTCTAAGTCGCGGACCACCCCTTTTACTTCTATCAGTTAATAGAGTACCTTCACAATGGAGGCCTCTCGCGGACCCCCTCGGGTCAAGAACAAGGCTGCTGCGCCGGTTCAGATCTCCGCAGAGCAACTGCTCCGCGAGGCCGTTGACCGGCAAGAGCCTGGCCTTGAGGCGCCGACCCAGCGCTTTGCCGATCTTGAAGAGCTACATGAATACCAAGGTCGGAAAAGAAAAGACTTCGAAGACTATGTGCGCCGCAACCGTATTAACATGAACAACTGGATGCGCTATGCCGCCTGGGAGCTTGAACAAAAAGAATTCCGCCGCGCGCGATCCATCTTCGAGCGTGCGCTCGATGTTGACCCGACTTCGGTGGTTCTTTGGATTCGTTACATCGAAGCTGAGATGAAGACCCGAAATATTAATCATGCCCGAAACCTCCTCGACCGCGCCGTGACTATCCTCCCACGCATCGACAAGCTCTGGTATAAGTACGTCTATATGGAGGAGACGCTGGGCAACATCCCCGGTACCCGCCAAGTGTTTGAACGATGGATGTCATGGGAACCGGAAGAGGGTGCATGGGGCGCATACATCAAAATGGAGAAGAGATATAGTGAATTCGAACGAGCACGCGCCATTTTCCAGCGGTTTACTGTCGTCCACCCTGAACCTCGAAACTGGATCAAATGGGCCCGCTTTGAGGAGGAGTATGGCACAAGTGACTTGGTTCGTGAAGTCTATGGTGTGGCTATTGAAACGTTAGGGGAAGACTTCATGGACGAGAAGATCTTTTCCGCGTATGCTAAATTCGAGGCTAAGTTGAAGGAGTATGAGCGCGCTCGAGCGATTTACAAGTATGCCCTAGACCGACTGCCACGGTCCAAGGCGATGGCCCTTCACAAGGCCTACACGACATTTGAAAAGCAATTCGGTGATCGTGAAGGTGTGGAGAATGTCATTCTATCCAAGCGCAGAGTGCAGTACGAAGAGCAGCTTAAGGAGAACCCTCGCAATTATGACATCTGGTTCGACTTTGCGGGCTTGGAGGAAACTGCGGGTGACACAGAACGGGTGCGGGACATCTACGAACGGGCCATTGCACAGATTCCTCCATCACAAGAGAAAAGACATTGGCGTCGCTACATCTATCTCTGGATCTTTTACGCCGTATGGGAAGAAATGGAAGCGAAGGATATGGAACGCGCTGGGCAAATCTATCAGGAGTGTCTGAAGATAATCCCGCACAAGAAGTTCACATTTGCCAAAGTCTGGCTCATGAAAGCGCAGTTCGAGATTCGCCAAATGCAGCTACAATCAGCACGAAAGACATTGGGTCAGGCGATTGGAATGTGTCCGAAGGACAAACTGTTCCGTGGCTATATCGACATTGAAAAACGGTTGTTCGAATTCGGCCGGTGCCGTACTCTGTACCAAAAGTACATTGAATGGAACCCTTCCAATTCCCAATCGTGGATGCAGTTCGCAGACCTGGAGCGTAATCTGGGTGACACGGAACGAGCGAGGGCTATCTTCGAGCTTGGCATCGACCAGTCGACACTTGACATGCCTGAGCTTTTGTGGAAGACTTACATGGACTTTGAAGCAGATCAAAGCGAGTATGATCGAGTCCGACAATTGTACGAACGTCTTCTTCAGAAAACCGATCACGTCAAGATCTGGAGCAACTACGCCCAATTCGAGGCCTCGGTGCCGGGCGAGGAAGAGGAGGAGGAAGAGGAAGAAGAGGAGAAATTGAGTCAAGAAGTACTCAGCCGCACACGTGCAATCTTCCGACGGGGAGAGAAGGTTCTCAAAGACAAGGGTCTCACGGAGGATGTAAGTTATTATTTCCTTGATCCAAACACTATGATCTATGCTAACTTGCTTATAGCGTGTAAGTCTTCTCGGCATTTGGCAAGATTTCGAACATTCATATGGATCTCCGGAGGATATCGAAAAGATCGACAAACAGATGCCCCGGCGCGTCAAGAAGCGCCGCAAGATGGCCAACGACCAGTACGAGGAGTACGTGGCCTATGTGTTCCCTGCAGACGATCAATCTGCTGCCAATCTTTCTCGTTTGCTCCAAAAGGCGCACCAATGGAAGCAAACCCAGTCCTAGAGTGTATGATAGCTTTTATCTCACAATTGGAATATGAAGCTGTGAAAGTGATGCCAGAAACGAGTGCCCACTACGCTGTAACACCCCATTCTAGCGTCCCAATAGATTTATTGTAGACTTTATCAACCATAAACGGTTAGTGATCTCGGTATGCCTTCTGGCTGCCTTACCCAGGTTGTATAGACAACTGCCTAGCAGAGTAGGTGAGGCCTCCTGGACAAGCCCTTTGTCAGTCCACTCCTATGCCGTATTCCCAGGCCTCTAACTCAGCCCTCTTCTGTATAGAGCAAGAGCTCAGGTTGTAAGCCCGAGAAATTTATCAAAAAATGGACTGAGCACTCTTGCCTACGAGGTCATTTTTGGGCAGGTTGAGAAAGTATCTGTAGCACACTTTGGGGGTTGGTCTGGCTTGGTTCAGGAAATACGCATAATATTGGCCCATCCATGAAAATATGAATACACAGCCTGTCATGGGAATGGACTTCATGTGGTGTGGTTATCAGATCAGGATACCACGTCTGATATCTGCGTGCGACAACGAAACCGGACCACATGCTCTCATTCTATCAAACTGATGTCGCCGGCGAAGCGACATGAAATGACATGTAGTGTCTTGAGATGGAGACATTCCCCTGCATTCAGATGGATATACAGTATGGATGTGATGCATCCTGGCCACTAGTTGCCACTAAATATTCTTCTGAGCCAGTTGTGCAACAGCTGCATCCCCGTCGGTATTCTTCAGCGAGGACGGGCCCTGACTATGTAATACAAACTTGCAGTGATTTGCCTATGCTGGTTGAATTAGAGATTGGGGGTATGCTTTGCAGGAGCTGAGCAGGAAGATATCAGCCAGACGTCTCTTGACTGGATTCCTACTGAATCATGAGATAGAAGTAGGTGGGTGTTCAACTTGTAGATATATATATCAACACCCAACTTCTATGTTGTGCAATATTCATTCATAACCTCGGGAACTGTGACATTCACTTCTCGAAACATATCCGCAACCCCACGTTGCATCGTCCAAACTCAGTCCCATGATCCTTCTTTCATGTCGTTAGACTGATAGGGCATGCGGCAGGTCTTAATGTGAGGGCTGAGTCCAAGCCATCCACGGAGTACTTAGAAAATCAATTAAGGTCTTGCAAGAAGCCCCACCTGCAAATGCCTCGAGTCTTGTTTCGTCTTTGTCGATCAAGTCATTCAAGGTGTGCCCAATTCAGAGGGACTATCCTCGTTGGAAATTTCTTACAACACAAAATGATAATGGTCATGTAGGTAGATACTACTGTGAAACACGAGGATAAAGGAGAATCAAGATCGTCCAGGCGATGACTGTCCAGGTGACATTTGGGAAATTGATCAGTATTCCATGATTGGGGCCGATCTATATCAAACAACCAGGATTGCGGGGGGTATGCAGCGTCAGGTTTTCTTGAATAGGGAATTTGTCATTATGACAAATGTGTAAAATTAGGACACTGAGTACTCCGTGTAGAATATATTTTTACAGACATTGATACATGAAGTAAGGATAGATATTTTGGTGATTCTGAAAGCCAAAGCGGCGAGACAACAATCGTCTTCTTTGAACACCATGACCAGCTAACAGAGGGGACTTTGGATAGCTTTTTGGGGGGATAGTTACTGTAGCCAGTTGAGTACCTACCAAAGTACGACCGATTACCGACCTCGATGAGCCATGAACAGCGAGGGTTGTGTTTCGCCTCTCAGTTAATAATGATACCGTTAACTGCAGTCATCAGGACTACGACCTGCCCTGATCAGTATCAGCTTTCTACCAGGGCACATTTCAATCCTACCAAGAGTAGTAACTGCTCACTCTTATCGACGCCAATTGGTCGATCCTCACTCACACCTTTTTTTATAGCGGGGGATTATGTTGCAGATCAGCCCGTGAAGAATATTAGTGGAATGTGCCATAAAGATTTCGATGGCACACCATTGATTGGATTGAGAACCAACAGGGTCGTGGAATGACTGCACAATGCCAAGACTTTAGGATGTTAGAGACCCACGGTATGAGAATGCGTATAACATTGGCGGTTAGTATGAGTTTGGAATTGATCTATATGCTGTACCTTTCCAGCGATTGAAATTGGAAATTCGTGGGTAGCCCTTCCAAGGTTGTCTGGTTCCACAAAATAGACATTTCGGATATGAATAATCTTTGAGAGGAACCTTGGAAGTGTCTGGCATAAAGAATTCAATATGAGTGTGTAGTGTGTATAAGTAATGCGTATAATTAATATAAGCAAGTTCAATATGAAGACCCTGAGGCGTATAAAGTAGAAATATAGAAGAACCTTGGAAGCGGCACGCCAAAAACGCCAAAGTTTGGGAATTCCCGTGGGTCCAACGGGCAAGAACCACGGGTGAATCTCACAAAGTTGGAGGCTTCCAAGGTTGTTTATTTATTTATTTTATTGATTTACGTGATGGTGCATATATGGACATAGCGCATAACAATAGACTCCTTGCTGTCTCTACGGCACTAGAAGCATTGGAAAGGACAATTCCAAAATGCGAATGTAAAACGGGGGTCCAGGTACAGTATGGTCCCACTTCATCGCGACCTCTCACGGGAGAGCCCCTGATCAATATAGAGAGGAATAGATGAAGGCTGAAAAGAACCAATGAACGCGAGTAGAGTCACGAGAATGCTTCTCTAATCCAATCAAAATGAGAAATCAGCCAAATTAACGGCGGAAAAAAACCTTAAAAAAAACCCGCGGACGAATTGAAAATGACGATATTATTCCCCTTAAGGGATGGCGTGGTTCGCTAACCCCCCCCTATGCTAACCTCCTCCGTTAGGGGGTAGAGGCCCTTCTCTCTGTCTCACCTGGTGGTTTCTGTTTCTGTCCCTTTTCCTCTCGCTGGATTTACCGTGCTGTGCACTTTGATATTCTAGTTCATTCCTTCATTTCGCCAACCCCCCATTCGCTTACTCGGTTTTCGTTGGCCCTTACTTTTCTTCGCACGTTTCGACTGGATCGCCCCCAGCCTCACACTTTGGGATTACTCGATATCCTCTTTGAGATCCGACGCGTGTTGTGATCCCATTGTTGACACCCCGATTGTGGCCCGAGTCGCCGAGTCATCCGATACGCGACCCACCTCAGTTTCGCCCTGAGAGCTTGGAATCGCAGTTGACCGCGCAGACAGCAGTCGAACAACCCGTATTTTCAAGTCACTTGTTATCGCGCCAAATCACTCAGATCGAGTCTGATTTGTTGGCATTTTACACTCACCTGCCACTTAGGTCGAGATGAGATAGTGCTCTGGCAGTCATCTTTTCTTATCGCATTCAGGACATTTGAGTCCCCCGCTGGCTGGCTACCCACTTTTGCTAGTCCAGCATCCATCGCAACTTTGAACTATTCAATTGGAACCTTTCAACATGACTGGCCCCAAACCCCTCTTCAAGATTGAGGGCGATTGCTCCACTATCCACAGCAATACCCTCTACGTCTATTCGCCGGAAGGCTTTGCATCGATACCTCTCGAAGAAAATAAGGGATGGCATAAACTCCCTTCCCCAGATCACAAGGTTACTGGCCCTGCCTGTGTTCAAAGCGGAAGCGGCGAAGACGAAGATTATTTTTATCTGGTCGGCGGGACCGGCTCCCCCGACTCTCCTGACAACAGCGGCCTTCAACGCTTCTCGTTCAGAACAGAGAAGTGGGAGACACTACTTGGGCAATCACAGGAGATGAAAGACCGGACTGGGCACGGTGCCGGCTACATCCCCTCAACTTCGGAAATATTGGTTTACGCAGGAAACAAAGATGGCAGCACACAGATATCCCAATCAACACTCTTCATTTCAACACAAACCACGCCCTTTGACGTCCGTGCTGGGACCGACCAGGGCACGCCGGCGTTGTATGAGCCCATAATCTTGCCTTGGAGTTCTTCCGAGGTCGCCATGATTGGAGGCTCTGCTACCAATACTGCTGTCTACATTTATGACTCGAACAAAGGCTGGAGTATCTCAGAGGCGACTCTTCCCTCTGCGATTCAACCCTCGTCTCGATGCGCGTTGGCCTCCGACGCCAGTGGCAATACCAAGGTTCTCGAGGAGTTTACAATGATCGCTTCACCCAACACGGCAACTAGCTACCTTCTGAGCTCAAAAGGAAAGATGCAGAACCCGGTTACAGCTATAGCGCCCTTGGAAAAGAGGGATATCACCGATTCTTACAACGGAACATTCGCCCCGACAGCATCCTGGTCTGATTATACGCTTGCCCAGGGCAATGGCTTGGTCGTTCTCGCCAGCGGCCAAAGTAACGACTCATTGGCAATCTTCAACCAAACTTCCAACGCATGGGTCAACTCTACAGAGTTGTTCTATGGAAAACCAGATCAGCATGTTCTGAAGCCATCCACCACATCATTCACCTCATCTACTCCGACATCCACCACATCTACATCCACATCGACCTCGACATCGGCCTCTTCTACACCCACTTCTTCGTCGCCAGTTGTGGCTGCTGTAGGTGGTGGTCTTAGCGATCATGGCAAAACGATTCTTGGCGCAACTCTTGGCAGCGTTCTGGGCTTTGGCTTGATCCTGCTCATCATTCTTTTACTATTGCGACGCGAGAGGAAGAAGAGACAGGTAGCCAAATCCGGCGGTAGTGGCGATAACAAAGACCGCCTCAGCTTCCAGGATCAGGGCATAGAACCCCTGACCGAAGGTGCTTACCCCATGGCAAGATCTCCTGTCCCACTCGCTGCTGCTTCGACCGATTCATTGGCTATCATGTCCGGCAACTACAAGGGGGAGAAATCCCTCAAGCCACCAGGTGCTACGGGCTATGGATTGTCTCCTCAGCCAAAGGCCAGCAGTCCACTCTCTACAATTCCCTCCAGTGGTGTCTTGGGCGCATCCAGCGTATACACCGACGACACCAGCCGTGCTGGTGATGACAGGCGTGAAAACCAGGCCGCTGACCGAATGACTGATGAAGGGTGGGGGAAATACTTCGAAGACGGCGGTGCCACTAACTTCCAATCCGACCGCTCGACCATCAGTTCCGCATACACCAAATCCGATTACCGTGGAAGCGGCTGGCCAATGACTACCTTGACCCCATTGAATTTCGGTTTCCTCGAACAGCCTCAGCCACTTGGCCGTGTTTTCAGCGGCAGCCCAACCACGGAACACGGCCCCTCTGACATGGGCAACCGAAGCCTGGTGATCCCAGAGAGCCAGTCGGCACGCATCTCCAGTGCGGATTCAATCAGTGTCGCCTCCGACGACGACCGCGATGATCCAAAGTGGCAAGGTGCGGGCCAGAGCAGCTGGCTTGGGCGTCCCACAAGCAGCAACTACACAGCCAGCATCTACCAAACGAGCGCGCAGGAGATGCCATGGCAATCATCGAATCCGAGCTTCGCGGACAAGCCAAGGCAGTCCAATGCACGAAGATCTAGTGTCATCATACCACACGATATCGACGAACTTCCGATGCAAGGCCAGAAGAATAATACGAATTCAGATATGAGCTGGCTCAATCTCAAGGCTGATCGTTAACATACGTTCGCCCGATATTTCCCACTTACCGTCCATTTGGAGCCCAACTCTCCCATACTCTCTCTCACTTTCAACCAATACCCACCTCACCTCGCCAGGTCATTCAGCGACTCTCTTACCTACTCATCCATTCTTTTCATGGCGTCTCCATGGTTACTAGTGTCTTGAAAAAGCCTCTTGCTTTCTGTTCAGTTGCATCTGACGTGCTGCATTTTTATCTGCATCTCGCATCATCCTCGTTTTCTATTTGTGTGTATGAGCGATTCCTTAGCGTTGTGCCACAATTTTTGACCCGGTTGCTCTTTAATTCCCTTTCATGGCTGTGCCTGCACTGTGTCAATCTAGTCATTCTTGTACGGGGTTGTGTCATTTTGTACATATCTAAGTGTAAATCACTTAAAATCAAGCGAATACTTCATATCTTACGCTCGAAGTCATTCCCATCATATTCATTACCCTCATCATCCGTAAATCACGCATTCTAAGCATCCAGTCCTCATGAAGCTGCATTTATCTCAATACAGCTTCGCTAAGAACGAATGTCTCTTCGAAACCTTTCGAAATTCATCAACCATAGGACTGAGCATCCTCCCACCCCCATCCTCAATCTCCATGGGCTCCAAACGCGTCGACTCATCCCCCTTCCTCAAAAGCGGAATCTTCTCTTCGGTCTTACTCCGAATGTAATAATGCTCATCATCCTCCTCCATCCCAATAAACCACCTCTCCTTCAACTGCTTCCCCCAAGGCCCACACCCACACGCACCCTCCAACTGCGTCGTCTGGGGACTATTGACAGCAAGCGCGAACAAATTCTGCGGCTCCGTGAAATCAGTCACTTGTCGACCCCGCGCCTCGACAATCATAAACACGAGACAAACAGCGCTGGTCAAGAACGCAAAGACGAGAATCACATAAAATATCCCCTGCCATTGCTCCGTTCCACCAGACGCATAGCTCACGGCTTGGATAGATGCGTTGAAAATCTGGTAAACGGGTTCGGGGAGAACAGTCCCGATACTGTAGTTCCAGAATGGAACAAATGGCGCATTCTGCGAACTGAGGATGAGCGTACTACCAGCCATCACTGCCAATGCCTCCGCGACAGAGGGTAATGCCGGGTCGAGGGTGAAAGTCGAGTTGGATTTGTCGTACCGCGGCATCATCTGCATTAACAGTCTGGCATTGCTGGCAGCGCCGTCTGTGATACCGGCATTGAGACTGACTGAGTTTGCCCATTCGGACGCGATGTTCTTCCAATCTCCATTCCACTCGCCCTCGTAGAAAGCGTCTTGTCGTTTATCGTATTGTAGGTCGTTCGAGGGGTTTTGGCAGTTCGTGCTGAGGAATGCGCCGCTTTTGTCGGCTGAGTAGTTTGTCGAGCAGACGCCCGTTTGTTTGGTGCGGAGGGAACACATCACGTATTCTGGAATGTCGGTGTTGTTATCTTTGGATGGTGGTGTTGCACCGAGGAGGTACATGGCGTTTACGGACCAGACGAATGTTGTATGAAGGATTGTGTTGTATGGGAGAGGGTATTTTCCAAAAATAGGTGGGATTTGGCCGTATTTCGGACCAAATTGGAAGAGAGAATCGACCACTGTGCGATTTCGCCATAGTGGTAGATTCGAGAGTTCTTTCGGGGGCGCGGAGTTCCAGGTTGTCGAGTTGAAATCGTGCACTCCAGGCCAAGAAGAGTAGACTAGAGGGCTTAGTTCTTCTTTGGTCATTCCTACACAGAGGACGTTGATTGCTGGTGAGGGGACGGAGGCTTCGATGATGTATTTTCCCTCGCCGGAGGTGTCTGTGGGTTGTTTGAGGTTGTTTTTGGGGTTCATTGCTGCGGCGGGGATGCCACCGTGCGGCATTGCCATTGTTATGTTGTTGACCATTCGACCGTGTTTCTTGGAGAGGGTGGACATATCCTGGATGTCGATCCAGCTACCTATTACAGTAGTGTTGTCCCAGAGTGAGCCGATTGGGTCTGGGCGCTTTTGTAGTTGGCTTGAGGTTTCGTTTTTGCTGCTCACTAGCTGGCCCCATCGCGCGATCCATTGTTGGTAGTTGTGATAAGCGTTACCGACATGCGAAATTTGAAGGCAAGTCGTGTTGCGATAATCAGGGTCCATATCGACCGTTACGGGTGTCTCACACTCTGATCCGATGTATATGGGGTTTGCGAAGCTGGCGGTTACTTTGCCCTGAAGGATTGTTGATTGAACAGGACCAAGAGAGAGTTTAGGGGCAACTGTTGGCGGTTAGTGTTTGATATACTTTGTAAGTAGATGATAAAGGGTTTACCCAAAGCTTGCGCAGCGGTGGTGTATAGCATCGCGACGAACGTAGCAACCAATGCAACCGACCCGAGGAAACTGAGGGCGGAATATCGCAATGCCTCCCAATGCACAATCATGGATCCGGGTTGCATAATCCATGCCCTCATATTCATATCGGAGATACTGATTCCTCGGGAATTCCTCATCAAAGCCCGCCGACTAAGCACCTGTCCCAGAAATGCGACGCATATCGTAACATATGCCAACTCAATCGTCTTCGCGAAGAACGCGCTCAGCAAAGATGCCGTAGATGGGACCAGCGGCCCATTACTGGAGATAGTGGGCCATCGGGGCTTGCGTAGCGCAATACCGAGATAGATACCCGAGAAGATGGTGGCATAGATAGCGAGAACCAAGACTGTCAATGGGACCCAGGAGAGTCGTTTCTGGAGAACGGTTGCTCGGTTCGGGCAGCGCACGTGGTGGGGCTCATGTGGAGTCTGGGGAGACTGAATCTTGGAGGTATTGTTTGGCGTCGTAGTCGCGACACTATCGGTTGAATCGCGCCTATCTGCTGCGGCCGGAATCGTATCGCCTGATGGGTTCGAGATGCCAAGACCGACATCGCGCAGGACTTCTTCGGACCAGGTGTGATCCGATGGAGGACGGTAGTCATAGTCCTCGTCGGTGAGGCGATTACTCAGTGGATTCCAAGACCGTTGGGGCTGGGTATCAAGTGAATCTTTGGATAGCAGCGAGTGCTGTGACTCCCGCGATGAAGCCATGGTGAAACATGTATGCAGGAGAAAAAAGAAAATCAAAATGCGCAACCGATTCTCTTAAGTTTCAAAGATGTCAAAAATAGGGAAAAAGGGGGTCCTGGGGTATTCTCAGCCCCAGGGCTGAGATGGAGGGGCCCATCTAGCCTCTCCTTAGCCCTATCGTAACCTACTTAGCTGCTTGGCACTTCGGGATCTTTGCTATTGTTAACTGTCAATAAATTGCTCGGTAGATTTGAAGGAATATTCTATCATGAAAGGTGTACTTAGTGCTTACTTTCGAATACTCTCGCGGCTTGAATCGTTCTTAGCCGCGCTATTTTTGCTTATAGTTGCCGTGTTACTATGTATACATACGTGGCCGCCTATGGATTTCCCCTGTACAGCCCAAAGCTGAAGATACTGACAGGCGGAACAGTCCGGAATCCTGAGAGTAACCCACCAAGTCCTAATCCTTGTCTTTCCATTACTTTCCCCTCAGTTCATGCATATGAAATCCCACCAAATGTGATGTTATCAAGCACCTCGCTGTCTGGACCAATCAGGCATTCAATTCTGGCGCTTTGATCTTGTCTAGATGGAAATTATATCCCCCGTGACGACCTGAGGTGATCTAGGAGAAATCTCGCAGGTTCGTCCCAACCAGCTTTGACAGTTGACCTCCATTAGATATCGTATATGAGGATTTCTTTCCCTCCAATGCAGAAAGGCTGACAATGCGCCTGTGGGATCTTTCGCACTGGCAACCATGATTTGACAATTGTACAGGGGTCTGGTGGCTGGGGAACAATTTTCCTCTCGATTGACTGCCACGAGGTGTAACGGTAATTCAGCCCTAGATGTAATTGTAGACGCTCAATACCTTACCCTGTTCGATTTTTAGTAACCTGTTTTATGGGATAATTGATTAGTCCATGTACTGCTGCCCAAGGAGAAGTCCCCGGCCACAGAGCGTTACCAAACACATTGGTTCTCCATTCATGTTCTGGTTTGCGATCGAATTTAGCTCATGGAGCTAGGAAGGCCGAGGTATGCAAGCCTATGAGAATGCTTGATCTGCTAGACAAGATTCTTCACAATGTTTGTGTGGTTCGTCAAAGCCCCTGTCGCTATCAGCATTCCTCAGGTAATACGGAGGGAAGAGACATACGTTGATCGCCGAGCTGCGAAGGGGCCAGAATTGTGTTGACACCCATATGGCTGTCCCAAAAGTCAGCGAGGTAAAAGAGCACAGGTTGGATAGTGGATGGCATACCAGTGGAAGTATAGCTCATTAGTCAGATTATCTTCACCGTCTCCAAGTTTCCAAAGCTCATCTGAAGTTTAGAGAGTGCCAGCAATGTAGTTTTTCCCATTTGACAGTCCAAAGATGCGTTAGGGGTATAAAGTAAGAACTCTTGCGACGAGGCTCGCTCAACCCGACAGCGAGGCAGACCGAGATAAGTATACCGACCTGTTAACTTTCTTCCTTTCGTCTTCTAGGTTAGCACAGTAAGCCAAGAGTTTAGGGCGAGGCTCTCATTCTGGTTCTCACGATGGTACAAACGCTAGTGGTATCTTGTTATTGACTTGATGATTCCCAATAGCCGATATACCGATATGACGTGTAGACAATATGCAAGCCTTGTACTAACTCACCCAAAACCCGGAATGCGTAGGTTCTGCGCAATCGCTACTGAGGCTCTGCGGGCGATGGAATGTTATTTCAATGAATCGGAGTCCTGTTATTCAAATACCGAGAGTAGAATGAACCAAACATCTAAATTCCTCTAGCGGTCAGACCATTTCGAGGTATATTAATACATACGGGAATTAAGACCACGACTATCTGGAGGAGATTCCAAAGCGGAGACATTTCCGTCAGGAAGATTTTCGGGCTGGATATATATGTTATATACGTGACTGGAGACTTTCGAGTTCAGATGCCGAACAGGTTTTGATCGAATTTTCCAATTGGGGCTCTGTACTGCTCGCTTGATGTCCAGGGCAGTTATTAGGGCCACAACTCCATATTGGAATGCGAAAAAGATCAGGCTGTAGGTTCCTTCACAGCGAACGATTATGCTAGCCGTGTGGCAAAGGTCAAAAATTCCAGCAAAAAATTATCAACAGCAAGACGCAGGAGAAGGAAGATTAGTAACTATGTGGTCGCAATGCGCGACAAAAGAAAGTATAGTCGAGGTTCTCCGGACTGATTTGAAGGATCAGATAAGTAATGGCACGTTTGGCTTCTAAAAGTTCATTCGTCAATTCACGATGGAGATTTCAAAGCGCATTGAAATAGCTAGAAGCTTGATTGAGCTTGCGAATGATGTCAAATTGTGGTCGGCATGCGGCGACACAGCCTGCGGCCGATCGGTAGTCGGTTCAGTGTAAGAAATACTATTTGCGGAACTAATTGGCGGCGTCAATGACACTGCAGTTTCTGGCCATTGTGGTGATAGCGCTGTAAAGCTAATCGGGGAAAGGCGTCTCAGGTTCATTGGACACGTTATCGATCAAACTCTGAACACCTTTCTCCATGTTCGAGTGCAACCATAATAGACAGCAGCTGACTAAAAGAGCTAGTTCCTGTAATCTTCGTAGGATGGTGTTGGGTAGATGAGCGAAATGTTAAGCAGAAAATGAACTCAGTCTGGACGTAGAACCTTGCGTGCAATACGAGACCACTCGCTAGGGTCCTCGCTCATGATGAGTTTGGTAGTTTGGGGGGCATGCTGACACTAACTTCATCTGGCAGCCAGGCTCCCTGGGTGACAGTGATAAAGCGAGAAGGCATTGCTGGCAACCTTGGATGATGTGGATGGAGAGAGGGAGAGAGGGTGTCAGGGATCTCAACAAAAGCATCAGCTGATGATTCTGGACCCTGCCTGAAACAGAATCAAATTTTTTCTTCTAAACTGAGGGGTCTGTGGTCCGGTTTATATGAATGCGTGAAGCCCTATGCTGAATTATCCCTGGTAAGATGCAAATAGCCGTCAAAAGACATACCCAGGTTCCATAACCTAGTTGATCAGGAGTGTGCTAGCAACACCAAAATCCAGGGTTTGGAACCACAATTTCTTCTTGTTTTGTGTTGTTTTGTATCTGATCTTGGAATGCCTTGTATTTGGGGTTCAGAACTTACCTTTGGTTTACATGCCACTCGGCGAATGCCCTGTCGTGGGTCATCTTTGCTTGACAAGGTCAAACAAAAAGACGGCCCACGAGGGAACCAAGTCAAGACAAGCAAAATCCCGAACATCTCGAACTCCAGCGCAAAGGAAGCTGTCGCAGTTAGCATAAACCTGTTCAGCGAGATGTATCTCATCCACAATCTCAACGTCACCAACCTATTACTACCCAGAGAGGTGTGGAAGCCTTCTTACCTTTGTTGCGCCAGAGGATATCCAACATAGCCTGTATTTGCACGACTCAATCCAGCTGTACTCTCACATGACCCAATTTGATCCTCAACTCTCAGGCAGTGTATCATCACACTCAGTCCCTGTTTCTTGAGAAACCCCGCATTGTGTTTGCTGTAAATCGCAGCGCAGCTTTCGGCGTGGCCACTCGACACACGCAAAACCCGGGCGCTGGTGTCTGTGTGTCGTGCTTGGCACTCTTCTCATTTCGAGGTTGGATGACATGTGTTCTAGTCAGCTGTAGAGATGGTGGACGTGCTTCGGCTCTAGGAAAGTGATAAGGGACACACCAAGACGAAGGAAAAGAGAGACAGGCTGGACAATCAGCTTTTGCTGACTGCGTGGATTCGAATCAATGCCTCCCTGGACCTAGTGGTTTATCAGGATACTGCAGTTTCGGAGAGTGGAATAAGGACCGGATGTAGAACTTCGTTCAAGACCTCGGGAATCTGACAAAATCGATAGAATGAATGTCAGCATGTGCTAGCTACCATACTTTTGAAGGGTATTTTGGGACCATACCTAGCATCTATACCTAGCATCGGTTAGGAAAGGGTGATTCTATTAGATGGATTTAGCTTGTCAGCCAGTCCATCAAGATCATAGAAAGGGAAGTCCGCATGACTACGGAGTAGAGAGTCGGTAAATGGTAGCAGGGCAAGGTATTTCTCAGACTGAGCACCGAGGCTGTTAGCTTCTACCCACTTAGGCCTTTTAGCTTGTCAGCTTTCCAAAGCCAATGTACGATATACGTTTTAGTATCTAGTGTTACTTGAGGGTTTGGCAAAAGACTTTGGTGGCTGCATCGATAAAGACATCATAGCAATAGCCGTATCGATTCATTCAGTTGCGATGATTCATCAACCTGATCTAGCCAACCTGACCTAGCCTTTGGTAATGGAGCAAAGCGCATAATCGTCCTGCTTGAAACATCTCGATAACCCAAAAGAAGCAACACTACGACATCAGTCCACGTATCCATCCCTCTCCGCTCGGGGGAATGCCGAAAAAAGTCTCCGGAACTCGCAACATACCATCTCTAGGTAGGCGCCTTAGCATCGGACTCCCCACCCAAATATGCAGGGGCCAACCTATCAGTATTCGAAGTAATTTCCCTTTTGCTTGGCATCTTCGCCTACACACAGCAGCATGGAGCGTGGATAGTCCAGCGTGACGTTTCTGCTTACGCAGCTTCATGTATACTAGATACGCTAATATGGATATAGGCTTAATGCTTGTTTGGAGGTCAATACGCGGGAAAACTAAACAAAAAAATAAAGGCCAACTAGTATCAAAAGCGGATCTGTACTGTATACTGAGTCATGTTCTGTACTCCGTATGCATTGACCATCCCCAAGTATCGAGCTGCGCCTTGTCTAAGCCACTGATCACTATGGAGTGTCTAGTGAACTTAGGGAGAGTACGGAGTATAAAGTCTTAGCCATACGGTTTGTTTACAGTCCACCACATCCGGCCGAACCCTTATCAGTGGCGTATCCTAGAGGTTATTATTATGGATGTCGATGGGTCTCTTCCACGTGGCCAGATATAGCGGGTTTATTTCGGGTATGGAAGTTGGAAAGTGTTGGTGTTATTTATTAGTACATACGTTAGATACAATCCACTTAATACGATAAACTCTGATAAATGGGGAAGCGAGGATTCGTTGAGAGATGAGTAACGCAAGTTTCTGATGGGTTCCTACAACATACAGTTTGATTTAATCTTTGCATTCCCGATCTCGGACACATGTAATAAAAGACTAGCGGCTTCACGGGGATGAGAAAGCCTTTTTACCGAGAATGAGCTCTTAGCTAAGATTTTGACTGCAGCCTAGACGATGATACCTGGGGTCGTTGGACGTGAACGCTCAGGCCATAAGGGATTTCTAGGGTTGTCGATCCAATATGAAATGTAGTTCCTTCGCATATCCATAACCAGTCAAGTATAATATCCGGACCAATTTTGCTCCGCTTTGTAAGCAGGTCCACGGGCCCGGGGATGGTACTCCGTACATAAGCATCTCTAGGCACTATAATTCTACATGACCCCTACACAGGTCCAAAATTATCCAGGGTACTTCGGATCCAAATACTCGAAATAGACCCAAAGATCAATAGCGCGAAAGCCTCCGGACACAAGCCACAAGAGAAGGTTAGTGTGGAAGCGAAGTCTCCACGCTTGGAAGATGACCGGGACGCTATCTGCCGGATCGTCTCTATGGAGTTAAGCATAAATGCCGACTGGTGAGTCGTAAAATTACGACGGATGTACATTTTCAAAACCAGGCAGCAGTTTTATGCCGAGTGGCAATTTTTTTTTATTTCGAAGGGAAAGTGGAGATTGAAATCTTGGTCGGACATTCGGATATAAAATGTCCGATCGGTGCCGGGAAGACTGGAATTCTCCGTCAAATCCAAGTTGAAATTTCAGTCTATATTCAGTCGACATTTTTAAAATCAGAAGGCCGCGTAGGCATAAGAAAAGTGGCGCGTGCAGTAGTCAATTGGGGGTATGCCACTAAGCGGGAACGGTGAGCTCGGAAATCGAGCGAAGGCGACTGGTGGCTAGTCTCATCATAGTAAGCGGGCCACGAGTCCCTGCGTCCAAAAATCAGAAGTAAAAAAGCCAAAAAACAGGGTCTTTCCAGGAACGTATGTTGTGAAATAAAGCGACGGGTACAGGGCTCTGACGAATCAAGCTTGTGGCGTAACGGACGAGTAAGAGAATGGAGAGGTCAAATCTTCAGTTGAGACAAGCACGGAAGTGTATTTTTTAGAGCAGGACTAGGCAACCCGGACTATGTACGAAGTCGCGTGGCTATACGTAGTCTGCATACGTATGCCCCGTCTAAGATCGAGTATAGGCAAATCAAGGCTCGGCTGGAAATGCCAAACGATCCGCGTTCTCCCATGAACGTGTTTCTCGGAGGTCCAGATCGGAGGGATTGAAGCTTGGCTTGATCTGCTGTGCCATGTGTTTGATGTTTGCGGGAGAAACCGAAGGAAAGGGATGGAATTCGAATTTCAATATACATATATGATAGAGTCTATGGTTCGCCGTATAAGATCTCTGTTCAATGGATCATATGTCTTAGAAATCTATGTCTTAAGAGACGGTCCGCTTTTTCATTTTAAGTCCCTGTGTAGATGGACAGAGGAAGTCCCCGCGAATGGTCGGAGCGGGGCGGATGTTGAACGCGAATACGAATTACTCACGGTTCAGTCCCTTTCCTAAATAGTTTGGAGTATTGGGCAGATTAGGTTAATTAGGGTATCTTTACTCCGTACTGGGGGCGCACATCTTTTGTATTCCGTAGATGGACAGTACTATATATATCAGGTACGTAATTTATAAGGATTTTGACGGGAGAGAATGTCGGGGTAAAATACTCTTTCAAGAAGAGGAAAGGCTGACCAGGGCACCACGTTGTAACCCTGAAGAGGTAATAGATTCGTTAAAGTGCTTCAGGGCTGGACCTTTGGTGGCTTATCTCTTTTCCCCCTAGGGCGAGATCGCCCTGCAGTAATCAAAAGTCAGGCAAAATAAAAGACGGTAATTTGGTAAACTGAGAAATCAGCCAATCTAAAGAATCCGTTTCAAGCCAATACCCGTGCTGGGAATCGGAGGTGAGTTCCCAAACAGGCCAAGGTACTAACATCATCACTTACGTACGTTTTCGGATTTAGGAACAATTAGCATCTTACATTTTGTATAGGATGATGTGGACAGGGCTCAAAGCTTGTCCATCTTAGATTCAAATCCCTAACACAAAATAAAATACTGAGACCTCAGGGTCCAATCGTCCCATTGTCCGTAGTTCTGCCGAATGGTGGATCGTTTCCTGTCGCTTGACTCAGCCGAAGCCCTAGTCCGGATGACAAGTCGGAGTTAACATAACACGTTGACACAGTAAATACTCCCAACTTACTGTATATTTCGAAAAGAAAGAGAAAAAAAGAGAGAGGGCATCAAAATAAGCCCATCCCGAGAAACAAAAATTATAAGTTACAGACCTCTTAGTCGCGGGCGGCCCGGAAGAAACGGAGAAGAAACTGGGTCTGCACAGGGTGGATTAGGGGTCTTGGTATTGTATTGTGTCTTTTTTGGATCATTTTATATTTCCTTTTTTTTTATTCTCCAAAATAGCGTGCTCGGTATGGAAGTGTAATCCTCTGGAGCATCGACAGACCCTGGAGCTTGGCTTCTTTCACCCTTTTTAGTATAATTAGCCAATAGCCATACTTGGCTCAATTTTTTTTCCCTTTCTCTACTGCTGTATTCCTATTTGAATTCCTTACCATCTTTTTTCCGTTTTATCAATCTCGTTCCGATCGTCCCTCATCTTATCTCGTATCGGAGGATCTCATTTCCATTTCGACCTCTATCACGGGCACGCGCAGAGCGCATTTCATTTCTGTTCCCAGACTGCCTAGCACTTCTCTGGAAGAACTGTTACTCTGTACGGTTAGACAGCCGGCGTTGAATTTCGACTTTTCTGCAACATCCCCAGGCCAGTTTGCAACTGCCGTTGAGGATTGTGTCCCCTTCCAATTGCAAAATCAGAAAGGGAAAAAAGCAAAAGGAAATCCCAGGTAGAAAACGGAATAAAACAAAACATCTGAGCCTCGGAACAAATTCCACTGCAAAGGGAGATTTGTCAGGTCTCACCTTGCCCGCCGAGTTGTCATATCTCCAGCATTTAATTGCCTTGGAGATACCCTTGTCGTCATCTCCGTACATCAAAAAGATACACGGGGCGCGGCACAAGCTCGAGTCATCAGGCCTTTACTCAGGTCTGCAGGCGAGTGCCGATTTTAGGGTCTAATGTTGTCGACGTGTTACACGACACAGAGGACAAACATCTTTCGAGAGCCGCTGGTGCGTTTGTCGTGTCTTCCGGGGGGCAAGAAATGAGCAAGACGTTCTTTCTCTTCTTCAACACCCTCCTCTCCTTTATCCCTTTGTCTCAGACCGGTGATCTCTCAGGTTCTTACGAGCATCCAGAGCCCGGCTGAGCCGGTTGCCAACAGTCTAAACTAACTTACCTTCTGCCTTTTAGTATAGTATTCCAGCCCCGGTGACCGTACATCGGGGCAGTGAAGAGATGTCCAGCTGTAGGACGAACATTGTGTCTATTCTGAATAATGACGATAACCCATCCTTTGCGGTTCGTTCCGCGCCCCGACTCAGTCGGTCTCAGACATCACCACATTATCCACATCATTCAGAGCAACCTCTCCCGCCCATCACCGACCCACAGCATATTCGTCCTCAAGCATCATCCGAATCTCCAGCAACATCACCACGAGGGACCAGGCGCCACTTGGACGCGGTGACTGAACCCGTCCCCGTTTCCCCGGGGTCGTCGGATGGCTCGGCTTACGACTATATCACCAGCCAGCCATCAGCGTATCACCCGTATGCTCGGCAGGATCCGCGACGGGACCCGTACCGATTCCCTGGCCGTGACCCAGCTCCTCGGACGCCACCAGAGACTCGCTCAAGCACATCCGAAACGCCATCTTCCCAGACCGGAGCGACCCGCGGCACGGGCAAAAAGAACAAGTACCCGTGTCCGTATGCCGCAAGCCATGGGTGCTCTGCAATGTTTACGACTTCGGGCCATGCGGCGCGTCACGGAAAGAAGCACACTGGCGAAAAAAGTGTGCATTGTCCCATCTGTAATAAAGCCTTTACCAGGAAAGACAATATGAAACAGCATATCCGGACCCATCGCACGCACTCCGATGATATGCGCTCTACTTCGGAGCCGGAGGCTGATGCTCGCTGGCCGATAGGTCATCCCGACTCGGCATACGCTTCGACCTCCCACCAGCGCAATATCAGTCAACCTATGGAGGCAGCTCCACGGCCTCTCGGGGATGGTCCAAAGGCGCCTTAGGGAAAGCAGTCCTGTTTTCCCAACCTCTACCTCTCCCCCCACTCTATCTGCTGTTTAGCATATGACTTCCTTCTTTGGTTGGTCACTTGTTCCTGGCCACTGCTGTGCGGTGTACTTCGTTTCTGTTCCTGTTCCTTTTTTGAACCCTCAATCTTGGACTTCCAACATGTGTCTTATCCTATGTTTTATTTTTTTTATCCTTCATTTGTTTTTTTGCATCTCTCAGCGATTTGCATGACTGCACGTTTCCAAATCATTGAAACGTCTAGGCCTATCATACGTGTTACTATGTGTTATTATTTTCCTGTTTTATATCCCTCGTGTACCATGTTGAAGGCGACTTTAGGAGAACCAAATATCCAGCGTTCAGGGATTCTATGTGCAACCAGTTCCGGCTTCTGCGATCGTAACAGGGAGAGCCCCCGACCCGTGGAACCATTGTTGAGGTTCCATCAATCTTAATTCCCCGGCTTATACTTCTTAAATTGTCCCTTACACTTTGCACATTGCATCTTGCATATTTGTATATACACACACACGATATCAACTTGTGAAAACTGAATTCTCTCTGTGGATTTCATAGGGCTAGACCGTTAGAAATTTCCCTGTTGGAGCTAAAGATGCAGGATGACGTCGGAGGAATATTGAATATCTGATACACAACATCAGTTCAGATGCTCATTCGATGGGGTACATATATCCGTCTTTGAAACATTCCCTCGCTGTTCTGCTCTATGCTGTACGTCATTGGCAGAATCTTGATTAAGTATATATATATCTACTGCCTGAGAGATCGACTTCTTGTCTTGTACTTTGTTATGTATAACCTCCATGACTATCACTCTCTCTCAGCCACTGCCAAGTCTCTCAGCCCCTATTCCCATCTGAATCCACATCGACGTCACGCCACCCCCAGCCCCAGCCCCGCCATACATCTCTGATCAACTTCATGGTTTTTCCATCACACACATTCTCCCAGTGAACGGTAGTAGCTCACAACTGTCGAATTTTATCTTTGAATTTGTGTCACTTTCGCCTCAACCATGGCGTACTACGAGGACCGCCGTTATCGCGAGCCGCGCGACCGCTACACACGCCCCGCCAGTTATGCCGATCCGTATGACGACCCTCGTGGCCATTATCGAAGACACGAGCGAGACTCATATGTACCCCGCGACAGCACCGACTCGGTCGAAGAAGTTCAACGCGAGTACCCACCAGGATCAGACTATGTCTACGAGCGATCTTATGCTTCTCGGCGGCCGAGGCGACCTGTTTACGAAACTGTGCGCCGTGCCTCCTCCGTCAGCGGTTACGATCCATATAACGATGCTTCCTACCGAAACTCCCGTCCTCGCCGATCAAGACATTATGAGGATAGACGTGAGTGAGATGGAGCTGGCGTGGTTCAAATCGATTTCTAATATCTCTCAGACTCCCGTCGTTCAAGATACGAATCTGATTCTTCTCCAAGTCCCTCTCCACCTCGCCACAGACGTCGTAAGTCTTTCAGCGAGCAAGCTCTGGGGGCCCTAGGCCTCGGGGGTGCTGCTGCTTCGGCTAGTCGTGGAGAACGTGGTCGCGGCCGCTCCCCTTCTCGTCATCGCCGAAGGTCATATTCAAGGTCACCGTCAGATTCTCGCAGTCGCAGCCGCCATCGCAGCAGCAAGCATAGTGGCAGCAAGCGTGATAAGAGCGAGCAGCGCATTATACAGGCTGCTCGTGCGGCTTTGACAGCCGGCGCAGTTGAGGCTTTCAAACAGCGCAAAGAGCCCGGTGAATGGGCTGGCGCGAAAGGAAAACGCGTCCTCACTGCTGCTGTCACTGCTGGTGGAACTGACGGCCTTGTCGACAAAGATCCCAGCAAGCATGGGAAACGTCATGTTATTGAGTCCACGCTCGCAGGTCTCGCTGCTAGTCACTTCATAGGTGGCGGCTCACGCTCACGATCTCGTGGTCGAGACGGTCATCGTTCTTCCAGTGGTGGTCTCAAGAACCTCGCTGCCACTGGGGCTATTGCTGCTGCGGGAAAGGAAATCTTTGATCGATACTCCAAATCACGATCTCGGCCTCGCGGCCGCAGCGATTCCCGTGGCAGTGACTCAGACCATCGTGGCTCCCGCAAGCGCAGCAAGAGCGTTTCGGAGTATCTGACCAAGGGCATGGCCGCCCTGGGACTTGGAGAAGGAGAAGACAGACGTCGCGACAGCAGAGATGGTCGTAAGGATTATCATCGGGAGCATCGTCGGGAGGATCGGGACGACCGAGAACGGCCTCATCATCGGGGACACCGATACGACGACTACACGGATTCAGATGCGGACAGCGATTATCACAGCAGGGACTCGAGACGGGGCAAAGGCTCGAGAGATGTAGGTCGACACCGTTCATTGGACGGCAGAAATCCACCCCCCTATGCACCCACAGCGCGCGGTCAACCCCGTGCCGGTTCTAAAGACCGCCACGGGTCGAGCTCCGAGAGTGATTCTGACCTAGGTGACAGTTCTGATGAAATGAAGAAACGGAAGAAGCTGAAGCGGGATATGCTTGTGACGGGAGGTCTGGCCACCGTGGCCACCATCCACGCTGCGCATGGTCTCTACGGTAGCATGGAGAAGAGGAAAACACGGATGCAGCAGTTGAAAGAAGGAGAGATTACGCCTGAAGAGGCTCGCAAACGACGCTTGAAAGCTAACACCAAGGACGCTGTGAGTATCGGTCTCGCTGCGCTCGGTATCAAGGGCGCCTATGGTGAATGGAAGGAGGTTATGGAGAAACGAAAGGAAAATGAACATTTCCAGCAGGAATGTGCCCACCGGGCTCTTAAGCGTGAGCTGCGTCGTTCTCGTAGCCAGGCTGCGCCTCGCCGTCATCGCTGGCCTGATGAGATTGAATATGCGCCGTCGATGAACGAGTCTCGGAGCGATAATGGCCCTATTTACCGTGACGGAAATCCTTATGGGGCGCATGAAGCAGCGCAGATCTCTTACTAGTCTTTTTTTTTTCAGACATGACTTTTTTTTATGACTTATGAGACCATGTTGTTCATTTGATTTTGCTTTCTTTCTGCTTTATGCTCTTTGATGATTCTCTTCGGGCATCCAAGGTCTATCGCTTTCCCTGATTTTTTTTAAGCGTTTTATGAATATGAGGACACGATGGATATGAGGGTTGTCAACTCCACACGGGTGGGATTCGTTTTTATCTTACAAAATTTAGCGTATCCAATACACGATCGAAGGATACGTGTTCGAATGGTTGGGCTTTAGCAGTGAATTAACCGTACATGCGAAAGGCAGATTGAAGATGTGTATAGCGTTGTCTACATGTCGGTCCCTTGCCCTGGAGGTACGGTTGCTACCAATCCTCAAGAAGCAAGACAGGTTAGTTCAGCAGTTATGAACTATAGTGAGCATTGCTCATTGATTAGAGGCACAGAATTGACATGGCCAGAGTGCCTCCGTACTAGGTGAACAAGATGAAAAATTGGCAGTTTATGGCTATAACATCCATGTATATCTCTGTACTGGGAACCAGGCTGCGAGAGATCTACAGAGCCAATATGATCACCTAGGCATACTTCCTGCCTTGGGTGAACAGAATGTTCATGTAATATAAGCTGAGCGCTGCCTTAGCCGCGTCAGCCTTCTCCTCCTTTCTCTTTCCTTTCCCATTGTTCTCTCTTCACCCCACGTTCTTCCTTTTACGTCCTTCCACATCAATAAATTTACCATCCCGACACCCAGGTTGGTCTTTCGTCAAGTCCCACATCTCCTATGTCCATCCATAGCACGAGCTACAGTTGAACGTTTTGGTGAGCCGAAAATTCGCGAATCATTTGGCCTGCCTGCATGCAACCTTGACGAGCCTGAAGTGCAAGCGCGAGATCTTATCGCAACCCTCATATTACTCATACTCACAACTACTCATGGCGCAACTGCCTCTCCTGCAGTTCAAAATCAAGAAACGTGGGGCATTGGAGTAGATGAAGCAGGCTTTGACAAAAGCCAGAAATGCCACGGTTGAACGACTAGTTTGTATGGGAGACAAGACCTTTGTACAAATTGAAAGAACGCCCCCCGCGAGTCGCTTTATCACTTCAAACGCAGAATCGTCAGCTCTGCATGGCCCTTCATGGCCGGCGTGTACATTCAGCAACTAGGTACGGAAAGGTTCCAATAAAGTGATCGTCGATGAGATGTGCCATCGGAGTCATCGGGGGTCAAATATAATAACCTGTGCCACCATCAAGGATTGATTGTTACCACGCGGCAAGGGCCTTTCTACTCAGCACCTTTTGGGGCACACATAAGCATGAGCCCACATACACAACATCCAACACCATATCATTTGGAGTCGCAAGAATGGCGAATTTAAATCCACGTTCCGTAACGTCGAGTACAGCAAATCACAGCCATACAATCCCGCTAATACCCCATTTTCTCTGCAGATGACAGATACTGCAGTTATGATCTCAGCAAAAGTAAAGCTTCCATTACAACACAACAAAGGAGCAACCACCAATTCCATAGTGTTACCAAACTTGCCTAAATGAAAGGCAGGCATCGGACTAGGTGCCTCGCCTGAAGCAAGGCATCTGGTCAACCCAAGGAGTGTCTCTTGTGCACAAATAGAGACATGTGATGATTGTACGTCAATTTTGAAGTCCAGTAGATCTCATCGACTATCAAAGGCTCCTTATTTACGATGATACTTCTTTTTCCTTCCTCATCGTCCTCACACTCATGTACTGATCACCGATTGACTTCCGCCCATGTCATATCCATCAAATCGTCTTCGTCAGCCGCGACCTTCTGCTTCATTCAACCCTGATCTCTTTCATCGCGTCAGATGCACACTGACGATAACGTTCATTTCTGGTACGGAACGGCAGCCTCTACCAACTAGTTGCCTAGACCGTGAGCAGGCCGTCGGCGGTACCCTGGATTAGGGGGAGAGCTCCCTTCACCTCTAATAATTCCCTTCCTCTATCCTTCGTGCGACTTTTCAGCGGAGACGAGGGTGGAGATGCAATCTTTACCTCTTTTTTTGGTATTTTATTATGCTTGATCAAACCCTGCTAATCCAAATGGTTTTTAACACGGTATTCTCCAAAAAGGCATTTTTAACAAATCCAGAATCTCTCAGCGTAGTCTCTTGCCACAACTAAGATCAATTGCTCTCGGCTAACACGTTTATTGTCTCAGTGTCTTGAGCATATTCTATGGTAGGGTTATAGAAGTCGAGTCTAAATCGCGTTAAAGAGTGAGGTCCTACATACAAATCGAGAATCATTATAACAAGACTAAGTAGTAAGGAATATATAGGTAGCATGAGTGTGTAGTGCTGGGCGAGGTCCTTAACTACACTAGGCATGAAATGCACATTCCACGCTATCAAAATGGTTCACCGGTTAATTGCCCTGGACTGTATGTTGTAGGAATACTATTCCACTGCTTGAATCCTGGTGTAACTTTTTCATACTAGCCCCTAGAGACTCAAATCTTCCCTGTTTGATTGAGTCGTGCAGATGGCAAAGTCACACTTGTATCACCACGCTGCGCAAAATGATCTGCATACTACACGAGCCGGCTGTTGATAACATAAAAGACAAGGTCCCAGCTACTTGGAGTTTTGTTCAAACCTCAACTTGGGGCCAAGCAATAAGCACACAAACATAATCTGACAATGGAGCCAGCAACTGTCACCGTATCCCGGAAAATTGATACCGGATCATTGATCTATCATGGAATTCCATACCTAATCATCCTTCTCTATCACACTCGACGACACGTACGAGTGTACAGCTCCAAGTTCTCCAAGAACAAGACATGTCTCTACATACATATCAGCACTGGGATCATCGAATCGGCCCGATACCACATCACCAAGGCCCGACATGGTAATGACGATCTCCTCCCCGGAATAATGGACGTGATTTCCTGCCTCATCTGGTCATGGTCCAGCGTGATCCTGGTCAAGACGCTTCGTCGCGGCGATCCACTGACCACTCGCCCTCCTTACCAAGTTGCTGCGTTTATGCGCCCAGTCGTCTGCATCACATCTTACTTCCTCAAGTCACCCAGCCTACACAGAGTGTCTATATCTGCGCTTGATAGCTTCGTGTATGCCCGATTGGCAATCTTTTTCCTAATATATACACCCTATCTCCCCGGATACTCGTACAGCACGATTTACTCGTTTTCCATTCCCCTGGCTGCGCTTTTCAGTGTTTATTCGAGTCGTGTTCGTGGTGCCTCTTTGCTGTTTTTCCTCTTCACGGCCTATGTTGCGAAGTTGAATAAGTGGGTGACGCAGAGATCAAGAGCCTTGCAGGGGTAAGTTATGGCGCTCCGGTCCTCGGTGAACTTGTTCTAACTTCATGGGAAAGGTCTCAACCTGAGTCACATTTTGATCTACTTGAAAGATATCTTCTTACTGGGTTGCTCTATCTTGGCTTCGCCGAGTTGGAGACCCTGCGAGAAGTTACCAGGAGCGACGCGTTGACGAAGCCTATCGATGATGAGTATGTGCCGAAATCGGAACGTATGAGCTGATGCTTAGTGCCAATATTGGTTATGAGCGGGGCATGGGATATTTGCCTTGATTTGCTGGGTGTTTTGCACCGTTCTCAGCTTCTGGAGATAAGTGCATGCATGAGCCAGCTTCAAATTCATCACATGCTGGGCTCGAAGCAAAATTGGGAGTTCATTTGCAACACGTCATTACAAAATAAATGAGGGTTCGTATTATGTCTATATAAGATAGAACGGTCGTTTTCTTCTGTTTTCCATTCCTAGGATTTTGTGCGAAATCAGATGTCGGCCAGATGATATGACCTACGTGACAGTTTATAGTGGAGACCAGGATTAAGTTACGAGATATAGACACCTAAGTCTCTATTCATACTCCTATATCTCATGCCATGAATAGTGAACTAACTGTTCATAGTGTAACATGAACATTTTGTTGAATTACAAGTTGTTAGGCTGGCCTCGTCATTAGAGGCTGGTCCTTTTAGATAGATAGATACTACTTTAGCCTGTAAAAGAGGATCTACGTCAGCATTTAGATGTTACACGTGATTAGAGTTAGGGAGGTATTCGTATAACGGTTTGCCTCCCAATCTAGGTATGCGTGCGATTCTTCCTTCTTGACTCAGATGCTATCTTGCTAGGATCCACAGCACGTATACCATTCTGCAGGTTTCTTCAAGCCTTCGATGGCCTCCACGTACTACCCGGGTCTTGGCCTTTCCCGATCTGACTGACGTGCATATGCACCCAAATTCAAGATGGGTATCCCATTCCGGTGATCCACGCATCAAAGCCCAAGGGAAAAGCATAATATCTCTTCATATTATCACATCCGTCTTTTGCATACTAAACATTGAATAGAGTACCTAGAAATACTCTACTAGGTTTTAGTCACACTGGAGGATAGTGATGACCGGCCAGTCACTCAGAAGCCCTACAGCTTTGGAGAGGCCATTTGATTCATTAGCGCATGAAATGGCAGAAAGTTTAACTGCTGTGAATCTCAATGTCTGTGCATAAGACGCGGATATTTCAATCCCTGCAATATCATCAATTTCTCATGCCGGAAGGTTGAAGGATTACTATACTTGATGCGCTTTACCGGGTATCTCATGTGGATCCAATCGACATCTGCTATCTGGGGCCGTACTCTGATGGTACGTGTTTAAGATATAGGCATCTATCTCGTGGCGCTGTCTGAACGCTTGCCCTTCTATCTGTGAATCTCACTAGAATAGCATGACATGGTGGAATCTTCGAAATTTGAGGGGGAAAAGATCAACATGGCACTAGTTCCGGTCTCTTGGCCTAAGGGTTAAACGGCGAAACTAGCTCTATATTCACATGAAGGGTATCAAAGGAGAAAAAGAAACAAAGGCACTAGATTCAAGAATTGGATTTGTAACTTGAAATATGAGTTTGATCAAACAGAGATAGACACAAAGCTGAAATAAAGTAGAAACCTGTTATCGGATTACCTCCCACCATAAATCAGTGTATCGTACTGATCTCAAAGCTTGGCCCAACCACTTGACAGACCAATGTTGGTCTTACCATTTCCAGTCTTGGTCTCCAGTTGATCGACAAATTGATCCCACGATGTCTGTGATATAATAGGTGCAGTGCAGTAGGGCCCAGCACCAGTCTCATCGAGCAATTTATCTAAGCGAGGCAGCACAGCGCTGAGCCTTTTGGCTTCCATTTGATACATATGTTCACGGGTCAGCGTAGCATTTTGAACAAACCAGCTCTGATCCTGCAGCATGACCCCGATTTCATATAGGGCCACTAAGTCAGTATCGACCTTGGCCTCTATTGCAGCTTCATAGGCTATCCGACACCCTATAGCGTGGACAAAGTCTTGTGATCTTGGCAATATCAAGCGGTCGAACTCCTCTCCACGGTGGCCTCCTGAATTGGACTTGGACATCCTGCGAAGCTCATCAAGTAGCCCTTGTTCATGCTTTGCTAAATACGACGTTGGATTCTTTGGAGGCGGCATTTTGTATCGATTTAATAGAAGCTCCGATGTCAATCCTATAATTGAATGAATACACCAAGTCAAATGATCTGAAAAGAGAGGGACCCATACGGATGCTCAACACTAGGGTATCTCCCTCAGCTATCGATATCCCCCGCGTTTCTAACATCGACTCAATAATATGATTGTGTTCAAACAAACCCTGCGCTCCACATCGCTCCGAGAGGTTGAAAAGACAGGTTTGGCATGCTTTGCTCAAAACAACCTTGAGTGAAGCCGCAACGGCATGTTGGACCGGATCTGTCAGATTGGGGTCTTGGAAGTGCTGAATGCTCTTTTGAGCATACGCTTCAAAAACAAAGATTTGAGCCAATCCATGCAGGATGGGGGCATGTTGAGTTCGGAAAGAGATAATGGGCTTGGGCTTCTGGTCTGGCCCCAAAATATGCCGACGCTGGCTATATTTTCCTGCAACGTAAACACACCGTTTCATCACCGGAACCATAGTTAGTGTCAATCCAAGCGTACCAACTGCAATGCGCCAGATGGTTGACAAGAAGTGCTTGCGCATATCCTTTGGCTTATCCAGGGTTCCTAAAAGAGCTGAATGGGGTAGGCGGACATGATTAAAACTCGTGATAGCATGATCCAACGGTTTCGACGCTGCTCGCCTGGGGAGCAACCTAAATGGTGTTAGTTCCTATCTCTTCCATGTACGCATCCCTTTTTCATACGCACTTCGAAGTCACACCCTCAAACATCTCGTTTCCATCGTTGAGCCAAGTAATGAATGGTCTTATGCCACGATTCTCGCCAGAAACAACCAATTGGGCAAAGACCATCGCAACTCGTGGGAAACCCTTTAATGGGAAAGATGGCGGCATAATCCTGATATTATAAACGAAATGTCACAGTTTGAGGAGAGTGTTTGAGCTTACTTCGATCCATTGGGGCTAGGAGTGTGTAGGTCGAACTCTCCAGTTGGGAGCATTGTTGCAGTTGTTTCCAAATTCCTCGCATCTACACCATGCCCAACCTCGGCGACCATATACTGCGCCCTAGTCCGCCAAATTAGTATTAATACGTGAGGAGTTATCAAAGGCTCTACACTGACGATATCTCAAATTTCAGGATCTTATCCAAGAGTTCTCGGTATTGCGGTTGCTTTTCTGCAAAGGGTGACAAGGTCCCTGCTGCAAGGTTGAGTTGAATAGTCATTAGGGTAAGTGCAGCGAAGTCTACAGTTCCAATCAGATCCAGATGAAATTTCCAGAACTTCTCAGTGCACTGAAGGACATCTACCAATGTCATTCCTAGATTGGTGGGTTAGCTTATTTGAAGATTGGAGATAGGGGATAGTCTTCTAACCGTAAGCTTTGACAATAGCAGCAGCCCGCCGGTAGGTAAGGTGGACTTTCTCAGAATCGACACTATCGCCCGGAGTGACCTTGAACATGGGTAGACGAAGTAGTTCGAGGGTTGGAGAAGACATTTTTTTCAGTGGTAAATTCCGTGACTACCGAGGATGCACGATCGAGTTATGCGGAGAATTTGTATCAATCGTAAGTAAGGGGGTCCATCATCTTCACAATGAACTGTAGTTAATATTCTACTTTATAAACGAAAGACATGGGCTGAGTTGGTATCTGATTCGATACGTTCACATCAGAGAGGTTAGATAGATGGGGACCTGATTTGCTACAAAATATAAAAACCTTGATCAATGCATATGCTTGTTTAGGGAATTTGGAGACGTCTCTTCTTACACGACGTCCACATCATCTCGATCAATGCGGCTGCTTGCCTAGGAATCCAAACCAGCGGTGTAACGAAAGAAGTCTATCTCTCGCAGCCATTTGTTCTCACTGGATCTTCCTGTAGACATGAATCAATAAAGCTCCACTCATATAATAGGCTGTACAACATAGTATACGTACATCTATAAATTCAAAATATATAGTTACGATCTACACAGACATATTCCTATTGTGGACTAAATAACAGAACATGCAGCCCAAAGGCCCTGTTGATGATGCAATTTTGCATGCCCTATGAGAGGAAAGGACATGCTGCTGACTCCAGAGAGCCAGTTTCATTTGCAGGATCGATACTAAATCCCGAGGCTACCATGTAGGTCAAGAGGGGGCTTGGCTTACCAAACGATCACAGATCTCCAATTCTCCGAGAAGATAAATACAAAATTCCATTTCACAAAGTGTCTGCCTACGTTGTAAAGAACTGGGAAGGATATCCGAAAAGTCCACCGCGAAGATTGCTGGAGAGATCGCCGAAAAGAGTGTCTAAAAGGCCAGGAGGCATCACAAGGCCGCATCAGCGACCATCTATTCTGGTTACATATGTATATTGTAAAGTTAATATATAGTCCCACTCATTCTCACTTCGCCACAGGCAGTAACTAACGAAAGATCATTTCCGCCTACAATCTATACAGCATAGATGACTTCAACGACAATGGCAAAGTTTCAGCATGCTCTACAAGATGCAAAGCACATAACAGAGCGCATAAATGATGCACCAAAAATAACTATTGAAAATTTCATCGGATATATCTCGGTGCCAGTTGGACTAGCTGGTCCTCTGTCGATAAAAAACTCCGATGGCACCAGTACCGCAACCTATGCTCCAATCGCTACTACTGAGTCTGCCATCATTGCAAGCTGCAGCAGAGGCTGCAAGGTTCTAAATGAATCTGGCGGAGGGCAGTTTCACGTTCTGGGGGAAGCGATGTCTCGCAGTCCAGTGTTTCGATTCAATTGTACCCAAGACGCGATTGATTTTACCCATCGCGTGGAAGATCTCTGGGATCCCATCGTTAAGGCCGCAGAATCCACGAGCCGCTACGCCCGTCTTCTGAAAATGACCCCTCATGTTATCGGCTCCAATGTGCACTTGCAGTTTGACTACACATGTGGGGATGCAGCAGGCCAAAATATGGTCACGATTGCTACTCAGAGTGTCTGTGATTGGCTTCTTGCTTCCACAAAAGATCTAGAGCTGAAGATCACGGGTTTCCTAATTGAAGGCAACATGGCGCCGGACAAAAAGCCATCATGGGGAACTGTCAGCTCGACCAGAGGTGTTGGGGTCATCACATGGACCTCTCTCTCTGATACGGTATGCCGTGCCGTTCTCAGGTGCACGACCGAGAGCCTGTACCACACTTTCTGCACAATGCGAGAAGGAGGAATTCGAAATGGTCAATTCGGCTCCAATATCAACGTGGCCAATGTGGTCACAGGTATCTTCATCGCGACTGGTCAGGATGTCTCAGCAGTTGCCGAAGGACCTTGGGGACATTTGACCCCAGAGTATGATCATGAGTCTCGTCAGCTGAAATTGACCCTCTATTTCCCATCTCTACCCGTTGGCACTGTTGGAGGTGGCACCGGATATGAAACACAGCGAGAAGCCCTTGGTATTATGGGATGCAGTGGCCCTGGTATGAAATTCCGTTTAGCGGGTCTGATTGCCGCCTTTGCTCTCGCACTTGAAATCAGTACTGGAGCGGCCGGAGCAAACAATACTTTCACCAAAAGTCATGAGCGACTCGCGCGTGTAAAGCAAGGGAATGACAGTAAGCTGTGAATAGCTCAATGCAATGAATCAATAGTTTTATGAGGGTATATCTCTGTCTCCCAAGGACGTAGGTGTCTCAGCGCGCATTCTGACTAAGCAGGGACCCCGCCATCAGTCAGCCCACTAGGTCGTACGGAGACCAAAATGTTGAGAAGTACCGGTACCTGACCGTACACGTTAAAATTGCACTAAAAGACCGTACCAGGTACTTGCCACGTTCCAGGACTTTTGGCGATCCCTCACTAAGCGGAGAGTTTTCCTTCCCCTCTATTATTCTCCTTTTCCCTCTTTCTCTTCCTTCTCTCATTCATACACCCTTTGGTCAGTCAATTCCTACACTTTTGTCTGGTCTTTCTCACTAATATCTCATAGTTTTTGAATACATACTACATAATGGCTGCCCCCGCACAGAAGTTCAAGGTCGCTGACCTCGTATGTCTCTCTCAACCTATTTTTTTTCTCTCCTCCCATTGACCATTCTTTAGTCCCTGGCTGCCTTCGGTCGCCGCGAGATCGAGCTCTCCGAGGTTGAGATGCCCGGTCTCATGGCCATCCGTGAGAAGTACGGTGCTGACCAGCCCCTCGCTGGTGCCCGCATCGCTGGTTGTCTCCACATGAGTATGTTGATCTATCACAAAAAGCAAAACTTATGCTGACCGCTTCCCCAGCCATCCAGACTGCCGTCCTCATCGAGACCCTCACTCACCTCGGTGCTGAGGTCACCTGGACCTCTTGCAACATCTTCTCCACCCAGGATCACGCCGCCGCTGCCATTGCCGCCGCCGGTGTCCCTGTGTAAGTTTTCGTCCCTTCCGAGATCTTTCTTGAGATTTCACACCTGTTAGATGGAATTTGTCTAATCGTTTTAATCTACAGCTTCGCCTGGAAGGGTGAGACCGAGGAGGAGTACCAGTGGTGCTTGGACCAGCAGCTCCAGGCCTTCAAGGATGGCAAGAAGCTCAACCTCATCCTTGATGACGGTGGTGACCTCACCTCCCTCATCCACACCAAGTACCCCGAGATGCTCGATGACTGCTTCGGTGTCTCCGAGGAGACCACCACCGGTGTCCACCACCTGTACAAGATGCTGAAGGAGAACAAGCTCAAGGTTCCTGCCATCAACGTCAACGACTGTGTCACCAAGTCCAAGTTCGACAACCTTTACGGTTGCCGTGAGTCCCTCATCGATGGTATCAAGCGTGCCACCGATGTCATGATCGCTGGTAAGGTCGCTGTCGTTGCCGGTTACGGTGATGTCGGCAAGGGCTGTGCCCAGGCTCTCCACTCCATGGGTGCCCGCGTCATTGTCACTGAGGTCGACCCCATCAACGCCCTCCAGGCCGCTGTCCAGGGTTACGAGGTTAACACCATGGAGGAGGCTGCCCCTATCGGTCAGATCTTCGTCACCACCACCGGCTGCCGTGACATCCTTGTTGGCCGTCACTTCGAGGCCATGCGCAACGACGCCATTGTCTGCAGTAAGTTATTTTGACTCGTAAAATGTTCGTTTTTACCTCCGTACTAACATTTGTCCAGACATTGGTCACTTCGATATCGAGATTGACGTCGCCTGGTTGAAGGCCAACTCCCAGTCCGTCCAGAACATCAAGCCCCAGGTTGATCGTTACCAGCTCAACGGCAAGAACATCATTCTCCTCGCCGAGGGTCGTCTTGTCAACCTTGGCTGTGCTACCGGCCACTCTTCCTTCGTCATGTCCTGCTCTTTCTCCAACCAGGTCCTTGCTCAGATCGCTCTCTTCAAGGCTGAGGATGCTGCTTTCGGCAAGAAGTACGTTGAGTTCGGTGCCGGTGGCCGCAAGCCCGTCGGTGTCTACGTTCTGCCCAAGCAGCTCGACGAGCAGGTCGCTCGCTGCCACTTGGCCCACGTCAACGCCAAGCTCACCGAGCTGACCCCCGTCCAGGCCGAGTACCTCAGCCTCGATGTCAACGGCCCCTTCAAGCCCGAGATCTACCGTTACTAATTTCTTTATTTTTCAACCGCGATCGATGATTTTTTTGGGAAATAGACTTTCAACATGATTCGACGATGTTATGATTGGCATTTCGAGTTCTCCATCAACTAAGAACTCAAAAGTGGTTGTCCTTCAACGGCATAAAAAGTGGCCTGCACCGGGGATGGTGTGTTTCTAATGTTTTGTTTTGGCGTGGGATGACCTGGGATGGTCTTGCATTCAACACTGCTTTGCGCATGGGATTTTATCTTTGATACCTCTGGTGTGTAGGCCTCCATGGGCCGATTGTGACGGTGTAGTACTTCAACAATAGAAGCTATGCGTCAACATTTTTTTATTTCTTGTGTAGTTGCTCTTGTAGACAATCTCTGATCATATGTCTGGCCATGAAACGTGATCTATTCTCCACGGATCAATTTGACCAGCTCATCTGCTGCCGCCACTGCAAACTCGGGATTATTGATGTCACGCACATCTCGCACGACTGTTATCCCACTGCCCTCCAATTCCTTCTCCAGAGTAGAGAACAATGTCTCATCGGCCTCTGGATCGTAGAATGGCTGTCCCGGAATATCCAACATGCTCAGTCCACCAACAGGCAGAATCATCTTTGTCCGCCTCAACTCTCCTTTCTCCCTCGGCTCCCGCAACAAGTTCTTTGCTATAAACCTCCCAATATCCTCACACTCCTTCATATTAGTCCGCACAAGCGTAACAGCCGCATTATGCTCATGCAACCGCCTCCCCTCCCGAAACGCACCAGGAACACTCCCCATCTCACCAAAATTAACCATATCACAAGCCCCAACACTAACAACCCTCGGAATATTCCGCGCCGTAGCCGCAGTCAACCGCTCAGCTCCAGCACTAAGCACCCCACCAACAACCTCATCCGCGATCTCCGTGGTCGTCAAATCAAGCACCGCATCAATCTGCCCCTCCTTCACAAGCCTCTCCAACGCCCTGCCCCCAGACCCCGTAGCATGAAACACATAAACCTCACAACCCTTCAGCTCCTCCTCAAGACGTTCCCGCGCACGCATTACACAAGGTGTCGTCACCCCGAACATGGATATCCCGATACTCACAGAAGATGTCTCCACGGCCTCCTGCTTCTTCTTGTTCTGCTGCCGCTTGAAATACGCGCTCGCCATCCCCGCAATCCCCCCAGCGGCGTTGTCAAGAACACCCTCTAACACACGGTTCCGGCCCGCAATGTCCACAACGCTGTACATCATGCTGATATTTGTTTCCCCGATATACGGGCCCACGTCCCCGGATGCCATTGTTGACACAAGTAGTTTGGGGAATCCGATTGGTAGTGCGTCGCGCATCACCGCTGCTGCCAGTGAGGTACCGCATGACCCGCCTATGCCTATGATACCGTGGATTTGGTGGGACTCGTAGAGGGAGGTTGTTTTCTGTGTGGCGTAGGGTGTGAGGGTGGTGATGTACTCGGCTCGGGGGAGGGTTGTTAGATCTGGGATTGGGTTTGAGGGAGTGGAGAGGGCGCTTTGGGGGATGTTGATTTCTTGGTGGGTAATTAGGTTGCGGCCGATGTCCATCAAGAGGACTGTGGCGGTTGTGGATTCGATTTGGGATTTTGTGTAGAGCAGTTCGGGGAGTTTGGTATCGCATGTTCCTAGGAGGAGGATTGTGGGGGTGTTTGGGGACATTTTGGTTTAATTTGAGGATTTGGATTGAGTCGACAGTACGAGAAGTCGAGTTCAACTTGAGATGGAACGAGAAGTGGGAAGTGGGGGGGGGAACTCTAGTGGGGTCCATCGTGACATGTTCTATGCACGTCGTATACAACTCACTGGAACGGTATTGCCATGAGATTGCAAGTATTTCTCACGTATAGTCTTTTGGGATACTTGGAGATGGCGCTATGGACATAGAAATTTGTCACTATGAATCTGTGTTAGAACGTAGAGTGTGGAAATTATACAAAGTATGCCTAGGATGAACTATATAGTGTATAGGTGGATCTCATACTCGATGCTCGAAGTACATCGTCAAAAATGAACTGTAAAACTGTGTATCTAAAGTACGTAAGAATACCTGACAACAAGACAATTATTCTAGATGGCGAATTTCGAGAGCTGCCAAAAGAAACCATACATTTTAGGTAACAAGTAATGCTCAAGCAAAAGAAGCACAAATGGCTGGAGAATGACGGGGGATATTCAAAGGACTCTCAAGGCGGAATGCAAGCCTCAATATAAACACAAGGATATCCAATATCGTGGACGTGAAATAATGCGGATAGCAGCAACTGTGGCGTATGTATGGAAGGACAATTGTATCCTGCACTGTCAATACCCAAATGTCACACCGATGCGCATCAACTAGAGCTTAGCAGATCTCGCGGCCTTGAATTGACGAATCCTGAATTGAATCAGCCATATATACACATACACATCAAAGAATTTGAAACGTCCGAGACATACTTATCCTCATCCGCTAGCTCGAACAACACATCCTGTGCTCCTTCCCACAGCGTCAAATTCCCAAGCGCAAACAGGCTCTCAGATCCCTCGGTGATAGTCAAGAAATGGTTCGCAGCAAGCGATCCCATCTTGCTTGCGAAGGCTACGCCTCCATAGCAAAAGAGGAACTCCGTCTCCGAGATGCCTCCGGGGTACAAGAGAATCTGACCAGGCGCAGGATGTGCCGTGTGATTTTCAAAGGGCAGGTTGAAATCGGTCTCGCCCAACGGAATCCACATACCCTCACCGCTCCATCGCACATGGATGAGCTTTTGGCGGTATGGGAGGAGAGAACGGAATAGATTGACGGTCTTGGGAGCGGAAGACTCGAGCTTGGCAAGGAATTGGTACGGGCCAGCCGTGATCAGAATGGTAGAGTCTGTCATGTTGGAATTGAACGGGTCTGTGAAGAGAGAATAGGTTTTTGGTGCCGTTCTCTTGCTTTTAACGGTCAAGATTGTTGATGTTTCCCGCGGTCTACAAGTTAGCGTGCTTCCAAGGATCTTGGCGGTTGATCCATCCAATTAGCTTGTAGTTTCCCCGGTGAAATCCACTTGGATATCGCCCTGTTCCACTCGTCAGTGTGCTCTTCTATACAAGTGGGGCGAAATCGCTGCGTTGTACGGAGTTCGGAATTCGAGTTCGGATATCAGATATTCTACATTGTGTGGGACTATGATAGAAGGAAAATGGTCAATTTCAGGCAACATAAAGTGCATTACATATATGACTTTGACAGTGAGTAAATGAAACGGACAGACACAAACTAATTATCCACAAGAAAGTACCAAAGAAAAACGCATTCGTAATCGTTCATTAGATTGACATTGCTGGACTAATATGTCAAAACCCTACCCCGATAAGCTGCCCCGTACTCTAGTGAGTAGACGGCGGCCACACGCGAAACCCATGCAAAAGGCCAGGGGCTTTAACATTGGAGGGATGTCGACGCTTCTTTGTTGAAAGAAGACTCGACCGAGGCTTAGCTGCGTTGGGGTCTGGCGCTAGCTTTCGAGCCTGTGGGCTATTCGACTTGCGAACACGAAACTGATTCGAAGTTTGTTTGGCAAGCTTCTGTATACCCAGCGCTGGTCGATGCTTGACCTGAGGCATAGGCGTCGGAGGTAACTCAGGATGGGCTCTGGCCTCCGGCTTTGGTGGACTAAGTGGCGGGACTCGATTCCGTTGAATCAAAAGCCCTTCTCCACCAAAGCACTTGACTAGCATTTGCGCTGCGGAAGCGCGCTCGTTTGGATCGATTCTCGCCATTTCCTGGATCTCCGGGATCCTTGATGCCATGGAAAAGACAGCTTGGCGGGCCTGCGGGATTGATGTGAAATATTCTAAGCCCTGGCGAAAGCCGTCAAAGTTGAGTGTCCATGCGACTGTTACAAAAAGAGACCAGACATCCATTTTGTGTGACTGGACTCCGTCGTAAACCTCCGGGGCAGTGTACAGCGGAGTCCCGACAGAACTGCGAGCATCAACAGTGCGATTGCATAGGCCGAAATCGCCGAGCTGGAACAAAATAGAGTTCCCACTCCGTAGCATAGTATAAAGAATGTTTTCCGGCTTCACGTCACGATGAACAATGCCGTTCTCGGCCAAGAAATGTATCGCCATAAGAATCTGGTGGAAGGACGATTTGGCGAAGTTGTTTATGGTCCGGACTTCAGACTGGAGAACCAAGGATTGAAGTGTGCCGTCCTTAAGGCCCATGAATATCTCCGCGGTGGGTCCGTCCCAGCCTTGAGAGGTGACAAAATCGATGATGTGCGGCTATGGCAGTGGCAGTTCAGTGCACGGGATTTCAAGAATCAAGTGTATGGAAGGGTCACTCACGTGGCTGATCCGGGATAAAGTCTCGACTTCGCGTTTCAACGCATATCGCAACGACTGCTTCCAACTTGCGTCTTTTGAAGCGTCCTCGGGCTTTTGTATTATCTTAACAGCGAGAAACCTGCCTGTGTCGAGATTGAGAGCCTTGTATACAGTTCCAAACTGTCCAGCTCCAAGTCTGCCACACTTCATGTATCTCATTCTCAGCTGTCGAGGGCCTGGGGTGTGGATTCTGGTCTGCATTTGGGAAGGCGAGCCCGATTCCACCCCATCAGCTGTCAGGGCTAGGCGAGGATCCTCCTCGCAACCGTTTGTCATGGACTCTCGATCTTTGATTATCGCAGTCGTTTTGGCGAAATCTTGATACCATATAAACTCGAATTGAACACTTCCACCACCCATGCTCATACGACTATTCATATCCTTCTGAATGACTACTCGACGAAGACGCCCATGCTCAAATGGCACTGCATCTTCACCGAAAAGCTGCGTTGTCTGACCATTAGACCTGTCGTAGAGCAAGATCACATTGGTGGTCGGCTCGATTTCAAAAGAGCACTGGAGCCTGGAGATGGCGGTGCCCTCTACAAAGATGTCCGCATCTGCACGTCCTAGTGTTGCGATCGTGCGCTGGGATCGTGACCGTATCTGGAAGCCAATGTCGAGGACAGTTGTTCCATCAGGCAACTTCGAAGTAAGGTGTTGGTTCAAAGGATGATTGACGACCTTTTGCGCTTGTTTGTTCAGAGGCTTGAGTGAGAAGAGAGCAAGTCGATGATGATTTGGATAGTACGACATATCAATATAGTATTAACCAAATAAAAGTATTAAACAAAGAGGTATTCAGAAGAATAACGGAAGTCATTATGTAGTTATTTGGCATCGATAACAACACTGTGGCTTAGGCGCTATACCCCGGCAAATTTGGGGGTTGCTGGCTTCAACAATGGTTTCAGGTTGTTTCAACTGAAAAACAAAATCATAGATGCCTAAATAGTGTAGAAGGCGTCGAAGGTTGGCGGGTTATTTATTGGCTATGGTTGTCCGGCAATTCACGCGCTAGTTGCTGCAGCTTAGCGCTCATGTCACACTTGATTCTGTCGCGTCTCTCAATCTCCCCATCTTCCTTCATATTTTCTACCGAATCTCATCTCAATCAAATTCTACCAACTCTCTCGGTATGCAGGACAGTATTAAAACTGACCTAACTACCATTCACTTTGCGGCTGGTAACCTCGCCAAAAGCCCGGGGCTACTTGATGATGATCGTTCATGTCTCGATAGAGACGTATCATATATTCCTCGCCATTCACACTATTCAACAGCTCCTATGAGCCCCGATAGCCTTTCTAGGAAACACCAACGCGAGAGGCAACGACACCGCGATCACCAAAAATGGCAACTCCTGAGAGACCACGAAGCTTCACGCCCCTGTCAGCAATTCGACGCTCAAGTTGACGAAATGGTAACCCGCATAAAGGAAGAGATCAAGAACCGAACATTGGTCATTCCGAACGGGGATACCATGGATAGTCTCGCTTATGACAGAGTGAAAAAGGACTGGGTTGAACAAGGAATTTGGAATGAAGAGTGGTACTGCACACCTTCAGAACAATGGATGCATGAAAAGCCGCTCGAAGCAGTCGAGACAGACATGGTTATCGGGATCCATTCCAGTCCATCGACTGGCAAAAATATACAGGGCGGTCAGGGAGCCAAACAAAAGCCCGGAGACGAGTCATCGCGTCCATTTCATCAATTCATTTATCAGATATCACGGGAGCGCGAACGAATCGAAAGTGATTACGACTTCCCAGGCGCCGCCCCTGTTTCCGCCCCAACCGATATCCACACTAAAGCTTACGAGAATGTGAAAGAGATCTGGATCAAAAGAGGCATATGGAACAACCAATGGGGTATATTGCCTGGATTGGCCTGGAAGCATGAAAGCCCTCTGCACATGCTTGATAACGACTATGACTTGATTCCAAGCCCGACGAAGGCCAGAGGACATGTTCAATTGACTACGGAAACTAGAGCTTTGGTTGTTGATGAGTCCTTTTCTGTCCAAGCAGATCCCTCTTTGGGAGGTGCTCAGGGGACTAGTAAGAGGAAAAGGGCAGCTTCTCCTGTTGACACGAAGATATCAAGACGAAAGGTTTCCCGAACTGTCAACCCGGAACCAGACCCCAGACCCGCAGTGGATAATTCTAGCGACCAATTGGATGTGTCAGAGCAGGGAACTCAGGATACTGGAAGGCGTAGAAGTACGCGCTTACGGAGTAGGGCTAAATAATGTGAAGTGCTTCGCCCACGGTTATCTGAATACGTTATACTCCATACGAACAAATGTCTCTATCGAGTTTGAAGAAATCCCCATGGTGTGTCTAGAATCGAAAAACGGGTTTATTTCCACTCAACCTGCAAGCTCGCGCACCACTTTAGATTCATTCCACACTGGAAAGGTACAAGATTGGACCAAGGGAGCAAATGCCAGAATCTAGGCACCACTGGTTAAACGTACTTGGTATAGGCCGGAAAATAGACATCCAGACGTGTACAAATTCAAATTGAAGCTAGACTGATAGCACGGAAAACGCCTTTGAACTTGACATGGCAAACAGAATATGCAGACAGGACGGCTGTGCATGTTCAGCCCAAAGCCCCTTGATTAAAGCACCAGGCGTCGCATCAATATTGAGCGAAAATAATATCATCAAATCTAAGGGCAGAGCCCACGAGCCCTTATGGGAGAGAGAATCCAATTGACGACACCATTACGGGCGGAGGGCTGGGCCACTTTGAAGAATAATGGAAGACATGAAGACATTATGTAGATATGTATCCATAGCAGCGTCAAGCGCTATACCCCGGCAATATGGGCGTAGTTCGTTTCAAAGATTGTTTCAAGGATGATTATATCTCAACTATGACAATAGCCAAGGCGCTGTCACCTCTCCTTCTCCTTTTTCACCCACTCCTATTAATCTACCTGGACAATCACATTCTACAACTGTCAGCATGAAAGGCATACAAACTGGTATACCTACTATCCACTCTGCGCTCGACAAACTCGACAAACTCGCCAATGATCCGAAACGACTCGATGTTGACCGGTCACGTTTCGACAGAGAGGTATCATATGTTTCCAACCAATCGCACAATTCAACAGCATCTCTGAGTCCCGGTAGCCCTTCCGAAGTGCAACGACGCGAGAGGCAACAGCGCCGCGATCGTGAGAAATGGCAATTGATGAAGGAACACGATGCTTCACGCGCCAATGAGCAATTTGATGCTCAAGTTTACGAGTTAGAAGCTCTGATAATAGAAGAAATTGAGAATCGAACACGTGAAATACCCAACGGGACGAATATGAACAACCTCGCCCATGAGACAGTGAAGAACAAGTGGATGAAACAAGGCATCTGGAATGAAGAATGGGACCATATAGCTCAGCCCTGGTGGGTTTGGATGCATGAAGATTCACCTAAAGCAACTCAAGCACCCTATCTCAATCCGCCCTATAACCTAAAAGGAGAAAAATTGTTGACTACAAGATTGGGGAACAAAAAGGTACCCCGCGGAGACGAGCCCTCGCGCCCATTCCATCAATTCATCTATCAGATATCAGAGGAGCGCGAACGAATTGAAAAGGACTGTGTCGCTTCATCTGGCACCGTTCCTGTTTCCCCCTCAGAGGATGTCAACACCAAAGCTTATGAGACTGTGAAAAGTACATGGCTTAGAAGAGGCATTTGGAATAATCAATGGGGTATATTGCCTGGGATGGCTTGGAAGCATGAAAGCCCTTTGAAGATACCAGATACTGATTGCGAGTTGACTCCAAGTCCGACGGAGTCTAACGAGAAACTTATCTTCAAGCCGGAAGATGGAAGTGCGCTTTCCGATGCGCCTCCATCTGGCCAGGCAGATGGACCTTGTTCCAGCAAGGGAAATAAAAAGAGGAAAGGGGTGGCTGCTCCTGTTGAGAAGGGATCGCTTCTTGCTGGCTCGTTGCCTGCTCAAGCAGACAGCCCCTCTGCAGTTGGTGGCAGGGGAGCTAGTAAGAGGAGAAGGGCAGCCGCTCCTATCGACATGAAAAAGCCAACCCGAAAATTTTCCAAAACCGTCAAGCGTGAGACATCAAGATTCAACCCTGCAGTGGATGACTCGAACCCCCGATTAAATATGCATGAAGGGAGTCGTGATACTGGGAGACGTAGAAGCACACGGGTACGGAATCGGGCTAAATGATGTGAAATACTTGGTCTGTGGCCTTTTGAATGCGTCATGTATCATATGAATCAGTTTTTATTTCAGTCTGTAGAACCGCCCACGTTGTATATTTGATTGAAATTGAGAAGACGGGTTTATTCCTACAAAGTACGATGTTACTGGTAGTGATGGTTGGGGACACATAGCAAACGTATGGATGTACCAAGCAGAAGAAGAACTAGTAAGACGCGCACGACTTTCAATTCGAGGCTCAGGCAATAGTGCGAAGAAATCCAACCAACTTGGCAATATACTAAGATGACAGGATGTTGTATGGAAACCCGAGCCAACAACCCCCTGACCGAAGCACTAGGCTTCAGTGGCAAGCCAAAATTATACCACTAGATAAGTCGGCAATCATCACGAAGCCCGATGCAAGAGCGAGTCCAACGGATCACACCCTACGGGTCCAAGGCTATGCCTCAATAGACCTGCCAATAATCAATGGATTCCCAGTTGGCTTTCATTGCTGTACTAGCACACCACTCAGCCTCAGGGGCTTAGCGCTGTTGGTGCTCGCCCCTACAGAACCGCCAGGAGTCCGCCCCGTAGCCCGAAATAGATGTCTACTCTTACGTTCCCAAGAAGGACTATGCTGTTGGTCGAGAGAATTTTCATATCTGTTTGATTTGCTAGTAGAGGATTGAATTACGAACACCATATATGTCTCACTTTGCATGATATCAGTGTCAAAGAGCCTCTTTTTTCCATATTGGCCCCCATTTGCCCGCCCATTTGTATGGGCCTAAGTGATTCAGCATCTGTAACGGGCTATTTATCCTGTAGTTTTGCTCTACATCGCACGGTCACCCTGTGAAAGTATTCAATATGTTCATGGCCTAGACTTGTCTGCTCTAAGGCTTATTAGCTTCAGGCATCTGCCTCGGCGATGGCGGGTGGACGTATCTTGGACGTCTACAAAATTGGCCCGTAAGACGGAGTTCCTCCGCGTTCTATTCCAATGTCCAGCTAGTCCGTTAATATCGTCCGATTCGTCCGTTCCCATGTGTCCTCAAAGAAGCTCGAGAGAACCTGCTATTCTTGTGCTCCCCACTCTGTCTAGCAGTGGTCGTTTTCTCTTCCTTGCCCCGTCACAATACTAGCCCTTCCTAATCTGTCGTCCAAATCGCGCGACAACGCCATAGACCCCCCCTCCCTCTAGCAGGAGCTGTCCTCTTCTTCATCCATTTACCACACATCAAGAGCAGAAGAAATGACATCGAAAATCAACTTCCCGACCATACCACCAACTATGCGTGCCTGGGTACGCCGCCGGCGCGGCCCAGCTTCTAGCGCGCTCGAGTTAGTCACCGACTATCCAACACCCGACGTGCCGACAGGCTCATCGCCCGACATCCTAATCCGCGTATCAAATGTGTCACTACAGTTCAGCACTGAGTTGATGATGAAGTCACTACCTAACCTGCCCTTCACCGGCCCGTGGGTCCCGGAAATCGAGCTTTCCGGCGTGGTAGTAGCGGCTGGCGAGGGTGCACCGGTAGGAGTACGTGAGCCGGACACACATGTCATTGCCTTCCAGAGCATTCCTCGCACCGTGGTTATGGGCCAAGGTGTGCTGGCAGAATATGTACGACTGCCCGGCTCCCAAGTCGCACGCATCGATAAAAGTGTTGATATGGCATCGGCATCAGGTATCATCGGGTCCGGTAGCACCGCGCTCAAAATGATTCGCACAGCAGGTGTGCGTGAGGGTCTCACGGTGCTGGTAAACGGGGCTAGCGGGTCGGTCGGCTCAGTGCTCGTGCAGCTATGCAAGCTGCGTGGTGCCAAGGTGGTCGGGGTGGCTAGCGGAGGCAACGAGCATATGGTCCGTGATCTGGGCGTAGATGAGGTAGGTGTAGTTGCTAACGTTGCACAAGGAAATGGCTAATTTGCAAGTATTGGAATAGTTCATCGACTACCGCGAACATGAGTCGCTGCCGGCTTACCTGGCGCATCAGTATGGCGGGAAGCCGTTTGACTTTGTGCTCGACTGTGTCGGCACGCAGGCACTTTTCGCCAATTCCCCAGCTTATCTGAAGCCAGAGGGAGCCGTTATCAATATCGGTATGCTTGAGGGTCCATATCTAACGGTGCGCAATGTGCTGCTAAATACCTTCCTGCCCACCTGGCTGGGAGGCGTGCCACGTCGCTATATAATGTTCAGCACGCCACCGTCGTGTGACGACTCAATCTATATAGCGCGACTAGTTGAGGAGGGTCGCTTGCGTGTCCCTGTTGACTCTGTGTTTGAGATGAAGGATGCCATACGCGCCTATGAGCGCATCTCCACAAAGCGGGCGCGTGGTAAGGTCGTGATCAAAGTACGTGACGACTAGCGCATGGGCACGTCGAGGTCGCAAAGCGTCGTACAAAGACTTTATGAAATTTGATTTTTATGTTACTCGGTCTCCAGTGGTGTTAGGCGATATTGGTCACCGCTGGTCGCGGCTTTTGGTAGCTTATATATATGCTCACGTATGTCCTCCCTTTCGCGACACTATAGTTGTTAAGCATATCGCAGACGTATTAGCGCCTATCATTGGATGTGATTATTGGTTTGGTAATAGTTCATTGCAATAGAAAATTGCATATATGTCTGAAAAGGACAGGAGAAAAAACGCATGCACTAAGCTAAATTGGAAGGCCGTACCGTGTACAGGATCGATCCAAAATTTGTCTTCAAGCTCGCTTGAGAACAGAGCCGGTCTGAGGATACTCAATACTGACAAGTCTTCCATCAACCAAATTGAAGATAAACTCATCAGAGGGCCCAGCAAAGTCAAGGTTCATCCACACAAAAGAGTTGTCAAACAGACCACCCTTTCCACCTTCAACAGCCGCACGAGGTTTCATCGGGGGCTCCGGTTCCACCATGCGGTGCGCCACACGAAGCTTGCCCTTAGTCTTGTACAAGGCAGACAGAGACCTCGAGAAGGAATTGAGACCAGTCGGGTAGAGACGCCAATGCGCATTATCGCGGGCGTTCTCGCCCTTAAGCCAGAACGATTTCAGACCAAGCCCAGGACGGCCTCGGTCAACAGACAGCGTGATGTTTGTATCTGGTGACGCTTCGTCGACAAACGTGCCGGCCAGGTTTCGTTTGGCGTTTTCAGTAGCTGCATGTTCGGCGGCGGGTATGAATGTCTCGCCGACTAAGTTGCGGAGGGGCCATCGGGCGGGGGTTGCGGTGAAACCTGCAACCAGGATGGAATAACCGATGCCGTGGTCTGGTGATAGGGCAAAAATGGATGTATAGTCGACGTTACCGCCGGCCTTGGTGTAGAGATCTGAGATCCGGGTACGGTTTGAGCCTGGGGTGACGGGGATCTCGAGACGTGAGATTTCCCATGGAGCACCGACGAGCTCGACTAGACTGCCAGTCCCACTGCTGGGTTTCATCCATTGGGATGTTGTGGCTGGGGAGAGAATCTCGGAGTTCAAGATGGCGAGACCTGCGGCCCGGAGATCTTCAGCGTTGGAATAGTAACTGCCAGTTCTGTGGGGCAAGTCAGTCTGTGGGCCTTTGGAGTATGGAACACCACGTAAAGAAACGCGAATAGGAATGGAGAGACCTACGACGCAACAATTTCCAAGTCACCGCCCCATGAGGTGTTCTTGTCAATACCGCGGCGATCGACGACATTAAGATCCGAGCCCGTTGGAACAGTTGTCGACATGCTCTCCAAGCCTAATGGATTGAAAAGGATTTCTTGGACAGCTTGCCTATAAGTCTTTCCCGAGAGACGTGCAAGTACCTGTCCCAGAATAGCAAAGCCGCCATCAGAATAAACAGCATTTCGGAATGGAGAGATGACTGGCTTTTTCTCGTCACGGAAGAACTTCAAAAGATCTGCGAACGACATAAATTAGCGACTTTGTAGCTGATAGGATTTGTTTCACCCACCTTCTGGTGAAAAGTCCAATGGGTTATCGGGGTTGGCATATTTTTCAATGAAGTCTAACAGTTGAATCAGCACTAGAAATTCACAATCTGACATGAGCACAAACCGGCAACACCCCCAGAACCAGCCTGCTGAGATGCAAGCGCTCCAACGGTGATATCCTCCCAGCGGATTTCCTCCAATGGATCGTCGGCCGAATTACCTGCCAGTTCGGGGAGGTACTTCGTCACAGGGTGACTGAAGACTTCCATACCAGCCTTGGCTATGATTGCATAGACAGTAAAGAGTTTAGTCACACTTCCAATGCGGGAGATGGTCTTGTCGTTAAATTCTCCGGACGTCACAGACTTCTTCGAGTTCTCTCCAACATGCGAATAGCTGTAGATGGATTGATTGGTTGCAGCTGAAAAGACGTCAATGTGGAAAGCCAAGTCAGTGCGATTGAGATCACCGGTTGAGAAGAGGCTATCGATGAGGCCAGGGAATTTCGATTTGGCATGACTGATCGAGGTGGAATTGGAGGGATCAAAGTTGGAGAGGAATGATGGACCGCTGAAGGGGACTTCATCTGTGGCGATGATGCGCGCTGTTGAGGTAGCGGCAAATCCCAATAGGGATGCAATCAATGCTTTGTCGACAAGCATTGTAAAGTCTTCGGTGAGATTCTGTTAAACAATAGGAGACTTGCGTATCAGAAGATTGGGTTGATTCTGTGAAACTTCTGGCAAGCGCTGTGCATCTTATATATCGATAATTGTTGATGATTATTGTGGCTGTAGCACACGTTAATGAAGCACTTACTGAGAGGTATGAACGTAAGCCAAGCCAACCCTTTGTCCATATAGGGTTGATTGCGGCGCCATCCCGGCCATGGTCTCTGTCGAAGAGTTGATGGGCGCACTATAATAAGAAAGGCTGAGTCAACTTGGCCCCAGATCTGCGACAGTGAGGATGAATATGGTGATTTGGTGCGCTCTTGGCGTTCGTGATGGTGAACTCAATCGCGAAAGGCTTAGAAGCTTGGCAGCCACGAGGCAAATAGCGGTGACATCACCTGGATAGATCGATACATGTCGATTGTGGATTTCGTTGTTCACCAAGAAAGTTCTACATATTGTATACACCTTGTTGGGCGCATTGGGTGCATATGCGCGATGCTACGGCGGCCTATAGCCGCTCGATTTTGTATGAAAGCAACAGGTTCGGAGATTTGGAGAAACTGAATTATATGCTCAGTATATATTACAACTACTTCTCACATCTGTGTTGTTGACACAAATGGAGATTAAATCTGGGCCTTTTGAATAAACTGCCTTGTTTGTGATACGTTCTCCTTTCTCATACTTCATGATTTCTCTTAGCAAAAGAGTGTGTTGTATATCTTGGCAAAGACCAGGTACACATCTGGCGCACCGTGTTGCCTATTGCGGAATTTGATCGGCGTGCCACCTGGCGATGGGATACGAGCATGATAATCAGGTCTCTGTATAGACACAACCATTATTGGATATGAGGCAATATGAGCAAACTGAACTATCACTGTCATTTGCAGCCTTTACATGATATATCGCGTGAACGCACATGTTCAAGCAACGAGAAAGAGTTGCAATATCGATGTAGATAGCCAAGGTTTGGCCCCAATGCTTGACGATAATTAGTACGACTATCACCACTCAGTGGAGTCTTACAATAGGACTAGTCCAGACTAATATAAACTGTTGACTAAACGAAAAACGGCCAGCTGGTGGAATACCTGCGAGGTAGCCTGATAAACCAGGAATCAAGGCATCAGCGGAATCAACAAAAATTGGAGAATCGGAGAGTTGGAGAGTTGGAAACTTGGAGATTAGTTGCGGGTGGAATTTCCAAGTCGAATGTGGATGACAACCGGTGGACAACTCGGACCGAAGGTAATTTACCCGCATTTCCACCTCTCTTGAACGGGCAGTTTTCCTCCGCGATGGAACTCTCGGCTAAATAAGAGAGACAATAAAGAGGTGGGAATTCCCCTTGAATATATCTTTGTTCATTGACATTCATCATTCAAAATGACTCGAGTACTTGAAGGGAAATTCGGCATCGTCACTGGCGGCTCGCGGGGTAGATCCTCTCCCCCACATATCGAGACAACTAAGCTGACACGAACACAGGCATCGGCGAAGCAATTGCCCGAAATCTGGCTGAAAAGGGCTGCTCACTACTTTTAAACTTCACCTCGGAGTCCTCCCGCGCCCGCACCGAAGCTCTATGCTCCTCCTTAGCCACAACCCATAACATCAAATGCGAGAGCGTACAAGCCGATCTAAGTCAGCCCGCCGAAGCCGTGACAGCCATTATCGCCGCCGCAAAGGAACATTTCAGCACTGCAGGCGAACTCCAGATCGACATTCTGATTAACAATGCAGGCGTCTCGCAAGACCGGAACCTGAACGACGCCGCCAAGGGCCCCATCGAGGCCGAGCACTTCAACTGGCAATACTCAATCAATGTCCTCGCCCCTCTCCTCCTAACACAGGCCTGCCACCCCTACCTCCCAACCGACCGAAGCGGCCGTATTGTGAGCATCTCCAGTGTATCCTCGTCGCTCGGATTCGTGGGCCAGTCGATCTATGGCGGTACCAAGGCTGCCATTGAAGCCATGACTCGCACCTGGGCACGTGAGCTGGCAGACCGTGCTACGGTAAATGCCGTTAACCCCGGCCCAGTTGTTGGTGATATGTACTTTGCGACCGGAGAGCAGTTCTGGAAGGATATCCAAGGTTATCAGGATAACACGCCGATGAGCAAGTTGGATGTGAATAATCAGGATACTATGAGTCGCTTGACTGATGAGCAGAAGCGGTTGATTCAGGAGAAGATGGGTGGCCGGAGACCGGCTTTCACTAGTGAGGTTGCCGGTGTTGTTGGTATGCTGTGCACGCCTGATGGTCTTTGGTGTACGGGTAGTGTTGTATGTGCTAACGGTGGCATGAAGATGGGTCAATAAGAGAATATAATCAATTGCAATTGCATACCATCTTAGCTTTCTTAGATCTGTCACTGGGAGACCAGCCCCCCACGGTGGCCCCCTGCTTAATCCCTGCCAATTATGCATATATCCTTCGTGTTTCATTGGGAAGAATGCTGTATGATCTCCAGCTTGCCCCACTGAGCAGCACATTCCCGTGTACGGGCGACTATTGGGACCAGCGATACATAACCCTCTCATTGGATACTGCCTTACCGCCTATTATCACCGCTTTTTCGAAGTATATACCCTGATCTCAATTTGTATACTAATTCCTACTTCTCTTTTACTTTTTACACTTATAAGCGTAGATAGCCACTTCTACGGCCTTATGATATCTTTCTTATAGGGCTTTTTAGTGGTCTTTTTAGTGGTCTTTTTAGTGGTCTTTTTAGTGGTCTTTTTAGTGGTCTTTTTAGTGGTCTTTTTAGTAGTCTTTTTAGTAGTTTTCTAATAGCCTTTATAGTGGCTTAGCTATAGTTAGTTCACTAAATTCTCTAAGAATACCTTAAGGAAGGCTTTAAGTAGCTACTAGAGTAAGTGTAGAGAGGTAGTAGAGGGGAAGAGAGAAGGATAATTACAAAGTTAGAAGGCTTTAACGCCGAGGATTTATATAGATATAAACAGCGTCACGTTTAGTGCCGATCTTTTAAGGCCTTATATACTATACTTAACCTAATTTTTTGGGTAAATATCTATTAATGAATGATATATTTCTAAATATAAGTTAGTATATACCTTTAAGCAAATTGATATAATTGTAGAGGCAAAAAGACTGTATACCATGATTTCAGCATAGTACTTGGAAAGTGAGGGTGGGTCAACAATTCTGCCAGGAAATATAAACCAATAAGGGGGTTATGTATCGCTGGTCCCAATAGTCGCCCGTACCCGTGTCTTATTGGTCCTATTGGACGCTGGACCACCGTCTTTCCCTAGGTTGTATTCTTGACCAAGCATTAGTTGTGGGCCGGCGGCCTTCCCAGGCGACTTTCGAACGCTAGCTGTATGGCCACATCTATGCACAGATCATCTCCGGCTGCAGAGCCTCGAGTTATCTTTCAGCCCCTGTTGTCTCTCAATTTCCCCTTTTTCTTATACTTGTTCAACTTGGTCCCTGAATTATCTTGCAAGTTTACATTACTTTCTCCATGGCCCACGAGTCGAAAGAGGTTGCAGCCTCTACCAATTCCCTTGTTTCACCTATCAGCGATGATGACAGGATTCAGCTGGAGCGTCTGGGGAAGAAACCAGTATTAAAGGTAACGAACTCATGACAAGATGTGACTGTTCCGTGATTTAATGAGACTGTTGTCCTCTTCAGCGAAGGTTCGGTATATTCGCAACCCTCGGATTGAGCTGTACTGTTCTTGGAACGTGGGAAGGACTACTTGGGTATGTGGACATCCAAAGCTTGAACGAAAGAACCAAAACGCTCATATCAATACAGAACATTTATAACCCCTCTGAATAAGTATGTCTTTTGGATGAAACCCAGAATATGGAATTGACATGTCGCAGTGGTGGCTCGGCGGGCGCAGTCTATGCCTATATATTCGCTTGGACAGGCACTGCGTGCTGCTTTGTCGCTCTTTCAGAGTTAGCCTCAATGTGAGCATCTGACATAGAGTAAAAGAGAGACTTCATGCTGACATCCCCTCAGGGCACCGACATCTGGAGGTCAATATCACTGGTGTGCAATGCTTGCTCCAATACGCTGCATGAAGTTCCTGAGCTATATTACTGGTATAGTTCACCCGCGACAAGACAATATCCTGGGATGCTAATATCGAAGCAAGGCTGGGTCGCCGTAGTTGGATGGCAGGCCGCATTTGCTTCAGCTGCGTATCTGTCCGGTACAATGATCCAAGGCGTCGCCGTTCTCGCTCACAAACACTACAATGCCGCAGCTTGGCAGGGTACGCTGATCATGTGGGCATGTCTCCTCGTTGCACTTGCTGTGAACTTGTCAGGTGGAAAGATTTTTCCTCGATTGGAAAAAGGCATTCTTGTTCTACATGTCCTAGGCTGCGTGTCAATCATCTTGCCGCTGGTATGTTTGGCCGATCACAAAACTAATCAACAAGTCTTCACGGAGTTTCTGAATGGGGGTGAGTTCCCCACTCAGGGTCTATCCTGGTTTGTGGGTATCTCGGGCTGTGTGTTTTCTTTTGCGGGAGGTGATGCTGTGGTCCATGTGAGACACACTCTTTATGATGCATGTGACGATTGATGACGACTGACGATCTATCAAGATGTCGGAGCATACAGATCGGCATACCGGGGATTTAATTAATCCAGGTTGTGCAGTAATTTTGAATTAGTAATCCGCTATCCATATAAATTGCTAGGAAAACGGATACTGCAATATAGAGATTTTAACACCATTGATTGGACCCATATATTTCAGGATACCATTTTATTTGACAGTTATAAGCCCAGTTCGCACTTAGTAAGGCCGATATCACCAAGGATAGGCCCTAGTAACCCCCGAAGCTATTCCCTATAGCCCCTAAAGCGGTATAGCAACCCCTAAAGCTATCCCTTAACCGGCCCTTACATTTTTTTACAAAAATTACAGACCCTCCTTACAGAGGGTCCGCCACCCATATGAAAGGGATCACCCATATAAAAGATTTTTATCAACCTTACTTTTAACTGCCATTTACTATACAACCTATATATAAATCAATTAATATTATGATATATATCAATAGATTAGATGCTAAATTACTAGAATATCAAAAAAAAATCAATTGTTTCTATGCTTCTTGGCCCTTCTATATCTCCTAATCTCGACCAAAACCTTCTTCTATTTCCGCCGAGCCTTTTCTTGATCGGCCTTTTCAGTCAATTTATACTCTTTTCGCTTTATCTCTTTGACCTAGGATGAATTGATGATACCAGTGATTTAAATATAACGGCGAGAAGTATTATATCTAGCGTGGCGAGTACCTATAATAGCCTATATCCGATCGAATTCTCGTTAAAGCTATACCGCCAAAGTAGCTTATACTTCGGTACCCTTTATAAGCTTTATAAGCCCTTCTTTAAATTGTAAAGACTAAGGGGTATATTAATTAAGATAAAGGCTGATTCTCCTCACTTTTTCGGCAGTTTTTAGGGTACTAAACTCGGTGTTTAAAGATATTATTAATAGAGTACTCAACTAGTATAGATTATTAGGATATAGGTCATACGATATTAACTTATCCGTAATTATCCTTAGATTAATAGGCTATAGGCCTATTAATTTAAACCTAAGTTTAATTGTATATAGACCTAGCAGTGACCCGCGGGTGACCCTCACGACCCTCGAACCGCCCCGCCACTAGGGCAGTTCGAGGGTCTAACCTTCCGACCCTAAGGGTCGTCTACCTAGAGGTTAGACCCTCGGAGGGTTACCTATAGGTAACCCTAAGGGTCGTTAAACGAGATAAATAGGTAAATCTTATAATATATATAATTTATATAGATTTACCCTATATTCTTAAGTATCCTAATTATATATCTAAAGTTCTTTAATATTAATTTTTAGTGATATATTATTATAAAAACTTATATTATATTCTTAAATCTAGTTCCTATCTACTAGACTACTATATATCTATTAAGCCTTTTTAAAACCTTCCGAACTCTTCTAGATAATTAAGGGAGAGGAATTTTACCCTCTTTATCTATACTATCCTTAGTACTAGATTATATCTTATCGCCTTTACTTAGTAAACTACTTCTTTATCTCCTCCTAAGTATAATATTAGGTAATAGTTATAAAGTAGATAGTAACTAACTTTCTTTAACTATATCTTCCTTAGTATTACTAATTAGTTTAAATAAGGTAGTAACTATACTACTTACCTCTATTAAAGCTATAATTTCCTAGGAAGATAGATACTCCTAGAGAATTAGCTACTAACTCTTCTATAGATTAAACCTTATTATATATATAAATATTATAATATCCTAGATTATCTTTAGCTTTAGTAAGCTTTACTAGTAATAATAAAATATCATATATAGAGTTAAATAGTTACTCTATATCTAAACTAGTAGCTAGGAGAGATATAATATTATAGGTAATACTTATAAGAATTAGCTATTTATATTAGTTTTCTTTCTAGAATATATAAAGTAATAAATACTATAGGGCTAAATATTTATTAATATTAGTTAGATATAAAGAATAAAGATAGATTATTAGACTTACTAGAATTAAGATATTAAGTTAGCTTATCCTTCTATAGAGTGATAGACTACTAGGAGTTATTTAACTCTAATATATATTTAAGCTTAGATATTCTAACCCTAGATAATAGACTACTTAGCGATAACTAACTATCCCTAATATTAAGCTACTCCTTATAGTATATAACCTAAGTCTTAAGACTACCTTAGTAAATATCCTTCTAGCTAGCTTTGCTAGGATTATCTAATTTCTATTCCTTTAATAAGAAGAATTAAAGCTTTTAGGATAGAGATAAAATTATACTAATAGTATAAATATACCTATTAATACTATCTATATCCTTATAGTATTTTAAAAGCTTTTCTAATATAGCTTTAAGGGTAGATTATATAAGCTATTTCTATAAAACCTTCTTCTACTAAAGTATAGTGATTACCTTCTTAAGATAGTTAAAAAGGTAGTTATATATACTAAAGATAAGGTAGATACTTAAGTCTTTAGTCCTAGAAATAAGACTTATAAACTTATAGAATAGCTTAAGAATAAAGAGTAGATATTTAATCTACCTCTATTCTCCTAGGTTTAATATAAAGTAAGGCTACTTATACTATAAGTAGAAGGTATTAAATACTAACTATAGTCTCTTTACTTACTAGAGTATTAGGAAAGTTAAATTTACTATATCCTAATATCTTAGATTAGAATAAGCTTAGGCTCTTTATCCTAGAGAGTATAAAATATATCCTACTACTATAGGCTTATATTAATATAAATAGTAAGGTTATAAACCTAAAAGAGATATTAGTATATAGAAGTAATACTTAGAATATAGTATATTTTATTAAATATATCTATAATCTTATACTTTCTTTAGTATATATATAATACCCTTATATAATTATTAGACTAATTTAACTTAGTAGTATTATTACTTAGGGATATCTTTATCTTCCTAAGTAAATCTATAAGACTAATCTAGATAATATAAGTAATATAAGGAATATAAATAATTATAGAATTAATACTTAGTTAGATAGTCCTTACTAAGTTATTTATAGCCTAAACTAGTATTATATTATTTAAGGTATTATTAGTAGTAATTATAAATACTTAATAAAGAATATTATATTTTTATAATATCTAAGTAATAACCTTACTAAGATTTAACCTAGAGTGTATACTAAAGAGTAGCTTAAAGCTAAGGAGAACCTTATAGTACTCCTAATCTTTATCTAGAAAGTAGCCTATTACTACTATAAATACCTACTAAAATAGCGATATCTAATAGTCTAGTATAAAGGAGAGCTTTATCTTTAGTAGTAGACTCTAAAGGAGTCTTTCTTAGTATTTATAGATAAATACCTTTAACCACTTATAGATAGTTCGTTATAAGGGAATAGTTAGTATAGTTAGAGTAAGGTATATATATTTAATAATATTAGTAAACTCCTAGTGTTTAAGGAATAAAAATAGGAGATATAAAATACTGATAAGACTTAGTAGCTTTTACTCCTAAATATCCTATAAGAAGATAAGAGCTAGTTTATTTAATACCTATAGATAATTTAGTAATAAAGATAATATAAGGGGATATAATATATAGCTATCTTAAGTAAATTCTTAATATTGTGATTTAGAAAGGATTGTATAAGTTCTATTCCTAGGAGGATCTATTGACTATATATAGATATATATGGGTCTGTAGATAGACCACTATAGTAGATAGTAGTCATATGAGGACCTATATAGGTGTGTATAGTTACTAAAGACATAAGTCTTATATTTAAAATAAGCTTTTGGATCTTATCCTCCCCCACTAAACTAGAACTAGTCTCTAGTTTCAATATCTTATAGTCCTACTTATATATTTTCGTAAGTTTAAGCTTTTGCCTAGGGGTTTCTAGGTAAAAAAAAGTGAGATTTTTGGCTTCTTCCTCCCCTAGTAACTAGAAAAATAGTCCTCTATTAGTTAATTAGTTATAAAAGATTTTTAAGGAGATTTATAAAAGAGTGTAGTGTAAAGGATAAAGGTCCTTTCAATTCTGATACTCGGTCATTTACCTGAGCACGTCATTCACGTCCCGGGGTCAAAGCGGGGTTGATTCGTAATCGACTCGGCATTCAGTCCGAGTAGATACAGGGTCCTATATCCAAGTATAAGAACCCCTAGATCCTTAGGATCCTATTCCTCCTATAAGAGTTAGTCTTACAACTTAACAATAGATTTAATCCTCTCTCCTAATCATTTTAGCCTTATATCTTACCTAGTTTATGAGCACTTTAGTAGAAATAATATTATAGCCTAATAGTAGGTTATAATATTTCGTAGGGGAAGGTGTATTAGGTAAGCTTTATCTTATATAATATTGTATTATATAAGATATAGAAAGGTTTATACTTAGCTTAAGTAGATAATAATAGGTAAGAGGTAAGAAAAGTTGTATTGAATGAATATTTTCTAGCTAGGAATCCTTCATTCCTTATATAGGTAAGCTCTAGTAGTATAGAATATTATAGAAGGTCATTAATAATATAATGACTTTATTATAATATCCTAGATTTATAGCGATATATTGTGAGTTATAATATAGTTTACCGTAGATAATATATCTAAGGTTCTCTTAGATACTACCGGTAAAATATATATCTTATACTCTTACACTATAGTATATATCTTACAATTACTATTATACTTATATACCCCCTTAATCCTTATAATCTTTATAAGGATTATAAGTATAAGTATATAGTATAAATATATATATATATATATATAAATATATATATATTATAGGTCTTTATATAGTACCTAGCTTAGCTAGATCTATAAAAGCCTTATATAAGATATTATTAATATTCTTTATTAAAACGTATGCTAGTCTATATTTAGAAGGTATTTAATTAATAGTGATTTTACCTTCTAATAAAGCTTACCTTATAAAATAATATATTATTTTAATATACTTTAAGCGTTTATAGAATTCTAGATTCTTAGCTAGTTTCTTAGCTAATTTACTATTAACTAAGATAGTAGGTATACTATTTATATATCCTAGATCTAGCTCTATATTTAATAAATTAAATATATTAGCTAGATATATAGCTTCTTTAGTAGCTTCTTTTAGTGCTATATATTTAGCTTCGTAGTAACTAATTACTATAATAAACTAGCAGACGGCAAAAAGACTGCCAGAAATGGCCGCAAGTGAGGCCGTTTTAAGCCGTCAATCTGCCAAACTTCATGCCACGCACCTCGAAATCCAGCCACGCCCACCCATTCCCCCCCCACCACCCTTGGGGCTATGGTCTGCATCCCCTTCCGAAGCCCCCAGTCTCCGCTGAGGCTGTCGCCTGTGTATCCTGTCTCCACCCACACCAGCCCGTCCGCAGCCTGCGGCCTGTGGCCTTAGGGGAGCGGCACAACATGGGCCAACCCTGATTCCCATGTCTATTCTCCTGCTAGCATTTTCATTCTGGCTAAGAGATATGGTTTCCGAGAAGGGTTATTTAAATGGACGTTGCTTCCCTAACCTCCAATATTATCCACGCTGCCTACCAACTTAAAATTTTCAATTTTCTTCCACTTACACCTCCTTAAATAATTCTACCTATTCTACCACAATATAGCCCGCTCTCGACAATAGGCCAGGTCAGAATCGTATGACAATGATTCACAGACTAGAGAAGATAGCTCTAATGATAGCGGCGACGAGCAGTACGATACCGACCCGATAGAGCCTGATTTCGACGATAATTAGCTCAAAGATACTAGTGATATTGCGTAACTTTTTGTAGATAATGAAAATTCTCCCGAGTATTACCTATAGCAACTCGTAGAGTTTGACGAGTCTGTGTATATAAAGGAGGATTATAGCAAAGGTACCACTGTCCTTCTTGACTAGGTCGAGTCTTGTTAGAAATAGTATATCTTATTTACTCCTCCCTCTTTCTATCCTTTAGCTAAACCCTATCAGATTTTGTGCTTGTCTCCGTAAAGATCCTGAACAAGAATTCCGGAAGCTTTCTATTGCTATCTTATATACCTTTCTCGATTGGGCCTTAAATTTACGATAGGGCAAAAATAGAAGGTGGTTGCCTAGAATTAAACGAAAAAGCTTACTAGAGACGTTTTAGAAGGTCTTTCGACTCGTCTTCGAAAGGGCGACCTTAGAAAAGATCGGGAAAATAATGAATCGACAGATACGCTGGGTAAGAAACAAAGTCACCCCTTAGTCTCTAAGGCTTCCTACTCTATGGTGTGGATAGTTCTAATTGATACTGTAGGTGATCCGTAAGTTAGCTTAAAAGTATAAACTATCCCGGAAAGGCCGCGAAAAGTCCACTATATTTGTGGAAGACTTAACTATGGTCGTAGAAACGGCTATTAGTACGACGAAGAAAAAATTTGGATATAGTCGGTATCGTATCGAGCTTTGCCTTTTCCTGTAATTGGCTGGCCTTATAGCCAATCGCCCTTAGGTAGTGCTAAGCTTGAGGTATCGCTATATCGGGGTCAGTCTACTACGAGATCTATAGGGCGGCCCTTATAGAATCTTGATCGAATTTAAATTCGAATACACAAAGGGGTTTCTTGGCTCTAAGGATAAGTAAGTATATTGATCTAGAGAAGTTTTAATATTAATATTTCTTACCATGGCCCACTGACTATCGGATAGAAATATATATATCTTGCTAGAGATTATATTTGACCCTTCGCTTGTTCTTAGTCCCTATATCTTCTTGCTAGGGCTACTTTTTGCGGACTGTGCCTTTAAGAGAGTTAATAGTGAGGAGGTCCTAATATCCGTAGGGCAGCTTCCTCGCTTATATATTCGGGATAGGTACAACGAGCTTCCATTACTACTTGATCTAGCCCTAGACGATATACTAGTTTTTCGGTAGACCGAGCGAATATTATAAGGAATCGGGATCTTAACCGATAAATATTTGCCTTACTCAACCCTTCTTCCTTGGGTTAAAAGTTTTGGTTCTATTACTAGCTTCCGATAAGTTACCTATCCTTATAGCCTTCGATATAGGGCTAGAAAGGCGTTAGATAATAGCGGTAATTGTCTTCCTACTTAATCCTTATTGTGTAAGTTTAAGTGACTGACTATCTATATTTAGGAGCTATAAGTGACTCACTTCGTAACCTAATCATATACCACGCCGATAGTCGTACTTTTCTAAAGTACTACCTCGACCGATGGATTAACAAGAATCTTCCTACCATTATCCGAGGTCTTAATCTAGATAACGATATTATATATATAGCTTGTCGAATAAGCCGGACTATTAACCCTAACCGCCCCTAAGAATTAATAACTACCTAAGCCTCCTTAGTTAATGAATGGCCTGAAATTTCTGTCCTTATCTAGCGTCGCGATACACTTCGCTAATAACTAGGCTGTCCACTCTTATAGTATTAGGGAAGTCTAAAATACAAAAGCTATTAAAAGCTAAATCAAGAGCTTAATAGTGTAAGGGAATAGGCTAGAAATATATTACTATCGTAGATTTAGTAGAAATATGATCAAGAGTAGCCTATATTAGAAGTATAGCGGCAGCTGTCCGAGACAAAACTGGCCGAGTCGGTGACAACAAAACTACAACACATAGAGGAGCTACCTAAGCCTCAGAAATATTTGATTAAGCGTATTTTAACTCTTCTATCGCCGATATTAGACCAAGAAATATATCAACACACTAAAGCTATTAATACTGTTACCGCTTACTATCAATTTAAGGAAGGTATTATATACCGTTTACTATAGAACAAAAGGGTTGAAAGTCATATGGCCGAGAGCGGTTACGTCGACGATTAGAAGCCAGAAAGCGAAACGACTAAGGTCCAGACTAAATTGGTAAGCCCACTTAAAAATACTATTCGATCTATCATAGAGGACAATCGACCCTTGTTTTACTTTATTTGTGTGGGATAGCAAAACCTAGCCCTTAAGAAGCGTGTATAACTATTCTTATCGCATAGAGATATTTCGAAGTATATCAAGCGAAAGCATCTACAGAACCTTTCATCAAGTACTATTATTGCTTACAATATTTATAATAAAAAGTTTGCAGAAGTGATACACTTTCAGCGCTATGCTAATGATTCTTACTCGACTATGACTAGGCCTCTATAGAGCGCAGTTTCTAAGTAATAACTTGTTATATTACTTTATTTTATATAGAATATATTAGAACTTTAAATTCAAATAACTAGATGGCCTGATTAGCTTTTATAGGACCGGTTTCAAATGTACCGAAGTAGCTATAGCAGCAACACCAGGAGGAAGATCTAGCCATATATACTCATTTCGAATCCTAGCGTAGTTCTGCGATGTTCTGCGGCGAAGAGAGAACTAGACCTCATTTTTTTTTAGTGTGTTTGACTTCGATTATCCAGATGATATCATTGGTTATGATTTTGGTAAAATGATTCAAATGTACTAAAGTATCAGACAATATACTGCGGTAAGGAGAGAACTAAACTACCTGCTTTACTGCTAAGGGGGTGGAGTAAGATATTATAGCACTAATCCATATTAGGCTTAGTGCTATAGTCTATCTCTATCTTAACGCCTCAGTACTATAGCTGTCTATGCGAATCACATTCTTCCCTCGCCTAGGCTAGCTAGTACTTGGTAAGTTTAATATAAATATATCACTTACCACAATGGACGGTTTTATCTCTCCCTCCCTTCAGAAGCGCTCGCTCAAGAAACAAAGCCCCCCTATATTTAGTAAGTAATTCTATCCTTCAATTTCTACTTCGGCTCCCTTCCGACGACCCTCAAAGATACAATTTTCATCCCTAGGCTAGTGAAACGGACTCCCTGTCTTCTTTCACCAAAATGGTTCTTAAATATCATAGGTACGTTTATAGTCCTTATCTCTCATATTGTACTAGTTCTTACTACTAGTGTTTATATAGCCTTATGGAGTCTGGTATTGTCCTATTCGTCGTTGGCAAGGATAGAAAGCGGTTCTTAATTCATACGGAGTTAGCTAGCTCCTTTCCAAGCGAGATTCTTCGACCTCCTATAGTCGAAGAAATTAACGAGGTAGTCTTTAGCTATTACTGCGAGTTTGTATATACTAGTGATTACTCTGTCCCTTCTCTAATCTACGGCGGTATCGGTAATCAATTATCGGCGGAATCTATGAGACATTGGGATCCTATAAGACTTACCTAGAACATTTTTCATCTAGAAAAGTCCCCTATCGTTTATGCCGACCTACACGAACGATTAGGTCAGGTGAATCCCAACTACTAAGCCAACGACGAATAGAGTACCGACCCTAAATATAGTTATATAGATATATTTCTTTGCCATACTAAAATATATCGCTTCGCTTCTAGAACGGGGTGGACTACGTTATGCTATCTATCACTCTACCGCCTTCTAGGGCTACTAGCAAACTTCGCCCTTTGTGAGGAACAAACTAGGGATATTGTAACTCTATTTAAATTTGTTTTTAAGAAGTTTGATTCTAAGGAGTTTGAGTATATAGGTAACATCAAGTTTGAAGGTATAGGAGACATCAAAAAGTTGGTGGGAGACTATACACTATAGAACTTAGAAATCCTAATATAGGATATAGATTTTCAACTTATACTTGAAAAAATACTGTCTTTGGAAAAGGCCTTTTTCCGCTAGATATAGAAATAAAGTAGAAAATAGATCAAATGCCATCTAGGGGGTTTTGAAGGACTACGTAGGTTTCAAGAATAGTAGGTGGTATTGAATCAGGGGCCAAAAGAGAGTTTTAAGAGTTGAAACTCACAATCAGGACCCATAGTTCATATTTCTAGGAGATATATTGCTCCTAGGAGACTAGTCCTGACCTATAGAGCCAAGGAGTCATACTTCCTTTATAACAGCCCTATATTCTCATCGTGGTCCTATAGATAAATAGTCTAATTGCCTTCTAAGGAATGTTGTGCTTACCTTCACTAATTCTAAGAATGATTCTATTATCTGTTGTCGAGTCATGCTTAATGACTTTACTTCTAATTATAAGCATAGCTCGAATTTATCTTCTCTTTCACTTTCAAGTGACCTAGCGGTACTATAGGGTAGATATGGTTCTTTGTACCTTGTTGTGCCTTTCTTTCGGAGTACTCGTCGGCCTCTTCTAGAGCAAGATAGCGCCTATATAGAGTCAGATTATCTTTGGTCTTACACTAATATTTCCTTCTCTATAGGTGGTATATCTTATCCTTTCGCACGATATATAAAGTTAGCTGACCAGTTATAGTATTTGTGGATAATGTTTTAACAACGCCGTCTTCTAACGCCGTCGCACTTATTAATTATCCTCTACCCTCTTTTCGTATTAATATCAACACTAGCAATGATTACAGTGACATTAGGCGGCACGTTTCACCTACGCAGTGCCCACCTAAGTAGTCTGTTCATCCTTATCGTGGACTACGTGGGTGTGACCTGGTGGTACTAGTGGCTGGTCGGGCAAATGACTAAAGGTCGAGCAAAAGTCCGATGTGTTTCATACTATCTATCGGCAATGGCATTTTTCTTGCTGGTTATTGCTATTTTGGGCACTGCTTGGAAAGCATGGGTCATCGCGCTTGAGGTATGTTATTTCTGCTTCCCGTCATCTCCTACAAAATGCTGACAGCGGCAAGGGTCAGTTGTGTATTAATTTCTTCGAATGTTTCTTTGTGATAACCTTTTACCTTTTAGCATTCCGCGAGTTCAGAGGAATGAGTACTTACCCATTCCTACTGCATTAGGCTGAATCCATTCACGTATCCGAAACGGCCCGATGTCTCCCATATCATCATCTGGACGGCCGCCCTGCAAATGGCTGCATGACAATCTGACAATATCAGCTTCCGAGAGGAATGGACTTAGCCTCGTGGTGTCTGGCAGGAACGATTGTCGGGTAGTGGGGTTTCCTTTCTGTATAAAGCTCATGCTTGTTGACAGGGGAGGTTTCTCTCGGTGGTGTGATAGGGACAGGGGAATGGGAGATATTCTCCCTGATCAAGACTTCTGCCTCGGCAATGGGTTCTTTCTTTATTTCTTATATGGTCACAACAATAGATTCTGTATTTACAGTGTCGACCGTTTTTGCATTCCATGTTTGGACACACAGAGATACTATTCCAAACCCTCATTACATTATGCGCTAAACCCAATATAGATTTCGCATAAATTACAGAATATGCATATACATCGTAATGAAACCTGGGATTGTACCTCTCTGTATGAACACAAGCTTGAGAGCCAAAGGCCTGGGCGACTAGAAGGCTCCATGCAAACCGAGCAAACTTGGCGACCGTTGGCAATTTGTCAACTATCCCCCATGCCTCAGTTGCTTCACTGCAGAGGGACTGGCGCTGCCCTGGGTGTCCATCTCGGGTCAAGTTAAGTTATCCAATATTCTTTGTTTACAAAGACACGGAATATACCATGCTATATGTTCCTCCGTTTTTTTCTGCCTCGTTTTCACCACATGAAGTCATTATACTCTGCCAACGCAAACTGCTCTTGTCGGAAGAGCCCACGGACAGCATCCCAGCCCCTTTCAAGCCGCACGATCGAGAGATTTGCCCGTCTAGCAAATTCGATCTCTTCAAGTGTCCACTCAGGGCAATCGATAGCTGACTCTGTTGCCTCGACTCTGTTGGCAGTATGAGATGATGCGGTTGGGGATTCGGTCGATAGGATACCACAGATTTCCAAACCGCGCTGAGGAGGTACAGTCAACCGACCTCTTTTGAAAACCATCCGAGTCACAGCAGACGCAAAGACATTTTTATGTGGTTCATCCTCAGGAGGTGCTGGTTTTTCCATTTTCTTGCTATTGATCGAACCATCCCCCTGCATGACGTAGCGTCTAGGCAAGTGTTTGCTACTAGCGACAAAATGCGAGACCATATAAATCCACTTATCATCCCAGCTCGCAACTTTGGTCCAGACTTCGTACGGTTGGTACTGCTTGATTCCTCGGTGAAAGATGCACGCAATCGCGCTGACGATTAAGTTGCAATGTATCGAATCTCTGTAAATCAAGAAGATGGGCGAAAATAGCAACCCACTGAGATACGCTCTCGATACATCGAGATCAGTGACGTAGGTCGAGTTTGACTTATGAAGGTTGAAGTCACATTCAGTCGGTGGAGATCGTGACTTAACCACTGCCGGGAGAAAGACATGGTGTTGCTTAAGTGCATAGCTTGATCTTCTGCGGGAGAGGTAGCCCATTGTAAGGGCTCCGAAAAATCGAAACTGAGAAGTCAGTAGCAGTTTCTGGGAGGAAGGAAGGGAAGGCAATTTGAAACTTACATGCCACATGAAATGTAGATTCTTGAGACTCTACCCTAGCGTCAGACCGAGGCACCATAGCCAGAGACTCATCGCGAAAATCAGACGTTATGACTGGTGTTTATAGACCGAAACGGTATGTAGGTTGCTATAGCTGCAGAACTTCTGAACAAAATCAAATATTTACCCCATCCTGCCGTTCTAGCAAAGCTCAGCAAGCTCGGGCTTTCACGAAAGCGATGTTTACTCAAGCCGAGGTGGGGATAGGGGCTATTTTCCGCGGCACTAAAGTTACCCACTCAGTAGCCGCGGTAACTCCAGCCGAAGTAGATTGCTGAACAGACAACTTAAAAGACTCAATAACAGCCATGAATCAAGATCCCATAACCACATCTTTCAACGTCTGCTCGTTTTCAATCATCAACTCTATTGGGCCATGGCTGAAGAAGATCTTGTTCGCCTTGACATCAACGGCATTTTTGCGGTTATCACGCTGAACAACCCAACAAAGTTCAATGCCTTGACGCAGAGTCTGTATTACCGCCTTGCAAGCTTGCTTCGAGAGGCTGAAGGAAATCATGACGTTTACGTTACTGTCTTGATTGGCGAAGGCCCCTTTTTCTCTGCGTAAGTTCTCTTCCCCATGGTGCGAAAGGTGGAAGTTGCGAAGAGATGCTGATGCAGATTCAAGCGGGGCTGATCTTAAAGGGAAACCGCCATCTATGGAGGAGATTTTATCTCGCCCTTACTGGCTTCCCAAGTTGGTCAACAACAACGTTGACGTGGCTAGAGCGTTCTACAGCCATTCGAAGATTCTTGTCACTGCGCTGAATGGGCCTGTTATTGGACTTTCTGCAGCCTTGATATCTCACTCAGACTTTATCTACGCGATATCCGACGCTTATTTGATGACTCCTTTCACATCTCTCGGCCTCGTTGCCGAGGGCGGCTCCAGTGTCGCGTTTGTGCAGCGAATGGGTCAGGGTAAAGCAAACGAGGCACTCCTTCTTGGAAGGAAAATCCCTGTCAGTGAGTTAGCTCAGGTGGGTTTTGTGAACAAGGTCTTCGAGGGCCAAGGCAATTTTCGCGAACAGGTGATGCGCTACCTGCAGCAGACATTCGGCGATCATCTAGTGAAGTCGAGCCTTCTGGGGACCAAGGCTCTCATGCGTCGTCGCTTGGTTAGGGAGCAAGACGAGCAAGCACCGCTCGAAATGTTCGGTGGCCTCGATCGTTTCTGTCAAGGCATCCCACAGGCCAAGATGAGCGAGGCTCTTTCCAAGAGCAAGACATCTCGACTTTGAATTTGTTAAGAATTGTGACCGACGCATGATAGTGCTAAGCTCCTGGAAATCAGCGCTTCATTTGGAGACCCCCGTTTGCACGTGCGTCTTGCATGTAGCTTCGAGCTGTGCTCGTGTCTTTATACTCTTTACCTCTCCGTACAAGACCTTGCAACCTACCTTTTCTTTTCTAATGTAAATACTCCTAGAGCGTCACTGTCCATATCTCTAGATTTAGAAGGCCGCAAGCAGATCAGGCTGCAGCAATATGGATAGCAAGACTTTTCTCGTTTATGACTATGCGGCACTCAATAATGATCTTCAATACTGCCTCCACGGGCGTAATTCGAGATTAATGTCAGGCCAATGGTAATTTTTGACTCTTTTGTCTGTCTAATTTACCCTCACAGCCCTGTCGGCCTATCTTTTATTATTTAAAAGTGATGGCGCGACTAAAGTCTGAAAATAATACTTCATGAAGCGACGAAATGTCGCTTGCATTAGGTCGACATGGGCAACTAGGTCCTTGACTTCTAACCTAAGCATAAATGTAGGAGTGTCCAAACCCTGTGTCTATAGGTCGTAGCGAGGTACAACATCTTGAATCATTCTGCCTGGATAAATTTGGTATATGTAGTCGGGCGTGAATAGAATCATTCCCACAACTGTAGCTTTCTCCCGGCCACGGCGCGATATGACCCATGTAGAATTTTGTGAGCTATGAAATCCTTCCTATTACGAGATACGTTAGGGATTTGAAGTTAAAGAACAAGAGGTTGAAAGCAGACGTCTCGGCGCAGACGATAAGCTCGAACGGCCAGCCGTGCCTCAGCAGGGGTGTTCACTAGGTGCCAGCAATTTTTGACAGACGAAATACTAAGTTCAATCTAGGTCTACTTGTCATAAAGCTCTACTGTCCGGGAGATTCGGCATGAGTGACATTCATCCCTCAGATTTTTCCATTTACCGCTCTTTATTTCAGTTCGCTCTTGAAAAATCCAGTATTCAGATTTTTCGCTCTCATAAGCTATGGATGGGCGGCATTGAAAGCGGTCTGAAAGACGGCAATAACCTGATGTTGCGTCGACTATTGGTCGCCTCGGGCCTCGGCAGTAGTCGTAGCCGGAGGTCAGCTTTGCACAACTAACCACCGCCAACTGGACAACCTTACTGGGCAACTGTGTGGAGGCTTGCCCGTTGCCGAGGCCCAGCATGTGTACCGCTCCTACCCCAAAGTACGTCTTATCCGCGGCAACCGTCCCACATTGGTGCTGAATATGCTCTACTGACTTCATTTGCAAAAGGCCGACTGCTGACTTTCATGATGCACAATTCTTTAGTGGAGAGCACGCGGAATTCTGGCAGAACGCGACGGCCCAGAAAACGAGCACCCGTGGCTTGCGAGTCATGCCACGCCCGTAAAGTAAGGTGCAGTCTGCCACAAACTGGCCAACCCTGCGCCAACTGCTCCTTGGATGATGTCTCATGTGTGCCGCGGGAGAGCAGGAGATTAAAGTAAACGACATGTCAACCCCATACCGGAGAACTCCTCGGCAGACACGCTAACGAGCTGCCGTGGCAGACTTGGAATAAAATCGTCGTCTTACGATCTTAGCGCGGTCTTTTCGATGTCAAATGGCAGTCCCACGGTACGGAGTACTCCGCTGGAAGATCGCAGCTTTTCACCCGGTCCTGAGCGCGTCGTTGCGTCGGAGGATCTACCTGTTCGGACCGGATGGAGCCCCACAGCTCCGTCGGTTGAAGATACTGGAGATGGCACCGACACACCTTACCATCCGTTCAACGAGCATTTCAGCCATCATAATGGAGGTAGTACGGGCACGTCACAACCGGATGGAGACGTGGCAGATAAGTGCTATTCCCCCATATATGGTGAGAATCAGATATCTACCTGGGATCAGGGAATCCTTGCGCCAGTGACAGTCCGCTGTGATGCTAATAGTCATGTAGGCGACCCTCGGGGCGTTGGCCTGGTAGTCGATATCTGCGAACCAGAGCCAAGGGAGAAGAGCGGTCACTTCCTCGTTCCACGAATTAGCCCAACACATATTGACCAGGGAACGATCGATTTCCTGCGCTACAAGGGCGTCTTCAACTTGCCTACTCCTGCTGTCTGCGAAATGATCATACGAACATACTTCCACTATGTGCATCCTTTTTTCCCAGTTGTCGATGCTCGTTCATTCCTCGATATCTTTGAGAATGCACGCAACGACCTGAGCCTGCATCTCTTATGGAGCATGTTTCTAGCTGCCGCAAATGTATGGGTCTCGTTCATTCCCACACTTCCCCTCATTGGCATCCTAACGTGAGATATAGTTCGCAGATGATAGCACCTTAAGAGCCGGCAACTTTTCGTCTCGAAAAGCGATGAAGCGTACGACGTATATGCGAGCTAAGGTTCTGGCTCGATAAGACGCTCTTGGACAACAGGCACTAGCTAACAAAAGTCATCTAGGCTCTTTATGACACGGAGTATGAAAGAAGGAAGATTACCCTCATTCAGGCAGTACTTCTGATGGGTTTCTGGTATTCGGACACTGAAGACAGGACTGGGTCTTGGCATTGGAACGGCGTTGCCATCGGTTTGTGCCAAACGATAGGGCTACATCGGCAGCCAGACAGCAGTCGAAAACACAGTAAAGCCATTTCCATGAGCGACGTCGGACTATGGCGGCAGATCTGGTGGAGCTGCTTTTATCGTGAAGCGTGGTTCTCTGCCGGCATGGGCAGGCCTATGCGCATTAATCTAGCTGACTGCAGTACCCCGATGCCAGACCGCAATGACTCTGGTAGCCTCCTCGCAGGGATTCCGGAGAGTATTCAACAAAAGTACCTTCCTGAAGGCACTGGGGACTTAGCCAAACTGTGGACGGAGCTGTTGGCACTTACGGTCTCATTAGCGAAGATTCTCTCATGGCAAAACCGAGCGGAGCGGACTCCACCCAGTAGGAGTGAAGTACAGCGCATGGACGATAACATCCGGCAATATTATTTTCGCAAAGACCACGCCATAGCTCACCGACAAAGTCATGTTGTCTCCTTACACGCGTACCACCTTGAACTATTTCTAGAGTAAGTAAATTTCCGGTTTTTCTTTTTTTTTTTGGGTCAATTTTTGATAGCCTGACACTATAGGTCGGTTATGCTGATACTATACCGGCCGTTTATCTTTGATAAGCCAGAGATACCTTGGCCCGATGTCTCCGCGGACGAATGGACATCCACTGTGGTGCGGAGGACCAAAGACGCCGCGACCAACACCAACAAGATCCTCAGCGACATGATCAGTGCTGATATGATCAGAAGCACTCAAGCGATGGTGTAAGTGCCCCGTTAGTGATTCGAAGAGACATCGAAACGTGGGATTCTAAGTATCGCTAGGTGCATTGCGTTGGTTCCGACATTGCAAATCCATCTCCTTGACACCACCTCTGAAAAACAGCTGGTGCAACGAATGGGCCGCCACAACCTCAAATTTTGCATGATGGTTATTGAAGAGCTCAAATCCGTATATTTCGGCGCCGAAATACTTTCCAGAATGTTTACCAAGGCAGAAAGCCAGATATACAATCAGACGCTTGCTGCCGCCCCAGTCCCTAGGGGGCATGCGCCCGACACCTCGCTTGGTTCCACGATCGGCTCTCCAGATGTCCCAGCCGGTGCGCACCAGGATGACGTGGAAGTATTTGATGTCTTCTCGACGATGTTGAGTCCCTTTGCCCCTGTAACAGCCGGTGGATTATTCGACAATGACGGGTACGTATACACTCAATCCTGAATGCTTTGGTTTATCCGACTCTCTATGGTGTTTTCTTTTGACGAAACGTGGTTTCGGTTTCAAGTTACTAATCGTCCCTCATATATGTGACAGGCTATTTGCTTTCGAACCCGACATCACGCTCGGGCAACTGATGTTCCCTGAGTCCGAATCCTCTGCAGATGCATAACTACAGAGCTACGCAATATCGAGGCTGCTTAAGACGAGTTTGGCCTTGGCGGCAGAATCTGGTTTGACAATCGTACTCTCTCAATTCCACTGACCGTACCGCAACGAATGCCAGACTCAACTGAGCGAAGATGAAGGGAACGTACGTACAAGGGTTAATCATAGCGACTGTTGAAGGGAGGCTTTTAGTAAGGAGCCTGTATCCAATTGATACGAGGGGTGTGGCGGTGGAATATTTATAGGATTGATTGGACCTTCAATCGATGATCCTCCTTTCCAGCAAAGATCAGTCACTCATCCAGTCAATCCAGATCAGTTTTCGACGATAAGTGCATTTGTATGAGTACCTTCGATGGTTTCATTTCCGACCTAGAATGAATATGCGTCGTTACTTGCTGACATCACCACAACGCGGCGAGGTAAATTGGGTTTTCCGGGATGAGTAATGAAGAACAGTACGTGATGATTTTTCCGCGCTGATTCCCAATACGGAACCAACTTCACTAGCTTCACGGCAGCTTCGGAACATGCTTTGCCCGACCTGATCCGAATTGTGAAATGTGCCATGAAGCTTGTTAAGTTCAATTATTGCGTCCGAGGATGATGCTGGCCTGCCATTTGCGACGTAATGAGTCTGTTTTTGCTGTATATCATATCAGTAAACATCGTACGCTGTCAGCAATCGATGTTTCTGGCCATTTTGTGAGTGGTCTGAATGACTGCAGTTGCGAGGTTGGGAGGAGTGTGAAGGAACGACCCCAGTGCGGGTGGGGTGGTTTATTTTTGGATATGTAACAGTACATTACTATACCATTTCATACTTACATCCATGTCACCATGCAAACCTGGAACAAATTTTTAAATACGGAAATATCCATATAAGATTTAGCGTATCATGTGATTAGGGTTTGAAAGAGTATCTGTCTGTTTCCAAACATGGAATGCAAAAACGGTCGTCACTGTATTATTTATTTCAAGTTCATATAGGCGTCCATCTTCTTGGTGAAACGTCGCAGAAATTTCTCTTAGCGGTTGATCATTCTTCCCAAGTGTTTTCTAGAACTCGAAATAGACCGTTAATTGTTTCAACATGAAGTGTCAGAGTAAATATGTATTCTTACATTTATAAAATAATAGGGTTCTTTTCGTTCTCTAGGATAGACGGCCTCCTCAGATCTATTATAGAACAATCGAGGACCAAGAGACAAGTGAAGGCTGTCACACTACCCAGTATAATAAGTGGTAGCCTTGGGAGATCCGCCTCGATCAGATAAGATCGAGAGTCTTCGGAGGGAGCTGTGATCCGCGTTTGGAGAACTCAAGCGCAACAAAGATCTCTTTAAAAGATTGCTTACACAACTTGATAAGAAACAAATATTCTGGTATCGGCTAGAGTAGAATTTTTCTGCTAGTTTCGAGCTCCTTCACCTACTTTTGTAGCTGGCGACGCTTCCTTCGGATAGCTGCTTCCTCCCTAGCAATTTGGTCAAGTTGTCCACGTGAAAGGTTATAGACCCATAAAGGGGAGAAAAATTTTATCGGTGCGGTAGGTCTAGTGACTAAATAGTAATCCGCCGCTTGTATATATATATTGTTAATAAACCTTTTTCGAGTAACTTTGTAGTACGATTTTAGGATATCGTGGATATCTTATATAGTCTATTGCAAATTACTTATATAGTGAATTCGAGTGAGATTAGAAACTCGAATATATTCTCCTCTTGAATAATCATTATATTTCACGGAAAAAGATAACTCTTTTACTTCTAATAAGATACGTTCGTGGCGACTAAAATGAATATTAGCCACTTAAAACTAATTGTAGGCAGTTAACACTAACCATTTTTGTAAATTACTATTTAAATAATGATTTTAAGTTATTAGCGTTCTATCCCTTTTAATTCGAAGTAGAAACTCTGCTATCGAAAGGGCTTATCGATATTTCTCCACGAGGTTATCTATTAGAAACGAGAGGATATTTTGACCTAGCCTCTAATCTCCACAGGATATATTTAATACCTTCGTTGTAAAAGTGTGAACCATAGATATTATATCACAAATATAACCCTTAGCCAGAGATAGCTATTTCGTAGATTGTTTCTTTAGCACGCTTAAAAGTATAGATAAATTAAATATTCCCAATTCAAACCCACGAGATTCTTGGTAGAGATTTTCGATCCAAGGGAGAATCCTATATACCATAGAATCCTAAATTTGGATATAGTTGTGTAGAATGTCCTAGATATCGCTGTAACTATTTAGCTTACTACTCGGGACAGACTTTAGCTCCTATACTTGTTCTTCTGCTTCTCTATTATTATTTATACCGCTAAGGATGGCGCTGATAGAGCTCGGTAGGGAAGTTTCTAGGACGGTTGATTTAATTTCTAAGTTATTGTCGTGCTTATGCGACTTAAAGCTATATATATGGCCGTAAGTAGAAAAGTCGTTAGAAAATTAGGTATTACGATTAGCAACCAAAGTTACTAACCTTAAATCAGGTTCTTCGTCGAAGGTATCTTATAATCCGTAATTCGTATAAAGAGTATTCTTAGTGATATACTGAAATTTCGACATAATTTCGAGCAGAAATTTGCTTTATTGCTTAGGGGACTCACGCTCTTCTCTAAGGCTTTTAAGTGCCTATTTATATTCTTTAAGACGTTTCGAAACTTTAGAACGAACCTATCACCTATTTATAGATTAGATTTCGTACGATAGTTCTTATAGACAAACTCACCGATAGAAATTCCCGCCGGATATTTAAAGCTAAAAGTGCTTATAGTCGTGTTCTTAGGGTATCGATACTATAGCTATCGTTTGAGAGGCGATTCTAAGGAGATAAATTTCGAAAGATCTCTTCTTTAACGTTATGGTTCTTTAATAGGTCCTAGAGGTCCTTCTAGCTAAGGTTTCTAACTATCACCTAGCCTAGTTCTTAAGATTCTTGCTTCCCTTCGATAAGTTCAATAATCTTATCCTCTACTCCTTTATCGATAAGGTCTGGTTTTGTAAGGATCCGTAAGGTTCTTATTCTATCTGGGTCTAACTCTCTAGAGATTTTAATAATCTCCTAGGTAGCAATATCGATATTTACTAGTATAACAGCAAGTATTATTGACCGCGGATTTTGTATATAGTTAAGTACTATATCCCTTATAAGGGTGATATCTAACTTTAAAGTCAAACTAGGTATTATAGTTTTGAAAATTCCTAGAATATCAATCACACTAAGATAATTTTTATAAGGTCTATGAATCTCTAACTAGAGAATATCAGAGGAAAACGTGGGTAGGTTATCTCCTATTAACGTTAATAGGCCTATCGCTAGGTAAACCTTAGGTAATATTAGTTTTTGTACTTATTGCTAAGCCTAGAGGAATAGACTAACCTTAGTTATTATATTCTCGAACTCTCTCTTATTTAGCGCCTCAATATTAGATATACTCTAACTAGCGTTTTCCTTTCTATCGTCTAGGGTTATTAAGATAATAGAGCTAGTGACTTTTCGTATTTTTAAGCTCGGATCTCTCCAAAATATAATCTATATCGCGAACCGGGTATATAAGCCACTGTTTCGTGGAAATTTCAATTTTGTCAGGCCCTCTAAGATAGAGCTTTTTCCGCTAGATTAATCTCTAACGACGACTAATTATAGTAAATTAATATATTCTCCTATATTACAAGCGAACAATTTATCAATTTTTTCAAGTAGAGATAGGTCAGCCAGTATAGTGCTAGTAGGTACTTAAGCTTCCTACTTAACTATTATGCTTTATTGTAGAATATTTATAGATAGTTTTATATGCGATTATATAGCTAAGATATCAAATTTCTCGGTACCCCTCCCTTAAAAAGGAGGTTCTTTTCCTTCTTTATTAGAATTTAGAAAGTAACGTTACACCGCCCTTATATAGGAGTATTCGGTGTAAATTAGAGGGTAAGGAGAAGAATATAAACGAAGCAATGGTAAGAGAGGACTTAGAATGTTCGAAGGATATCGGTGAATATTCGGCAAGTCAAATCAAAGGATCCAAGAAAGCCAAGGTAAGGAAACTTTACCCGAAGAAGCATTAGCTAGTAGATAAACAAACTCTATATATTTAGCATTAGAATGCCCAATAACCGCTTAAGGGCTCGAATTGCCTTCTCCTCTAAGGTATACCTTGCTTTTAGTTAGACTTCATTCAGTCTATCTTCCTCCTTACTAGTAAGGTACTTTTATAAATAAATCCTATTAGTTATCTTTCTCGGAATATATAATCGAGGCCGAACTTACCACGTTATTCTGCTAGCGTCGGAGTATAGAGCTTAAGTTATATGGTCTATTCAATACTTATACACTAGAGTTAAGGTATTCTTTGAATAAATTCCACTCCGACTTATTATCTAGACCTTCACTCTTATTAGGAGCCAAAGTAGTAATAAGGTTGTAATACTTAAATCAATCTATGCTATCGGGGATTTTAGAACCCTAATAAACAGCGGATCCTACTTGGCGTAGCAGAGAGTCGAAATCTATGGGAAGTTTATCTTTGCTCTCGTTATATAGGCTATCGCGCTTATTAGCCCACTTCCTATAGGTAACTTTCTACTCTAGAATAAGTCGTTCTACTCCGCTAGAAACGAGATAGTTACTATCCAGAATTCCTCTAACGTTTACGCCTCGGAATTTGAAAGTGTTCCTTGTTAGAGGTTAAAGGCGATTAAGGAATTCGACCTAGGAGAAATCGGCGATTTTCTCGAAGTAGACTATATAGTATAATACTAAAGTAAAGCGGCGTCAGAAGTCTAGTGAAGTTAGCTAAGGAGAAGGGTTGTGTATATATATTGGGTCTTCCCTAGGACCCCTAGTCTATTCCCGGATATATAGCGAGGTATAGGTTACCCGGTTAGATCATTCGATCATAACCCAGAAGTCGGTATTTCGCACCACGTATAGAATTCGGGGCAGACTCGATAAAAAATAATAATGGCACTGTATAGGCTGTACCTGATGGTTGTCGACTTTGTGTGGTTTCGAGGCCTATATACCTAATAAGATATATTTTCTCTAGTGATACGATATTGTCTAGCGTAGGAGAGGCCGGTGCTTCTTCCCTTAAAGCTAATTAATACGTCGCGAGTAGATCGATCTCGACGCCTTCTATATCCTCGTGAGATTTTAAACAAGCTATAAGGTCTTAGGAAATTTTAGCACTATAAATAGTATAGTAAAGTTAGTACTATGATATATATATATCACTCTAAAAACTTTGCACCCACAAAAAGCTATTAAAGCTCTTAAAGTCCTCTAGAATTTTGCCTCTATTACCTCTGACGGAATCTTTGATTCTATAAAAAAGAGAGTTAGTTCGTAATTTTAGAGTCTGCTGGATTGGAAGGCGTACTGATTGATATTTATAGACAGAACGCCTTCGTAGTATTCAACCTATTAGTAAATCAAATAGATTAAATAAGCTAAATAGATAAAGTTATAGAGGTATATAGCTACTTACTAGATAATAAGGTATTCTGGTTAATTTAGATACAGAATAAGGTTGTTAGACTTTGTATAGGAAGGCTGGATATTTCAAAGCTAGAATAGGTGGAGAAAAAGCAACCTTTAAATAGCTTATAGTAGAATAGGCTTCGCTACGGCCTGCCCTAGCTCAGACTTCAGCCATAGTAGTGTCCCTAGGGGAGTCTTACTGCCTAAGGGCAAACTAATAGGAGGCCACTACGGTAGTGCCTTAGATCACTCTCGATCGCGACCCGCTTTAGCAGGTAATAAGCCTAGCCAATGGATTATCTCACTAGAAGCGGGGTACCAATCCCGTGAATTCTCCTTAAGTGTTATCTACGCTAAGGTAGGCTGCTTTGCCTTCGGGACATTTAGTCTAGGTCCGTAGGTTGCCCCGCCCCTATAAGCACCACTTCTTTAGTAGGTCATGAACACAGCGGACCAGCAGACCAATGAAGGAACCCCTCACTTTGAGCCGGCTCATAAGATACGTGGGCAGCGATCGAACGAGTTTGGTAACGGGGAATAGTCTTATACCTCTTCTCTCTGGTATCATTATTTTAGTTTTAATAATATTGAAGTGTCGATACCTCTGGTATATTACTAGTGCCTTAGTGATATATAAGGCACTTAAAAGAAAGGACAATAGTATCCCTGCTTAATAGAAACAAGTGAATAAATCCTAGGATCCACCTCAGGGTATATAGCCTAGTATCTATCTGTCTTAAGACTAAGCTAGACCTAGGCTAAGTGTTATAGGATATATACAGAACAAAGAGAGGTTTCCTATGACGTAGTCTCTCTTATCTGGTATTTACTCTCCGGTCGGGACTCATAGGACTAATTTCCTCTTAAGAGGATTCTCTTAGGAGGATTAAGCTCTTAGAAGAAAGGTTTTATCCTCCGATTTCCAAATACCCTAACTTCCCAAGAAAATCTACCCAAAAAAATATTTCTATTTACGTCTTCCTACGACTAAGCTTATAAGAAGCACTATATAGTTTAAATATAGACATAAGATATACTTCTTATTTTATCTAGTCTTCTAAGAGCTTTCTCCCGGGGCGGTATTACTTATATCTATAATAGCCTATTGTTTTAGGCTATATAATACCTATATCTACTTAAAAGGGTCCTTATAGTGGCCTCGGCTTCATAGAACGACCCGGCTTAATCGAATCTATTTCCTCTTCTATCCTATCTAGGGCTCTAGAAGCCATTATTAGAAGTTGCCTTTCCTTGGTGAGTCGGCCTATAGCGATAAGTTCCCGCTCTTTATACTTAGAAATCATGAATATAGCGTTTCTACTATCGATAGTGGCCGTACGGAAATATTAAGCCGGTCTAAGACTTTAAAGACATAAATCGTACAGCGAATAGCCTTTCTATAAATACTTTTAGGTAAGTCACTCTAGCGGCGATAGATCTAATGGGTTTACGAGGAGATAATCTAACTACCTCCACTATTCCTATTTAAATACCCAGAAATAAATCTTAACGGGCCCTTAATATGGTTAAGGCGACACCGCTACTATACGCCCCAAATCATCCGCGGAAGAGGTGTGACTAGAGGGCTATACGATAATATCCCGGGAGATCGGTGTTATTTAATCAGGGTTCTCTACTAAGGATTCTAGCTACCCTTCACAGAGGGGAACTAGCGGTAGATCGTGATTAGCGACGTTTGTGACCGAAGTTATGTACTCTATATCCGTTTACACTTATACCGCTAGCTCGTGATTAGAGGCTAGCCATAGTGAATTTTATCTATCTTCTAATCGAGGCGTATCCCCTAAAGGAAGTTAGGCCTAGCTAGATAGACCGAGCTCTTCGTTAAGCCGCTCACGCTCCAATTCCTCTTCTAATTATTCCTGCTCTTCCTAGGTTCTCTATAAATAGGTAAGGTATATATCCAACGCTTGCTGCCTAGGAGGGCCACTAATATTTGGCGAACTATCTGCCTCGGATTCTAGGGACGCCGGCTAGAGTGTATTATTAACACTCACCTTATTATCGAGAGTATCTTGTTAATCTGGTACCACGATCAATACTCCTTTGTCCGGATCTTGCCTAGATTTATCTACTTCGAAGGAGATCCTCGTACAATCGCTAACGGTATCTATGTCTCTAGGGCTAGTATAGTTATGGGAATCGTACAGCGGAGCTAATACTAAGTTATTCGGCGCTGGTTCGAGATCTATTTCCCGAAGGGAAAGATTTTTATCGCGAGGACTGCTTTGGTCTAATATATCCTTATCCCGCGTTTCTATACTCGGTAAGTTCTATTCTATAGGCTCTTGTTCCCTCTCGGTCGCCCGGTGTGAAGTAAGCCCGTGTATCTGAACTTTACGCCTTCGCCGACGCCTTATATGGTCCTATTTATTTTCGCTCCTCGTTTATTACTAGTGTTCTATGCTTTGTCCCGCCCCTCTCGGTCAGACACTATCCCTTTATAGCCTATCTTGTCTATCTAGAGTTAGTACACTTGATAGGGCTATATATATAGTTTACTTATGGTTATTAGAAGGCTCTTCCTCTTTAATAAATAGCAGCGACTAAGGCTCGTCGCCTATAGGTTAGTCTCTATTAAGAGTTAGGCTATACTATATAGGCTTTCCGAAAAATACAAAATAGATATAGCGGCGGACAAAAAAGCTAGTGATAGTATCGGTAACCTTAACTTCCGCGTGTAAATAGTCTAGGAAGAGTATATTATTATCTTACTTCTAAGTGCGTGTTTATAGTACCCTAGAGCGGACCTTTATCTTCACGGTACTATCTACAAGAAGATCTTGTGACCGGTCGGGCTGGCTAGGAACTATATATCCAAAATAACTAACGATCTAACTAACTAGGATATCGAACTACTCGTAGTTATATCGATACCGATCCGGTTTTCGGGCCTATAGCAGAGCCGACCGCGCGATCTAATGATCGGGAGAACTCTTAATCAACCTATCGATCTCTGTAGACTTAAAACCGAGATAGTAGGTAAGTTCGGCCATCTCGTAAATAGCTCTCTGATCTGGTTTTACACGAGATGGTTTTGCCAATAGGTTGTCCTCCTTCTTTAGGTCCGGGGGTATTAGAGTATAGTGCCGCATAGTATATAGCTATACCTATAAGTAGCCTATCTCGAGGCGCTCTATATCGGTCGCTCGCTATTATCGAAAAGTAGACTCCGAAGTCTAAATGATACTTTCTCCTACCTCGGAATGATCTTCCTCCGAATCTAACTATAGAATAAATATCGAGCTTATAGTTTACTAGATAGAGGTTAATAGGCTAAAAAGTCGCTTAACGTAATAAGTGTAGCTCTCTAGGTATTTAAAATCTTTAAAAAGGGTATACAGAGACAGAATAAGCCTATCGAAATCCTTTATATAGATCTATATACTATATCTCTCTTTATCGCTGAATTCCCTAAATACGTGACCACCTAGGATAAGTCCACAAGCTGTTTTTGTATCGGTACGTGATTTGCTAGGTGCGAGCAACTATAGGGCTTCGACGGTATCCTAATCAATCTTCTTTATTGAAGGACGACTTGACGCGACCAAGGAAGACCAGAACTTCCAGATATAATCTAAATAGGTTATTATTTCCTACGGGATAGACAGCCATACGGTTAGTAGAGCGAAAAAAAAAAGAAAAAGTTTCTGAATGCTGAACTCACTTCGCTATAGCCCGAGGCTATCAACCGATGGAGTATACTTATCCTTATTCCGTTTAGCTAAAGCCTAGGGATTGCTAGTAACCGATCGAAAGCACGCCGGAGACAGCGGTTTCTTTTGTTGTCTAATTAATCTAAGCGTTCTTGATTATTAGATAATAGTCTCACAAACCACCGCTCCCGAAAAGCCTTATTATCTTCGCCCTTATATTGTCTGATCTTACGATAAATCTCTCTATCGGTCGGCTTCTTCTGATTTGTATATTCCTCTACTAAGGAGGCTCTTAGTTCCTCGCCGATATCTTTGTTGATGGTTAGTATAGAAAATATAAGAATAGAAGACAATATACTATCTAAGTAGAGGTCTACTATCCACTAGCGATTAGCCGGAGGTAGAACCTCGGCTCCTGCCTATATACGGTGACAGCCGTGTAAACCCCGAAGCTACCCTACCATAAATACAAGCTAGGGAATTTAATAAGTAACATTCGTTAGTAGCGATTGCTACGGAATATTTGCCTTCCGCAATATATTCGCTAGGTTGGTTTGAGATATAATCGTAGGGATATAATTATCGATATCGAGGCGGCGATAACGGTTCTTACGGAAGATACCACAGAGCCGTTCTAAGTTCTTTAAATCTAAGTCCCGGGGTAAAGGAGGGTCAAATTGAATCTGACTAATATTGACTTTGGCCGTTCTAATATATTTTAGACGCCGCTCCGTTGCTAGTCGCACCTCTTGATCGGTAAAAAAGGATCGACTTATAGAGGGATAATAAGGGTACAGAAAGTAGAAAACAATAGGCGAAAGCTCTAGCTATAGCTATATCTATTTATGTAGCTAAATCCGTATCCCGCTACGGTACCACTACGCTATTCTACTTAGGACCTACCGTAGTGTCCCTTAGCCCCTATAGTTCTTAGCTAGGAGAACGGTTTAAAACCATAGTATCCTCTTGTTTGTATGCCCTATTACTTATATTGCTACCTTTAGACAAAGTCCTATCGGTTCTATCATGCGGCCACTCGATGAAAAACGAGTGACAAAAATTTAGGTTGATCAGGTCGCCCTCCTATAGCAGACTCTATATAAAAATAATACAGAGATATCACCAGTAACCGAGCCTAAACTCAAGCCAAGCTCTCGCCTAATCAATAGGTCTGCTACGCCATCTCCTTCCGAGCCCCCTAGTAAGGTTATCCCAGGCTCCCCTAGGGATATAGCTCTCTAAGGGACTAGCCGTTTGGAGAACAATATCGGCTCGGATGGATTTGTACAAGATAAATCACCCTAGGATAGTTTCAAGCCATACTACGAATGCGATCTAGCTAGCACTGTTACTATTTGCGTTCTGTGCTCTGGTAGCCATGCCGCATGGGCAATCTGTCGATACCCAAGTAAGGACGCGGACAGAATCCTGGAGATTCTCCGTTCTATATCCTATAAGAATGTGGTTTTCGTTTTAGAGTGCTTTCGCACTTCTGATTCCCTATATACTTTAAGCAAGTTTGATCCTCTCACGCTAGATCACGTTGTCGCCTGTAAAGCCTTCCCAGACCAGGTGGAGCTAGCTACGATTATATCCCAGGTATATTTTTCACTCATTCTCGCAAATAGACGCTAGGTCGCTAATCATATATAGTTTCTTGATGGGCTATCGTATCTAGCTACCCAAAATTTCTATCACCCCTCTTTAGATTGTTCTAGCGTTCTGATGAGCCTCGAGGGGGAGGTGAAGATTAGTAAGCTAAGTCCATAAACATACATTTAGGGGTTACCTACTAACTATAATCCAGCACGTATTGACTCCTATATCATCCGATAGATAGGTAGACTTCATAAAATTGATTTAGCTCCTATGTCCAAGGTTATGATGGAATTAATGCAAAAATATGCTAAAGATGATAGGGCAGTCAGGATTGACAATCTTGACCGCTGGTAAACATGCCCAGCCGCCATCGATTTTCTCTCCGTCACGATCTCAGCTAGCTTATTTGAGGAACTGAAAAAAGTATATGACCCTGGATTTAATATGGAACTGTGCTTATTAGTTTTTAGCAGCGCTTTTTAATAGAAACCCGGTGGTGCCCAGGCGATCTAATCGGCCTTGTATGGTTTGCACTGATATCTTCCTGTATATTCTACTTATACACGCCGAGATCGGAAAAGAACGATTAGGTCAGGCTGTCATTGCTTACGTAATGGAAAGTGGATCAAATAACAATGATTGCGATCAATTTAAGCAGGATAGGGAATCAATATTTAATTATACTTTACTTCGTTGGTATTCTACTGTTGTGTATTAAATCTTCGAAACCTTCTAAACGTAGATTAGAACCATTATAAGTTCCAATCTGAAGCCAAACGACGGCTAGTATACTGACAACGAAATATTCTCGTTACTGCGCCATGGGTTTAGGGGTGACATATAGTCACCGCCGATTAATTTCCCAATAAAGTTCCGAATTTAAAGATTAGTGGCGCCCTATATATGGCTGGCTTTTGTGGGGTTCTTAGGATGGTAAGCTGGATAGTTATAAGAGTGTGCTTATTGCTAATTATTGTTGGCCATTATACAGTCTGGAAATATAGAGATCAAACTATAGCTAAAGGTAGCTGACAGGAAAAGAAGAAAGACGAATAAATGATCACCATTTTATTCTAGGCTCTTGTTTACGAAAGCTAAGGGTGATTCATAAGCAATATATAGACGTAAAAAAAAAAAGGCAGATAAGAAAGGTTAAACAAGACGACGAAGCTTAGTGGCGACAGAAGTGTAAAGGAGACAACGTCAAAGTTAGCTATTGAGTTAGTGCTACGTTACCAGCACACTAGCTAAGGAACTTAGTCATTTTTTGACTTATATCCTTCTTAACATCAACTACTTTCCAGGAAATTTCGGTCCAGTGGAAGGCCAGGGCTCTCTCGTCATCCTCGCGGACAGACACCATTTCCTTCGATCTAAGAAGACCATCATCTATATCGAAAATAGCCTTACGTAGATCGTACGTGATCCACCTAAACATAAGGTGTTTAACTACGGGCTCCAATGCCTTAAAGACGCGAACGGTGCCTGGCCGAGTTTTCTGGGCGAAAGTGACAAAAACTTTGGTCTGAGGTTCGGTAAATATATGATTACACCTAATCAAGGTCAGCTAAGCCACGCGATGATTTGGCTAGTATACGTATATCATATCATATAGAGAACTATTACCTACTAATAGTATACTAACCCCTAAGTTACTTATAAGCGCCCACCACTATTTACCTCGTCGGATGTAGTATATGGAAATCTTATCACGTCGACTCTTCTCGGACTTGGTTATACGTGGATCGTCTGGGTATATATTGAGGATACAATCTAGAATATAGCTCGCAGGGCGCTTCGATGACGGATGGGGATAGTATTTCTATGGGTGTTTACAAAGTTCCTTATAATTAAAATAGAGCAATATATACCTAATACACTTTGTAATAGGGTTTAGATAATGAGAACTCGCGTCTATATCTAGTACTCGTAGGTAATCAACGGCTGCCTATATACCTTTCTATTATATAGGGAGCCTAAGTGTATACAAATCGAGTGAGCTATATTTGTCCTAATGATTAAATAGGGGTCTTAGCATGCTATTAAGGTCCTATATAAGGAGATAAGTCTCTGCCTCAAGGATCCTCTGAATTTGATCGTTCCCGAGGGAGATACTACAAGACTATAGCATATTAAGAGCGATATAGTTTGAATTGTTGATAGTTTCCGTTATAGTTACTTGCCTCCCTAGGTCACCGGACAGTCTATTTATATCGCTTGCTTGACTAACCACGGATACTCTAAACGCCGGAAAGATATATTACTCTCTTATTCGCGGAGTTTCGACATAAATAGTAGAAGGTATCGAATAATCCCTATCTAGTTTAGGTATAGATATAGTTCTAGGTAAGGCTATTCCAAAGAGTGGCTAAGGGATACTAGCATGGTTCGGATCTACCACTAGAATAGTGGTTCTTTCAGCGGTCTTAGCTTCGTATAAAAGCCAGTCTATCTAGCTACCTTCGTTATCGCCGGAAAGGATCTAATTGTCTATCCACGATTTAGTCTTATCGTAGGTTGTTAGTATATCGTTTGTAGGTTAGCAGGGGTTGGTAGGGGAAGGTAAAAGGGATAGAGGGGGCTATATAGCATCCATATAATAGTTCCCTTTAAAAAACCGTGAATTAGATAGGTCGAGAGTACGAATACCGGGATATAAATACTTCTTACCTAGCGATACTATAGAATTACCTTAAATAGCTTCTTATACTAGGTAGCCTTTCACAAATACACTCTCTAGTCCAAAGCCGACTTATGTTATCTAGGCCCTAGTTAGCTTCCGGAGCTATTCTAGGTCGGTTCCGAAAGCTCGAGCAAACTATAAAGAGTAAGAACCAAATATAGCATATATAGCGACTAACTTACTATACAGCGCTAGTCTATGCTTAAAGGAACAGGGTTTATCGCCGGATCTCGTTCCTATTATATTGGCTATTAGTTATCGCGTGTGTCTAGGGAAAGCGAGCTTACCTCGAAGACAATCAAGAAGGAAAATAAGTTCTCGTAACTCTCCCGGTATGTTAAGGAAATAGTGAACCCTTCTAGCGTAGCTAGGTCGTACTATCGGATATAGCCTCCCCGTTCTACCTATTTCAAAATTTCTACCTACTAGGAACTCTCTATCCATCCAATTTACTCTAATTTACTGCCAATCTAATTAACTAGCTATAAAAGAATAAGTATTATTCACAAAAGGCAAGAAATAAAAATTAACTTATATCAGAATATATATCTTAATACCACTCTAGCCCATACTTCGGATAGAAATCCTTTAAGCGAGATAAGTGGATACAAACTTAATCTAAGAGGACTAACTCACCTAGAGGCCGACCATAAGGGAAACTATTTTGGTGGGAACCAGCCTATAAAAATACCCCTACGGTGATAAACAAAGGAATAAGAGTTAGTAGTCAGTGATAAGAATATACTAAACGAGAGGATACCGTTTAAAGGCAATAAGAGATATACCGAACGGACCGGTTAGGAGAAATCAAATCATGGTAGAAAGGGACAGGATCGCCACCCTTTTATAGGGAAATCGGGAGGGGAGCTAGCCTAGGGTAAAGGGGCCCTAGGGTGTCAAAAGGTGGTCAAAGGGTGGTCAAAAGGTGGTTAAAGGGTGGTCAAAAGGTGGTCAAAAGGTGGTCAAATAGTGAGGGTTTCTAGAAAGAGATCGAACCGCCCGGACAAAAACACTGCCACGGGCCAGAGAAGGACAGACGGATGATATAACCGCCTCACCGGTACCATTCACCAGATACGCCCCCAGAAACTTATCTGGGTGATCGAAAAGCGAAGATATTCTCGCCTTAGGGTGAGCGTAAAGAAGAGTGAGGACCTCTGTCCACAAGAGAGAAATAAAAGAGTACCTGAAAGCACTGGCCCCACCCGCGGCCCCACCTACCCACTATAGGTGTGTCTAGACCACTTAGGTGACCAGGACGCCCTTTCTCACCCCAAAGGGTGAGAGAAAAGTTAGGGTTCTAAAAGGACGGGTAACATACTTCTCCCACTCACGGCTACCTTTCCACACACTAGGGATCTCCCTGGCAACCACCAAAGCGCCTGAAACGGAATAGGCTCAGTATAAGAGCTACAAGCGAAGATATCATTTCTAGCCTATAGTGACTTCCCAAGATAATATCTAGACCTATAACCACCGTAACCACCCTATAATATGTCCCAAACCTTCCCTCTCCCTAATCTCCTACTAAGTTGCCGATAATTTCCCTAATCCGGTTAGTATTCTAGTTCTAAAAGCGTAATATCCTGATATAGGTGGCCTCTGACGATCTCTTGTATATAGTCTCTCAGATTGTCTAGTGTGGAAACTAAAGAGGATTAACACGTGATACAAATAGAATCAGCCCGGAGCACTTACCCATTATAAGTGTCTGACCTCGCTTGTCTCGAATGTTCGGTAGTCTCTCGACCTAGCTCCCAGATACCTTAAGCGAGACAATACTATGGTAATCAGGCTCACCTTGGTAGAAATATACTCGTTTATATTTGCCGAATAGTGTTTTATTATATGCGAGGCCGTTCTCAATATAGATTGATATACTAAGTATCTAAATCCATGCTTCCATCAGTATTGTGTGCTCACGTTCCCTTTTGAGGCTAGACACAAACATAGCCTTTATCTATAATATCATCTTCAAGGAGGGCATTAAGTAGGCTCTGGGCTGCAGTTATTATATCTGATTTATTAGCTTAAATTTGTTTGAATTCCGTATTGACGCGCTCACTAATTAACTCTATTTACCATACTAAGTGCAGCCGGCGAACTTAAAGAGTGTAGGTATTATAACCATATATCATCTTCTTAAGGTATAGAATTATTATAGTAATCCCAAATCCGCTAGCAATCATTAAAGTAGTTTTATATTAATAGATATCCTCGCTTATGCCATAAGGCCCGGTGAATAGAGTAAGGAAAGATACCGAGTTATCTAGAGCGACTGTGGCATAACGGAGAACATTTGAGGTCATGCCATACCGTGGTTATATAAGAAGCTCTATAGTATCCTATTTACCTCGCGACCAAGATATAACTATGAAAGGATATATCTATATACACAACCATAGACCAATTGATGGTATCTAGAGATTGATATATTGACTGGGCTTAACCTTCACTAGACGAGGTAAGACAACGCGAATATATACCGCTGTTACTATATTACCGCTCTCCTAAGATTTCCTGAACGTGAATGATATAAGAGCACAGGGAGCCCTATGGCCCGAAAAGAGCCCATTTCGATAAAACAGAGTCGCCAATTCCAAGTATATGGTTAGCCCTAAGATACCTAAAGCAATATAGATATATAGTCTTAGCGGGCCGTTATAGGTCGGAAGATACCGCTAAGTGCCGTAGACAAAGAGACTAGCCAAGGTCTAATAGGTTCGGAGGAAGATCTTATAGGACTATTGACAAAAGTATAGAATGGAAAATAGAGTAAGGACACCTAGTGAAGTAGTACCCTATAACTATTAGCTATATTAATATAATACTAGGAGGGAGATATACGATCATGGTAAATAGATTACGTGTATCACCTAGTAGAAAGCTAAATTCCTAGCTCTAGACCTTGGCAATGATATGAAATAATATTAGAGCAACGGCTATCTAGCTAGTTATAAGGTGAATTTTGCGACAATTTTGCCATATAGTGCCGAGAAGGTCGGCTAGATAGCCAAGGTTAATAGCTAATAGAGGGAAGATTATATTGATAAGCGCTAGCTCCCCTGCCCGGTGGCTAGCTCTAGTTAACGAATAGGTTTTAAAGAAAACAAGAGTAATATTGATAGTGATATATATCACGTGGATAAGGACACTAGATCAAGTCTATAGACCATAGATCCGATACCTATAAATAAGGACTAGGAGAGTAAGATATCGAGAGAGTAGAATAGAGAAAGATTACGCCTAGTTGATTAAGATAGAGCGAGCCTAGATCAGAAAGAGGACCAAAAAAATACCGCTAGTGGCAATTACATAAATGGCTAGTATATCTATACTCTATATAGAATCTTCCCTAGATCTAATAGTGTAAATCTTGAAAAGAGAGCGCTAGGTAAAGAGCTCTCTGGATCAAGACATTTTGATAGTAGGTACGGCCAACAAGATAGATAGCCTCGCTGCGGTAGGCTCTCTAAGGCAGAATATATATGGCTTCGATAGAGACCGCAGTCACCCTTAGTGACCAGGTTTAGGATATTTAATAGGCTAAGCTACCTCGAATTATAGGAGATCCTTTAAATAATCTGGTCTTAGTAGTAACTATATCATGTCCAAGAAATCCCTATAGGTGAAGAAGCGATAGTCAGAGAGTGCGCGAGCGAAAACGCAACAACGAAATAGATATTAGCGAAGCCTATTCAAAAAGGCTAAAGAATTTGTCCTTAAGTGCGAATCCGATGTCTTCTTAGCTATGCGAGTCCGCAAAACTAGGTATATATATATCTTTGACTCGTCCACTAAGAATCAGTGGCTTAAAGACTTGTCTAATATGGTACTTTATTCTATATATTGTGTAGATATTCTACCGCTAAATTTACCATAATAGGAGTTATGCTACCCTCGTCCGATTCAAGAATCGGTGGAGATAGCTCCCGAGCTTGGCGAAGCTCTGCTAAAGTAAGGAGATAGATTAGCTTTTCCCAAAGTCTAGTAATTAAGGAAGAATTTATATCGACTGTCATTCTTTTGTAGTATTTTCTATGTCAATAATGATAGTAATGGAATGCGAATACTGGAGACAAAAGGATCATATCAAGCCTCGTCTCCTGCAAAGATAGCAACCAAGTGTTTCAAATTAGGTAAGACATCGATGGGGTTGAAGTTTATTCATATTTATAAGCCCTTCACGAGGCGCCTCTTATAGTTAATATTAGATATGAAATCAAGATAATAGGCGCTGCCGGGATAGTGGCGTAGTGCGTATTTTGAAGTGTTTTAAGGATTAGATTCTCTAGTATATCAGAACCCAGGATGAGGCGAGCGAGTGGTACTTGGCAAACATACTTCCCAATTTTTCTATCGCAGATATTAAGTTAACCTCTGTAGTGGGCAAGGGCCACATTTGTCATCTCCTCAGTTAGTATAGTCTAGGAAGGCCTGGATTACTTAGTGCGTAAGGTCCCGAGTCATAGCGCCGCAGCTATCCTTGCCAAGTATCACCGTAGCCTATCGTACAGTATTGGGCCATCAGGCCAGGAGTATGTAGGAGTAACCCGCTTCGAACCATTTGATAGTCGCCTCCTCAGGAGAAGAGGCGCCCGGATCGACCTCCAGAACGACTCTGAGCTCCGACGACGCCATGCCATTACCTGTTTTTTCCAGTTGCTTAGATACTCTGGATTTCCGCGACCGGTATTGTTCTAGTACTTGACTCAAGGGCGCTATGGGGAAATGTATCTTTAATTCATTGATATCGCAGGATAAGGGGTTTTACAATGGTGGGATATACCGCGTCGTTTAGTTCTAGTAGAACAAGGTTCGGGCTGAATGTTTCCGATACCAAAATAACTACACACCTCCGGAGTAAATTATGCGCACCTAAATAGCGGACAGAAATTGGAAAGCTGCTTTATTTCCTAAGAGATCCCCCGAATTGACCTCCACTAGGCCCGATAGAGCTTCTCTCGAACCGCCTATTCTTCTGTGGGCAAGGGGCAAAAAGGCAACGAGAGATATAATTGCATAAACTAACTTAAAGCATTGAAAGAAAATAGACAAGGCACAAAAGGACAGCGTTCAACACAAAGCATTAATAAGTTCTCGTAGGGTTCCCGTTAGTTACTGCCAATATTGCGGAGAACCTAATATTTCGCACTTAGCATCCCAATAGTCTCTATTCCTTAAAAGTTTAGTCATATAATATTCGCCTTCGACAACCCGCCTTTGTAGAAGATTAGCAATACCCTGGGTTTTAATAGGCCGCCCGAGTTGTAAGACAAGCCTAGTCAATAGCCCCTCCTCGGTAATAGAAAACTCCAGATTTTGAAGCTAGCCCCTTATGATAACAGATATTCCTAGGAATATAGACCTCGCGTGTTTACCGAGAATCCATAGACCCGCGTATATCTTAGTAAGCCTAAGTTGTTGTACGGCTCGGTCAAGCGTAAAGAGGTATTAACAATCGCTGTGAAATTCCTTCGAAATTAGTTTATAAGAATAACCTCCTATAGAGGCTTGTCTGTTCGTGCGTATTATCATCAAGTCTATTATATGTCAGCCTCTAGCTCTAACTTAATAGAGTCATAACACGCTTCTTACCACTAGGGACTAGATAGAGACCTGGCTTCTCCTAGTATATTTCTTCTATCTTCGACTTCCGGGAAATTGAAAAAATGGGTTGTTTGAATAAATCCCAAATATAGTTGTAGCTCTTAGATTTTAGAAGGACTTCGTAGATCCGATTAAGTGTAAAATACGTAGTAGTACTGCTTCTTCCGGCGCACAGCTTCTATAATTTGTCGTCGACAGGCTTATACAGGGAGCACTTCGTTGCATCGAGTTTTATGATAAAGTCTATAAGTTATTAGCTAACATAGCCTCGCCTAGTAGGTATACTCTTTCTGACCATCTAGAACGTCATAGATATATGGCCCTATTCGTCTAAATTCTCTTAAGAAGATATTAGGATCTAGGGGTCCTTAGGTTAGCTTTATGATGATGCCATAGTGGTTTAAAGAGCGTACCATAAAAAGGGGATTCCATTTTTATTGATCTAAGGCTTACTTTTCTTGCAGAGATTTCTGGGAGTAGCCTTTGTCTTTATATAACTAAATGGGTACTTGCCCTATTCACATTCTAGGGATGTTTGTATTTGGTGGGCTAGGAATAGAGTAAAATATAGGCCATATTTGATGGCCCCACCAACCGCCAATTGGCACCAATCTTGCTAAAATAGATAACCTCTAAATCGAAAAGATTGATGTTAATTTAGGATGATTGGATTCTTTTGTATATAGTGTTTAACTAGTAACTAAGGGATTTGTTGCTTTAGGTTAAAAGAGCAACACAACGTTAAGCCAATTATGTTCCTATACTAGGGCCCTTATGCCATTGGCTAGCTGCTACTCCTTTCTTCGCCTTGGAATAGCAGTAACTACTATCGTTGGAAAGTGATCAGGGACTGCCAAAGGATCAATGATTGCCAAGTTATATTTCATTCTGCTAGGAAAATCACTTTAGTAAAGAAGAAATTGCAGAAACGCCACTAATAAAGCCATAGGTCTCCTTTCCATCCCATATATACTCAAACTCGGAGAATAGGCATCCAATTCAAATAGTAATAGATAGAATATATTGATATATTTCAATATGGATTTGTATCAGGACTTATGAATTTGGCCATAAGCGTTAGCTATATCACCTGTGATTATACCGCGAAAGTACCGGAAGTATTTCCACACCGGCCGATCAGTCAATATCTAGAGGCCCTAGCTATCGAGAATTAGATTACCGCAATAAGCCTGAGAATAAAGAAGAGCACTTACTGAAGATCTCGGTCCTTGACTAATGTTTGACAACATGATCACAGCCAGCTTTTTGTTTTTTAGATATGTAGTTGAGCATTCAGGGGATAGGTATTCCTCTTCTACGCAAATAATCCTGCCTTTAATAAGTTTAATGTCTAGAGGGATGTCAGGAAGCATAATAGTCTCACAATCTATATAGTCATCAAATTTCATGGAGATAGCTCGGGGTCGGGTTACTAGCAATTAAAGTGTGAGAAGGTAATATTAAAGGCTTATAGTATATAGGAAAACTCACAAATATAATTTGCGACTAGATTAGCGCGTGTCTCCACCGCTCTCTCAATTTGATTTGAAATGCAAACTAGTAGAGGCTTTGTGACGTTATATACAACTTCGGTATTTTGAAGCTTATATACCGCTGGTTTAGTTCCTATATACGGGCTGGAAATATTAGGGACAGTTTAATCTAGGCGTTCTCTACTTTGCTCTCCTGATGGTATCCAGAGGGATTGTATCTAGTTCGGAAGAAGGGACTAGAGCGATATAGAAGAAAGGTAGTGTATAAGGTCAGTTGGGCAGCTAGCTTCGAATAGAGTAGAATAATATGTGGTAAAGGCATTAATAGAGATAGAAGGCCTTAAATATCACCTATGTTTCTTAGTTCAAGTCTGGCAGGTTATAAAGGTGCCTATTCCTACTACCTAAGGCGCTATTGATTGTACCTTTTCATTGAAGCAAGGATCTACTCATGGTCAGTACCTACCTCTTTCGCTAGTGACGATAATATACTTATATTAGAAGTCCACCCCGATTCCTATTCAGTTCTTATATGGGCCCGCAGAAATTTCTTTGGAGGCAATGCTTTTTTTGAGAATTGAATCTCTATCCCTTAGGGAATAGGCGCCCTCGGAAACTTCTAGCCAAGACGCTAGGATACTGCTAGATATCTATAAGACTTTGAGAAGCAGAAGATCCCAGGAACCACACCCCGATGGAAATATCTCTCTCGAAAACGATTTATACGCCTTAGTAGGGAATATTTTACGTGACCTTAGTTATAGTACTATTTTGATACTAGCGCTGATAACTTGGCATTTTGATACTTCATCTTCCGAAGTGGGGTAGGGCTTGATTACTTTCCTACAACGACCTTATGATAGTAAAGTGAGAATACTTCAAGATCGATACCGAAGTATTATACGTGTAACGGCCCCTTCAAACTTTGGCTTTTTGCTTATCTAAATTGAGCCCTATTATATGATCAGTGGAGTGCAAAAAATGAACTGGATTATATTTATATTGATTAATAGTAACCGAGCTTTCTAAGGCGGTTACCAATTTCTCTAAGACAGTCATTATACTAGTCTGTCCAAAGTTTGTTTATCTTAATATCCAAAACTTTTGTGAGATACTACCTTTTTATATACTCCTATAAGTATTTTAAATGTAGGCGTTGGTAGTAAAGAGCTTTCTTTGAGTCAAGATCTTCTACTGGTTACTACACAATAATCGGATTATCGTTACTCAGAGGAACGAATTTCAGAAGCCTATATTTACCCAAAACCCGTGAAATACTAGTCTCTAGTACCGCAAGGTCCACTAGGAAGGCATTGTTTATATTGTTATAGCCAACCTGGGCTTGATACTGATCGCTAAGATCTTGAAGAGCAATGGCATCAAAAACCATATCCTTAAGGCCCTTTCTTTTGATATCTTCTATAAGATAAAGCCCACTTAGAGAAAACCAAACCTATATAGTCTTGTTTGGTTAGAGTTTGATATTTATAAGTAGGAAAGGGTAACCCACCCGTAAGCGAATCGGCGCTAAGTCTATAGTAGCAGAAATAGTAGGTTGCTCTTTCGGCATAGGTACTTTCAAAGGTTCACTCAACAAATTTCGGTCAGGTTCTAGACCTCCGAACAGAACTGTCTCGCGCGAGTTTCCTAGAGAGAAGAGTCGGGTCATATAATCTGAAAGCAAACAACGAAATTTCGGTATGCTTAAACAGACCATGGTCTTAGATATAGAGTCTTAGTGATAGGTAGAAATAGATATTTGGCTACTTTTGAAGCGACTATCTCTTTTAATATAGTGATAAAAATATAGGTATGGTTATTCTTACTATATACAATTAGTTACAAAGCTAAGACGGAGAGAGCTATAGATGGGATATATATACCTAGGCACACATATCCTATCCCTACAATATTTAAGTCTGCCATAGTTATCTTAGAGGCGCCCTCGCAGATAAATTGACCTTAAAGTTTAAGTAAAGTAGCTCTATCCCTCTATAGGCATTTAATTCTTGATCACCGTTAATGGGCTTCTTATATCAATTAAGCAGAGATTTTAGTCGTAAATTAGGTGTAGAATAAATAAGAGGATTACTAGGCAAATCACTAACTAGTCTATGTATAATGAGTTATATGTCCCTTAAAACCTACCCTACTAGGATAGATGGTGGATTTTATAAGTAAGCCAATATTTTATTATATAACTTCGCTTACTATATTAGGTGGGTCGTGTAGGGTCGGGCACCAAGATCGGAGACTTCGACAAGCCCCGCGATAGCCCCTCCTTTATCTAACCGAAGTCGTGGATTTTCCTTATAGAGGCGTAAATAGCTTAACGATTGTCATGAGAAAAGTTTAGGGAGGATATACCTGACTTTCGAGTTACTTGCCTGATTCTGTAAGACTTTTTCTATGTCCGCTTTATTGCCCTTATAAGGACCTATAGCGACAACCAACCAGATTCATGAGCCAGTAATTACTATCGTATCCGAGAATATCGAACAAAACGCAAAATTAGCTTAGGACCAAGTCTATGCTATCGCCGACTCTGTCCCCGAACCGATAATTAGGAAAGCTTCCGGGTTTCTGCCTAGTGATCTCTACTATAAAGTCATAAATAGAGCTGTGGAGGAATATCTAGTTAAGGTATAGGATCTCTGGCGAACTTCACAAGATAAAATATCTCTAACTTAAATATAAGGCTATATACTCTGCCCCGTCTCGGAGGATATCAAGGAGTAGGAAAGGAGGAGTTATATACTTTCCCGGTCAACCTAGAATCGCCGATACTTTCATAATAATAATACCAATATCGATCCGAGGAAATATTTAGATCTATAGAATAGAAGTCGATACAAAATATTATTATCACATTCTATAGGAATATTCCCTTTATATCCTAGAGGGTGGCCGATTAGTGGTATTGATAATAGATAATATTGTGTTATAAATAAGTCTTTTGTACGAGTATGGTTTTGTATATTGAATAAGTACTTATTAGCGTTTGCATGGTTATAATTCTGGTTATTTTTGAAATTATATGACTTCCGAGAATATATTGGATAAGAAATTGAACTTTAACACCTAGTCAATCATTTCCGCCAAATATCTTTATATATCTAGCGTTTTAGGTACAAATGCTAATATTGTAATATTAGTATCATTAAAACCTAACAAAGGCATAGTGTTTTTGTTCGCCGGGGCGATTCCGAGCAGAGCAGCGCTTATATCATTTAACACCTAGGGATTTACCTAGTGTGGGTTTAGTTAAAGCTCAGGAGTATTAATAGAAGTGAAGTTGCTCATTCTTAGACCTTCCGCCTCTAACGCAAACCACTATATGGCGATGCTAGTGTTATTAGTGCATAGGACATTTAGGGTAATAGAATACCCTTACGAAATACTATCTATTACGAAACTTATATCATTGAAGGTACAGAAAGGACTATAAGTAGCACTTTGGCTATATTCAGTAACGTATCTACTCTTAAATAGGGTAGTAGACTGTTAATATAACTTATGACAGACGTGCTAGCTAAGAGATTGCTATAGAATCAAAGTTGCCGCGAAAGTTTCACTATAGCCTATATATTGCGAAATTGAGGTTGGTTGGGAGGATAAAGGTAGATACACTAAAGGTTCAGGGATTATATCGGTTCTTGTCGAGACCTTAGGGCTGGTAGGAGGAGAGGTTATCTGATACGTCTCAAGAGAGATTGATAGCGAACGGTTTTTAGAGTATTAGTCTCTTTCCGGGAATACTGATATATTAGAGAAACTTATCGGAGAGCTAGGGAATTTTTTATAGAATTGTCGCGGCCGATCTCCGTCGAAGCTGTAATTTAAGCTTACTACAATACTTAAAAGAGCCCTAGCTGTTTTTTCACTCCCTGATAAGACAAATATTAGGGATGTTCACCTTAAAGAGAATATATCAAAACCTACCTATATATAGAATAGTCGATCTATACTGGTCGCCCGTACGCTTAGCCTATTGGCTGCGCTATATAGGCGTTTTAACTACTATTGTTCGTAGAGTATTATGGATTGTAGTCTCCAATTGTGTCCCCCTATAATAATAAGATATAAGCGATCCTATAGCACGCTCTAAATAAGATCGGATTCGATATTAAGGTAGTGTTTTCACAAATAGATTAATAGCCTTAAATTCGACTAAACTCTATAAATATATTTCAAAACTAAAAGAGTCAATATCTATTCAATATCAAAGAATAGTATATATACCTTTTCGCGGTGGAGTCTAGTAGAGAAAGAATAATTCCTTGAGGTTTAATACACTACCATTTCCACCCGAACCGTGAATACAGTAAAAATGACTTTTTCGTCTTTCTTTGCTTCGCTATATCAGCGTTCGGCTAAAGCCTTTACACAATAATATATAAGGAGCTTAGAAGAAACATTCTTTGTCGATTGGTATCCGGTATATTCGCGTTTAAATACTTAGGCCTAGATCTTTGTCTTTTGCCGTTGATACGTAATTGACACTACTCTTCCTAGATATATTGTGATAAGATGATCAACAAAAGCTTTCTTCTTAATAGATCAATCTCTCTAATCCGTTCAAGGTCAACAAAGCAGCGTCGGAAAATATTTTGGTCAGGGATATCGCTATCCTAGAATAGCTACGGACAACTAGACCAGAGAACTAAGTATAACAAGAGAGCTTCAACTCTCTCTTCTAAAAGCGCCTAGTTTTTGGTAATATTAGTAAGTTTCTTCACTTACTTCTTATCCAGATTTTCTCTAGATTGCGATAAGAAGCTCTAAAACCATAAGCGACGTTCAGACAAAGCAGAGTTATCCCAAATTATCCGCTTTAAGTTCGAGGCGAATATCTAATAAAGAGCAGTTATCTACTCTAGGGATTCAAGTATCTTTCTTAGTAGGTCGCTAGTTTCCTAGGTAAGTCAGTAACTAAATCCACGACAAATCTAAGTGTCATATATTGTTACCAGCCTCACGGAGTAATAGCTCGAGATACGAAAGGGTAGCACGTAATACTCGGTCAACCTATTATAAATTAGCAAAGGTTGATTTCGGCTATATTTAAACGACTTACTCGAAAGCCTATCTTAAGAGTGATATAAAGTTTGGATAACGGGAAGAAGCTTAATTTTCCCACTAAAGTTGCTACGCCTATATAATAGGTTCTAGTTGAGCTTCTCCTTATTCGGAAAGATATATATGGCTTAGACGCTAATACAGCAGGGATAGGATATATATGCCTGGGTATATATATCCTATCCCTGCCGCAATAGATATATTGGTAGTAGTTTAGACACTTTTTCCACCCAGCGATCTTAAAGAAAATAGGATATAGGTGCTAGGCCCTAGTTCGTATTCTATATACTTCGTGCTAAGATGTTGTATTAATGCCAATCATTAGACCGGGTTTAGCGCTAAGTTGACTGGGGTGATAATGAATAACGATCAAATAGAAAGGAGATTGTGTATAGCTGTCTCCCATTGAACTAGACTTTGCTTTATATCCTTAACTCCTTACGGAATGAAAATCAGTCAAATTCTTTTGATTCATTTTCCTCCCGTATCCTTGCTCGCAGTTCTCTTTCTTTGCTGGACAGAATAATCTATGGCAAATATACTGGATTTTCTCGACCATAACCGACAACCAGCTGAGCACTCGCATGAAATATATCGCCAAGTTAAGACCAACACGACCAATTTCTATTTTACTCACCCTTTTTCTTTTAATTTATTTTTAACAAGAAATGGGCAACTTTGATGGTGTCACTTCTTAACAATATCAAAGAGACCAATGATAGAGCAAACTATATGATGTATGATCACCAAGGCGTGTACGGAGTATGGGGATAGCACACAGGAGAAATGATACCCAGCTCCTTGCTATCGAGACCGTGTTTCACTAATGGCAAGGTTGCGATCAAAGCATAGATTAGATCCAATCATTCCGCAGGAATTAGCGCTTTCCTACACTCGTACGCGACTTTGCGTCGCATGCCCAAAGCGCGATTAGATCAGACAACTATAAGTACCGTAGCTTTACACATTATCTTAAACACGAGAGTACAGTAACCGCAACCGCGATATAATCCGAAAGCTCACCTCAAGGATCGCTTTTCGAGGGTACTAAACTATCTCCTCTAATATATATATACTTTCTAAGCAAGAACAATTCATTCCCTAATTAATACTCTCTATTAGCGAGAGTTACGATACAGAAGGTATTGAAAAGTGCAACCGGTAAGGCCGTCGAAGGAAATACCTAGAAAAAGTTCACTAATCCAAGTGTGAGCCGTGGGAAGACCACTTTCCCGAAGACATAGGCAGAACAAGAATATCTAGGGGTTCGATAGGACTATAATAGAGAGGTCACTAAAGCGGATGCGGTTTATCATAAGTTCCAGATATAGCCAAACACTAGCAAAGTCCCCTCTTCAATCAAAACGTGGAGAGAAGGCTATAGTGGGATATATATAGTCATAGCCACTGCCCTAGTTAAGAAAGATGGCTCGAAGGAAGATACCGAGAAGGGCTTAGGCGACGCCGTAGCTTCGGTCAAGACTTAAATATCTAATAGTTTGAAACTATAGTAGATAGTCAATATAGTAGATCTACGATTTGAACCAAATAGAGCAAAGTCGGTATCTTTTTAAATTGAAGTAAGTATATTTAGCCATCAATAGGAATCCAAAGGGTAGCTAGCTTTTGTTTGCCACACGGACTAGAAAAGCTGGTTTTGCCAATAATATAGATGCAATTAGTCGTCCTCCTTCGCGCAAGCTATTCCAAGATCTAATTAAGTATACTCATATCGGCGCATCAACGCCGGGATACCGGAGGATTTATTAATCCTTTATGTTTTGTAATTTAAATTATATAACTAATCATATCTCCATAACTAGTTATAAATTGCTGGGAGAGCGGATACAGACATTGATTGGACCCCTATGTTTTCAATACGGAAGAAACCGATAACTCACTAATGCCTAAGGCAAAAACTGCGAAACTGTGTACTAACAGTACCGGCCAATAATCTCTTATCCTACTAGAATCTCTGCATTAACTAGTTAAAGGTGGTTGATTACCTAATCCACTTCGTTTTGACGCGACCAAAGCGCGTCAAGGGGTAATATAAAGTCCCTTCCTGATTATTTCCTACCTCCGCCTTACTTCTTTCTCTTAATGAAGCTATGGCTAAGCGTCTATTCGGAACAATTCCTTATATTCTCCACCCACGCAAAATCATCCCTAATACAAGACTAACTCTCGCACGCCCTATTTCGACGTTCCAGAAAATACCTAAGCCCTGTGATCTATTCGAGTACACGTCTGGACGATAGATATATATTGCAGGCTTAGACAAATCATTTATCGTAAATTCTCCGCTGATATAACAATAGCTATAATGATAATTTGAGACGACACGAGAGAAGACAAGTTTTCAATATCTCTGGACTTAAGCGCCTTGCTACTCTAGCTGTTCAGAAGAAAGAAACCGATATAATTGAATTCAAAAAAACTTACTAAGGGAGGCTTCAACCGGACTTTTCTGATCACTATACGAGATAGCTATCGATTTATTGCACAAATTCTATATCCGGCTACCGAACTAAGATTCCTATTAGTCGCGAGTGAAGTCGCAACGCTAGGTTTTCTACGTGCTTATAGTATCCTAGTACCGAAGGTTTTTAGCTACTCTACTATTGCAGATAATTGTGCGGGTACAGAATATATATTTATAGAGTATATCTAAGGAAAAAATCTAGGGGATATATAGTATACCTTGTCTAAACGGGAAAGAAGAGAATCGGTTGCAAGAATTGTGTAGCTAGAGTCTCGTTTATTTAGCTTATAGTTTCCAGTAAGTGGAAGTCTCTATTACTACAATGATTTGCTAGATAATTACCCCCGAGTTATTGTTATAAGCCTCGGATCGACCCACTGCTTCTATATCGGCCCTAATACTTCGCTACGGATATAGTATAGGAAAAGACTCAACTTATCGGTTAAGCGTGGACCTTATGAGTGACTTTCGGGTAAGACTCGGGACATAGAAGACTTCGAAGACTAACTCTATAAAGACCGAGATCCTTTAGCAGTTCTTACTACCAGTGCCGAAAAGGAGATTGCCTATCTTGAGAAATTTAGGCGACCTCTCCAGCCATTCTAGTGTCTTCGCCGAGAGGTATATAACTATCAGTCTTAGTCCCACCTCGAACATACTATGGCTCTAGAGAAATACCTTTAGATTACACCTTACCTTATACCACATAACTGTCCGGCCCTTTATCGTCTAACTATACGACACCCCGATCTTCAACCCAACAATATATTTATCTCTGATAACCTAGAGGTTATAGGGTTAATTGATTAGTAGCATAGTACAATTTTGCTATTATTTTTATAGTGTGGTATTCTAGAGAGTCTACAGAATTATAGCGACAAGATCTCGGAATCACTATAACTCCCGACTTTACCGGACAACTTCGATAAACTCGAAGAAATAGAGTAATTCTAGCAAGCGGACCTCCTACGTAGGCGTTAACTCCACTATTTTTATATTAAACTGATAGTAGAAAGAAATACTAAACATTACGAGGCCTTGACCCTTGATTTTAGTACCTTAAGGCGGCGGCTTTTTGATTATACAAGTGACCCTTAGGAGGGTGACAATATAACTTTAATAGCCGATTTGATAAAACTGTCTAGGATATAGATAGACTTAACTCGTGATACTAGAACACCTTATCCAATATCCTTTTCGGATAATGAGTTAACGGAATATCTACGGCTAGAACACACACAGTCTAAAGCAGACAAACAATTCCAGACTTACTAGGAAGCGATTGGGGTTAGGCATAAGGGCTAGGTACCCTTAGCAAACTATAATAAGGCGAAAAGAAGCGAGAGAAAACTAAAAGCGGACACTCTCGATACTGCCGAAACGGAAGAAGAGAAGACAAGAATCCAAGAAAACTGGATTTTCGACAACTTTTACGAGGAAGAATATATATGAGAAATAAGTCTTCACCGCTGCTTATATAGCCAACAAGGGACAGATACAAGGTCACAAGAATATTAGGGGTCAATATAGTAACGAACACAGTCAACACGTGCGATATATAAGCTTCTTGGGCTACGTTAGTAGACCGATGGCATTTCCTATAGTGGAGAAAAGAGTAATTGTGGACCAATCATATATTGCCGCTACAGTAACTACCTTCTATAAGGTATAAGGCTAATTCTAAAATTTAATTCCTGCTTGATGATAATGGGGCTCGGTCGCAAGTTGAGAGTCGATAGTTGGTAGGAGTGGATAAAGGCAATTTCTAGCATGATATTTATCCTATCTTCCCAAAGCTAGGGGTTATTACTTAGTTGTACGCTGTATAGCTACTACTACGGCAGTTAGAATAGTCTCTTAATCAATCAAATAATACCTGAACTTCTACGTTAGACCTAATTAGGAACTGTAAGGCGCGACTTGGGCCTCCTTGTAGATTTTCTACAACGAACTGCTTCGGGCTTAGTGAATGGCTGATCATGGCACACCGCTGGAAGAAAACGACTAGGTTTTAAGGGAAAAACAATATTGCCAAAGATATATCTATTCTATTACCCTAGTTTCAAATAGAACCAGGTAGGTGTAGCTGTATTGCCATATATAACAAGCCGTTCACTAAGGCCAAAGCGGGGGGCCTCTATCACTAACCGATCACTAGCAAAGATGATAGATATTTTGTTAAACGGGCGCTCTAGAACCTCGACTCCCCTAACTACTATTTTGTCTTATATATGGTAACATATAGGACATTAAATAGAACGGTTATATAAGGGCTATCTTCATTTTGCTTAGGCCCAGCCTATTATATAAATTGGATAAGACATACCATATATATTTCCCTTTGAGATCATCAATCCTCAAGCTCTACAGATCTACTCGTGGTCATCATATAGTAAAAATACAGTTTGTTTAAGATGGTATGTTTGTTGAGCTATATATAACACTAATCACTCTCTTGGTTCCTTTCCACCTTCCTATACCTTTCTAGTAGGGAAAAATGATAGTAGGGTCAAAAGTGGAGTCAATTTTCAAGCAAGAAGTTATGATTGCTATTATCAGAGATAGAGATATACAATATACAAAAATTCCCAAGTTATATCATAAAATCAATTGATGTTATTACCTCTATACATTTTTCGCTGGGGACGGCTATTGTTTCCTAAGCTTTGTGCTCTAGTATACCTATATAGAGCCTTAACTCCTTCCTATGAATTTCTGACCAAACCGCTTAGTTACCTCCGACCACACAAGGTTTTCTTCCTCTCTAAGTTTCACGAGTAAGCGAACCTCTTCCTCGCACCATAGTAGCCCTTTTCTCGAGGAAGGAGTAAGTCCCGTATCGACCGCTTAAGTATTTATGCTTGTATATTGGGATCTAGACGTCGGGACTATATCCCTTCTCGGTGGTATATAGAGGCAAAGAGATAAGGCACCCTCGAATAGCTAGGACAAGAACTATAATCTTTCCTTAACCGGAAGGGCGGAGAACTAAGCACAAAAGGTCGGAAGTGACACATTTTTGCGGCTAAGTTCCGGAGTGGACCGGCTGGCCCTTTTTTTTAGGCGATTGTCGACGATAACTAAAACTTTGCTGATTTTGGTAGGTAGCCGACCGACTTACACCGGCCTTTTAGGATCGTATTACCTACTATGGCGATAGGCGTCTCGAACCGGGGAGCGATAGTGTTTAACTAGGATTCTGCGTGGAATGGCTATAGCGATAGTGGTAGTTGGTGTTATTTAAGCCTACTTAATATCGCGGGAACGATTATTGTCTAGGAGTGCGGGATCGATTATTAGATCTTCCGCAAAGTGTCCGGCCTATATAGGGCTTTTAAGAGGGCTTTTAAGAACCTTAAATTAAGAGTGCTAATTAGGAGTAAAAGCGAGCTCCTAGCCACTTAAGTCGAAGCCGAGGGATTAGTGCTTAGAATCCGGGACGATTTGTCTATATATTATTGTATAATCACTATCCCTAACACTTAGAGGATCGTTAAGGTATAGAGAGTCTTTAAATTCGAAGGCGTTAGGGCTAGGGTAAGTCGGAGATATTAGCTCTAATATCTCCGGCTCGCGTCGAGTGATTTAAGCGTTCGGTTATAGACCGCCATTAAAGTAAACCTCTGCCGGGGGGCGAATAGGTAGGGGATACCGCTTAAGTCTTAAAGTATATATCTCCTAAGTCTCTAAAATAGGATTACTAAGATTGGAGGGGGAAGGCGTCGTAGATAAGGAGACCGGGCTTAGGTACCAAGTACCGAGGCGATCCCGTAAAGGTTGTACTTTCTCTTAGGAAAGGTTCTAAGGCCGGAAGGATTCTAAGCGATAACTAGCGCTTAATATATCGTGTGTAGGGGTAACTTAGAAGGCGTTAGGGTATAGGGATAGTACAAATTCGCTAGAGGGACACTAGAAGGGGGAATAAAGCTACAATTGATACAGAATCGGGGGAAAGGGGAGTAGAGAACTTAGAATAGGTTTGAAATACCGAAGTACTATTTAGGTAGAATAGCTAGTGTCCTTTATACCTATAAAATCAGCCTCGCGAGAAGATAACCTCTTATACCGCGGAAGGTATTCCTATTATATCGGGTAATTCGATACGGAGCGCCCCAAAATACGTAAATATATAGCTCCTAGTCTCACTACTAATAGTATAGCCTCGATAAGACCACATCACGCTATCTTCGCAGACTAAGCTCCTTATCCGGTTCAATTGCAGACACAGGGTTTTTACTATTAGCTCACAGCACCGAGATAAGTTGTCGAAGATAACCTAGCTCATTGCAACAGGGCCGGTGAGACCGACCATAACGACGATAGGCCGCCACCAGGCTCACGAACGAGCAGGTGTGGGTGAATCTGTGACGCCGGGGGCTATGCGATATAATATCAGTAACAACTAGGCGGAAGAATAGGTCCAGTGGCGACGAGATCCGAGATACCCCTATAAGTGCAAGGAATACAGGCGAAATAGGGGAATTACCTTCGATAAAGGCTTAGAAACAAAAGACATTCTAAGTCGCTCTGTACCATAATCAACCATATTATTTAGTCACTTAATAAGTAATAGACAAGGTATAGACTCACGGGAAAAGGCCGAAAACGGGCCATCTCAGCGCTTCAACTCCTGGCCAACCGATCACGTCGCAGTCAACGCGGCGAGGGACAGCTAAGCGGCGGCGGGTCGAGTGGCATGTCTGACGAAGTCCGATGTGCGAGGTCATTTCGGGGCGCAAGGCAGGGGCGTGCGAGTGCCAACGCGTACGGGTCGGTGGGGGCGAAAGGAAATAGGGGGCAAAAGGAAAAGGGGTAGAGAGAGTGGGAAGCAGAAGAGAAAGTGCGTCAACGAGTCGAGGGAGGGCGAGTGGTGTTTTATAGATGGGACGGCCGAGGGCCAGACTAGTAAAAGCGGCCACTGCGGCGCTAGCCCGATCGGGGCACCTCAGCGGGCCACCAGGCCGGAAGGGGTAGGGGAGACCGCAGTCAGGCAGGCGGTCGGGGCGGGCGGAACAACAGGCAAATGGGCGCCGTTTCCTGCGCCCCGCTTGCCGTCGTGTAGAATACTATTATTTTTTGTAGTTAAGAATTCTAACTAATAGGGTTATTAATCCCTATATTAGGGCTTAGGCTAAATATATAGCCTAACGTAGATTTTCGTTAATCTAAATTATTACCCTAATTAGTATTAGAATAGCCTTTTATATATAGGTTATTACCTAAGTAATTATATACTAATCCTATATTAGGATATACTAGTAAATATTTCTAAATCCTATTTAGGGCTATAAAATAGTCCTTACTAGGATTACTTATATATCTAGTATAGTATATAGTAGTAAAGGTTATATTAGGCCTAGTTTTTAGGGCTAAATAGAGTAAAGACCCTATTTATTTCTGATATTCTTTAATATCTTATAGGCTTATATTTATAGTATTCTTTTTAAGCTTTAAACCTAGTTTACCTAGTGTTTTAATAGGCTTATAACTAGGATTATTATAAATAGAGAACAATTTAATAGTTTCTCTATATATCCCTTTTAGTCTATATATAGTATCTTATCTTTATAGTTAATAGATATACTATTACCTAAGAATATAGATACTATACTAATTTCTTCTATCTTTATATAGTGCTTTATTTTAGCTACTATATTATAAATATAGCTTAAATCTTTGTGTATTACTAATATATTATTAACGTAATAAATTAGTATATATTAATCTTTAGGGTTTATATATATACCTTTATCGTATATAAAGACCTTAAAGTTAAATTTAGCTAATATATTAGATAGATATTTATACTAAAGCCTAGGGCTTTGTTTTAGACTATATAGTACTTTCTTTAGATAATAGCACTTATTAGGGTTATTATATACTCCTATAGGTAGGATAGTATATATTTTAGTATCTATATTAGTATATAAAGGTATTTTTAATATTATATTGTAGTATATACTAGCCTTTATTAACTACTATTATTAATATTAGATACTAGGACTTAGTTCTATATATAGTAGAAAAGGTTCCTAGGAAATCAATACCTAGTTTTTGCTAAAATCCTTAAATTACCTACCTAGCTTTATATCTAATAGTTTTATTACTATTAGTTATATAGTCCTTATCTAGATTAGGACTATTAATAGGTTTTTTCTTAAAAACCTATCTACCCTTAATAGGTTTTATATTAGGTGGTATATCTATTATTTTATAGGTTTCTTATTTTTTAAGTTCTTTGACTTCCGCTAAGTAAGCCCTAAACTATTTATCCTTTTTAGGACTATTTATAGCTTTATTAAAGCTATTAGGTTTAGTTAATAGTGAAGCGGTTAATAGAAACCTATTATTTATATTAGTCTTAATAGAACTAATATAATTAGTTAGTATAGTATCCTTAATAGTATATAATATAGGTATTTAAACTTCGATCCTATATTTAGGGTCGGTATTAATTCTAGAGGTTTTTTCTCTAGTTAATACTCTATTATTATTACTTATATTATCCTTAATAGGACTATTAGGATCTATACTAACTTCCCTAGAATTTAAGTCTTTAGGACTAATTAACTTAGTCCTATAGGGTTCTATATTTCGAGATATTTCTTTTAGGAATTGATTTTTATATATAGTAATATCCCTAGACTATAGGCAATTTTGCCTTTTATAGTCCTATATTTTATAGTGATTATAATCACTATATCCTATTAAAATAGCTTCTTCCTTTCTAGGAGATAGCTTAGTCTTATATTTATTTATATAATAATAGGCTAAAGAGCCCTAAGTCCTAATATTAGTTATATTAGGCTTTACCCTATTTAATAATTTATAAGGGGTTAAAAATCCTAAAGTTCTATATAGGGTCCTATTATATATATAGGTTATAGCTTGGAGTGCTTCTCCCTATAGATAATTAGGGCTTTTAGACTAAATAAGCACTACCCTTACTTTATTAAATAAAGTAAGGTTAATTCTTTCAATTAGCCTATTAGGTTCTTTAGTATAACTAGGAATAGTTATATAACTAATACTATATTTATTTAGGGCTAATTGAAATTGCTTATTAATATATTCTCTACCTTTATTAGTAAAGAACTATTTAATCTTTCTTTTTATATAATTTTCTATAAAGACCTTAAAATCTTCGAATACTTTATAAGTATTATCTTTAGAATATAATAGACTAATCTAAAGATATCGAGATTTTTTATCTAGGAAGGTAATATAATACCTATATTTATTATAGGTAGGTAGTAATAGACCACCTAAATCACTATATATCCTATCTAAAATATCAAATTTAGTAGGATTATTTAACTTCCTATATATATATCTATTATCTTTAGATAAAAGATATACTTTATATTTTTTATTAAGGAAAGCCTTAATATATTCTAGGGTTATATTAATACCTAGGGCCTTTAATAGAATTTTTAAGGGCTATATATTAATATACCCTAGTCTAATATACCACTTTTGTATATTATCCACTATATTACTATCTATAGTCCTTTTAGGAATATAGCTATTATTATTATTACTATTAGTAGGTATACTAGGTTAATTAGTCCTAGTAGCTACTATAGTATTTATAGTTCTTTATAATATAGTGGTTTTTATATAATATAGATTATCTTTCTTATTAGCTATAGTAACTATTTTCTTTAAAGGTATATATAAGTATACCTTCTTTTTTATAAATAGGGCTATTAAATTAGATAACTAGTGTATACTAATAAGATTAATACCTAGATTAGGTATATAAAAAACATTTTTTAATAAGTATATATATCTAGTATTAGATTTTATATATATATCACCCTTATAGGTTACTTTAATAGTATTAGCTTTACCCCACTTTACTATAGTAGTAGTAGGTTTAATAAAAGAAAGATATTATAATTTATATATAGTACTAATAGTGGTAGCACTATTAAGAATAAAATCTACTTTTTCTTTTATAGGATTTAATCCTATATTATCTAGTGGTTTTTTAGTCAATAGTTTAGTACTATATAATAATAGAGGATATACCTCTTCTATATTATTATCTATATCTAGTAATTAATTATTAGTTTAATTATTAGGCTGATTTTTAATACTAGTATATAGTTCTTTATCTAATTTAGGTAAATTAGATAGATTAGATAATATATCTATATCTTTAGTAGATTTAGGGGTATCTACTATATTAGATATAATCTAATCTTATAATTCTAGCTATTTAGGAGTCCTAGGGCTTATTAAATTTATAGTTTTAGCCCTAAAGGATTCCTTAGTAGTAGAAATAGGGGGTTTAATAGTCTTTTTAGCCCTTTTACCTTTCGGAATCTAGCCCTTAGGAGCTAGATTAGGAAATAATAGCTAGTAGGTATTAGTATTATAACTAATAACCTTATAGTGTTAGTAGTATTTTCCTTTAAAAGGCTTATTTTTATACAATTTATAATACTTATATTTAAGTATTACAATATTCGTATAATAACTACCTTTATATATAGAAGATTCCCTACCCCTAGCTTTATTAATTAAGCTAGAAAATAAGGTTTCCACTATATATAATTTAGGGTTATTTCTCAATAATTGGGTTATATTTTAAATAAACCCTTTATAGTTATTATTTAGACTATTAAGAACCTAGGCTATCACTACCTAATTAGGTAGATTAATACCTTTACCCTTAAGGTTATCTACTAAGGTTTTAACCTTATTAAGATATTCTTCTATTAAATTAAAATCGTTTAATCTAGTGTTAAAGAAATCTTTTAGGGTTAAATATTCAGTAGTAAAACCCTTAGGGTTATATAGGGCTTCTAAGCGAAGCTAGGCCTTATTAGCACTCTCTATATCTTTTAGATATAGGAGGGGCCTATTATCACAATAAAGCTTTGAAATAGATATAGCCTTATTGTTTTTAACACTAATAGAAGGAGTTTCTATAGGTATATATAGGTTATCCTTTATTAGGGCTACTTTAACCCTAATAGACTATATAGTATAGTTCTCCGAGCCCCTAAGTTTAGGGAGATATATCTTATCTAGGGAGGCTATAGTAAGATATATAATAAATATCGGAGATTAGGTATATATATATAGTATACTATATATAATAGTATACTTATATATATAGCTCACTATATATAGTAATATATACTATATATAATTGTGAGAATATATCACTATATACTTAATAGTATATAGTATATTACTATATTTAGTATCTTACTAAATATAGTAATTCGGAAATTATTCGGGAAAGGCTCAGCGATATATCGGTATTTCCTATTTAGGAAATAGGTAGTAAGCCGGGCTTATAACCTATAAGTACTTTAGCAGAAATAATATTATAGCCTAATAGTAGGTTATAATATTTTGTAGGGGAAGGTATATTAGGTAAGCTTTATCTTATATAATACAATATTATATAAGATATAGAAAGGTTTATACTTAGCTTAAGTAGATAATAATAGGTGAGAGGTAAGAAAAGTTATATTCATTTTAATTCTCTAGCTAGGAATCCTCTATTCCTTATATAGGCAAGCTCTAGCAGTATAGAATATCATAGAAGGTCATTAATAATATAATGACTTTATCATGATATCCTAGATTTATAGCGATATATTGTGAGTTATAATATAGTTTACCGTAGATAATATATCTAAGGTTCTCTTAGATACTACCGGTAAAATATATATCTTATACTCTCACACCATAGTATATATCTTAC